GCTGCAGGGATGTCACCTGACGAGCGTCGAGCAGTGTACGAGGCAGTCTTCAATGATGAAGATGCTGAGCAGGCAAGAGTCGAAATTAACAAATACTGTGCGATAGCCAGAGACAAGTTCATGCAAGCCAACCCTGGCGTAAATCCATCCACAGTTCTTGAAATCCGAAGTATGCCTGTCAGGACGTACACGAGTACAAACGAAGCTCCAACCCTGGAGGAATACAAGAAGATCAATAAGGAACACATCAATGTCAGAGACTCAAGGACATGCCATCCGGCATCTTTTCTTACTCTGACCGGATATGAGAACAAGGATGTGTTGGATGCACACTACGAAATTGTCCGAAACCGGATGGGAGGCGTAGGTGAACTGAAAGATTACATTGAAGGATCTAACCCCAACGCAACATCTCTAGGTGTTATTGTGTGTAACTGGGGAAATATGGACAGGCCTCCTGTTCCAGCCGGCAATCCCAAGAAAAAGCTCAAACCTGAGAAAGGATTCAACTACCATCCTCTGATTGACATGTGTTTCAACAACTCTGCACATATCACCCTCGTAACCGAGGCAGGTGCCCTGTCATCAGTATACAGCATCGAAGTGATGCGAAAATTTGAATACAGAGGAATGTTGATCCACTCACCGGCTAACGAGCCGCCAGCACCGCCAGTATATCTTGGCGTCAAGGGAGATCCGACCACGGATATAGCTCTTATCCATCATTTTTATAGGCACCGAACGGTGCGACCGAAGGATGGTGGAACTAGGCGCCAGATATGGGCCGTACACGGCGCTGTGTGCAGGCTAACGTTTGGCTATCATTCGGCCATTCCTGAGGCCAAAGAGTGGGTACACCCGAACACGGGTCAACGCATGACTCGACAGGATTATATCAAACTCATCGGGACAGACCCTCTCAAGGGTAGAAATCCTGATGACGATGGCCCTCAGGACTGCTCGTACCTAACGCCAGATTCTTGGCTCCAGTTGACAGAATTGAATCCTTCTCCGATTCTGTGTGAATGGAATGGGCATGTCGAGGGCGAGGAGCCTCGAACCGAGGACTTCGAGACGTATGCAGAGATCTTCGCAAACGAAGCTCCAACTGATCTCGATGAGCTTTGGTGCACAAAAGGACCTTACAAGGTCGTCACCATTGCCATTGTGCATTTCAACTCCTTCATGACCCACAAGGAAACACAGAGACGTGAGTACGTGAATGCATTCTTAGACGAGGTTCTTCCATTTAAGCCAGATATTATAGCTGGAGACCTCAATAATATCGCAAGCAGACTCACCCTAAAGGGTGGCGATGTGCATCCTAGAAACAGCCTATTCAGTCTCTTACTAGAGAAAAAGCTGGCTGCCTTCAATCACAAGACAGACAGGCACTCACAAGTGCGATACGCCTGCGTCAACAACTCTGGCCAGCACGAGCTGGCTCATGCCGATAGGCTCCCACCGGATCCGAAGGCCAGATATGGAGACCTTGACTGCATTAACGCATACATCCTGGACTGGGGTAAAACGCCGCACACGGCGACTCCGAGTCACAAAAGGATCACTCCGGCCCTCGAAAGGACCTATTGGGAACGGGTCTCAGACCGTTGGCATGAGATCAATCGAACCAAGGAAATTGACGCCCGTCTTCACATTACGACCAAGGGCTATTACTCCACTTTTTCAACCACAGACCTGTGGCTTTCTCCAAACGACAAAGATTGGCATAGCCCCCTTGGATTCACAATCCAACCAATGGATACCAAGGGCAGGCATAACAGAACAGATGAACAAGTGGAGAAACTCGCTAAAAAGCGACAAGAACATAACCAACGGCAGGCGGAGTTCCGACAGTCACATGAGGACTTCACCTATACATCCGGTAACTACTGGCATGACAAGTCACGACCATCAGGTCGTTATCACAGTTATTCCCGATGGTGGGAGAAGTCACAGCCGGAACGTCCGAACGAGCCGCCGTATCCTCCACCAGGAAGAGAGCGAGCATCCTCTTCATCTCAGCAACAAGATCTACCAAGATCTAGGTCTAGACCACAAAGGCCAAATGTGGTCGAGAAGCTTAGTATGTCACTCGACGAGCTCCAGGAAGTCGACAGAGAGCAGTCGCCAACTCAGAGTGACATCGAAGAGCACGAGCGTGAGACATCAAACCTGATGGACGCTCAGAAAGCTGAAGAAGATGAGGAAGAATCCTCCAGCAGGAGGCGAAGGAAATCATCGCGTCCACCATCTGCACCTAGTGCAAAAGCAGTCAAGACCGCTGCAACAGCAGCAGGATTGTCAGGATGGTTCGGACACTCCAGACGTGGAGGAGCGAATGCAGAGAAGACAGAGCCCGATCATTCCTCTCTGACTGATTCACTAGCAAGTGAAGAGTATTCGTTCTTCAGCATTGCATGGAATGTTTTCCTCATGCTGATGGGACTTCGGTGGCTGTGGAAGCAGCTCACAAGGGCTCCTGTTCAATGCATGGAGCGCCCGAAGTCGAAGGCAGCAGCAAAACAAAGTGCTCCATTCCTCGAACCCGAGGACGAGCCTGCGTCGAGAGACCGTACCGGACCCAACAGGGTTAATGCGGGAGAATCGACAGAATTGCGACCAATCTGGCATACTGCAAATAGCCAGTGCTATCATCTCTCTAGTGAATGCTATCAGCTTAAACAAGCGAGAGATAAGTCGCGAAAGGTTCTCTGCAAAACGTGCTTTCATGCCGTAACAACGGCGGAGATCCGAAGAAACGACATCTTCAACAGAGGTGATACACGACCACGTGGCACCGAAAGAGACATCGATCGCCTTCAGGCCTATGAAGACTCGAGCAATATTCCTCAAATGAGGAGTCTGTTTCAAGACGCTCTTCATGCACAAATGGCCGAAGAAGCCATGGGTGTAACATACACCACGTTCCCGAAGAGCTCAACAGCTAAGGCCCGAGGTCAGGCAGCACTGCCAAGTGCGAAATCATCAATGTCTTCGGCAATGCCACCAGTGCCTTCCAAGGCAGCCGGCATCTCACCTCCTCCGAAACATCCGCCGCCAAAAGCCAAGACATCCTCTCAAGGATCGGCTTCAGCACCCTCGGCAAGACCAAAAGGTCGCACAAGGCGAGGCGGCATGAACAAGCGCATCCAGCGCAAGGCTATCAAGGCAGCCCATGAGCAAGGACTCTGCAATCAAGCAGATGCAGCTCTTGGTGAAACCAGTCTTGGTTCGGCTACCAATCAGATGTGCAGAAACATTATCAACAGGCGCATCGAGACAATCGATCACACTATCGAATCAACCGAACAGTTCCATCAAAATATGCTACAGCATATCGAAGGCTTCGACGAGGAAGAAGTCTTCAGTACCGAGTTTATTCCCGTAATCGAGGTACTACAGAGAAGCCTTACAGGCGATGGAGCAATCGTCATAAATGACGAAGACATGACGGCAACCATGCCACTGCCGAGGTATACAAGCATCCTCAATTATGCGATGGAACTGAGAAACTCTACCCAGAGGGATAGAAACGAAAGAAAAGAACACATTGACAAGCATGTCAATACTCTATCCAGAGTACAGATTCTAGTCACTGCATTGCAAAATGCAAAGAGGATCTTCAATCAACTCCTCCACAACTCGCTCGAAATCGAGAGGGGACACAACAATCTCCGGAATGTCCTGGAGAGCCTCTTCGACGATCCAAGTTCTGAGGAAGACCCAGAAGAAGAGGAAGAAGAGGATGACGGACCACCATCACCGTCAACGCATCAGTATTGGGATAACAGACATGCCAATGCCTTATCTCCATCAGGAGACGAGTCAGAAACCTCATGGCCATCTTCCGACGGAAGGGGAGGCAAAAAGGCCAAGGCAAAGGCTAAGCAGCCACCATGTCCTCAAGGCTACAGTATCCCAAGGCAACCAGCTCACAAGCTGCACCAAAAGCTAAGGCAGGTCCAGAAACATCCGATTACGGATATGGCATTCCAGATGCCGCCTTCACCAGGGGCTGAGAATCGGTTCCTCAGATTTTACTCCAACAGCGAGGAAGACCATTCGGACCCGGATGAGCCTCATCCGAACGCCTATAGCAGATCCTATGATCCAAACCTGGATCAGGCACAGAGGTGAGTAGCTCTCAGGAGCATCACAAAAGAAAACCTGTACTCTAACAAGAGTACAGTAAGCTGTTGCATAATTCGACATAGAAGTAGCAGTCACAGACCTGATCATGTACAGAAGATCTCTCTCTGACAAGACTCATGCTTGAAGACTCTAAAATGAGTGAGTGTGTACTTTTCATAACTAATGGAATGTCTAAGATATTATCAGTGGTAAAGTGCGCGAGTGATGTGTAGGCCCGAGAATCGGGTATGTTTCGAGCAGAACCGAAGTGTGCCATGTTCAGCACCCTGATCCAACTTAAAACCACATCAAATCGGCTTAAACACTTCCATGCTTCCTGCTACGATCCAAAAAATCACATGAACGTGTCGTCAGACTGGTTTGAGAAAGCCTCAACAGAAAAGCAGCGAGCCCAACAGACTTGCCAGACTTTGGGCACCTGGCATCGTACTCTGGAGGTCTTGAGCCGTTTGAACCGTTTGAGCCATTTGAGCCTTTAAGGTTTAGGGCTTTGGGCGTTTAGGGTCTGCTGTCATTTAGGCTTGATGGTTTTGGGGTTCATTGCTGAGCGAAGTTGTAGTGGCGTGCAGCGCTTTTGGTTTAGGATTCGGATTCGGCGGCAATAGTGCTAAGCTTAACAAGGGCCGGGCGATTAAGACGGGGACGGGGCACCACTCAGCACTGTCTTGTTTCAGCTCTGTTCTACAACACTCGGTGAACGACTTCATGCGGGAGCTTGTTACGAGTCATGACAGTCATGAGTGCAGCCACGCATGCCGAAATGCGAGTCTAAAGCGATAGCATTTTCGCCTTCAGCGCTCGGGTGCGATTGCTTTGCACACTACATACGCACAGTCACAGAGCTGTCAGCAACCGCATTCATCCATCACCGCAGCCCGACTTCCTTTCTGGAGATGGGCAAGAACAAATGTCACCAAGTGGCCAAACACCGGCACCGAAATAGAATTCCCTGCCAATGCTTTGACTTGCGAGTCTGAGAGCTTCGTCGGGCCATCCAAGATTTCTTTGAAAGGACAAGCGTACCCGGTGGCCTCTTCGATATGGGGATATGCAGGAAGTCCCATCAGTACCAAGTGTTCCTTGGCCAAAAGCTCTCGCTCGGCAGATCGGCCAAAGCACCAGACCGTGCTACTTCGCAGAAGAGCTGGACATGTCTCACTCAAGTGTCCGAAGCTTTCTGCGTTCTGCCCAAGCATGCAGAGCCCCACAGTTAGGCCCTGCTCCCGCATCTGATCCTGGTACACCTGCCGCCTAATCGCCATGGCCGGTGGCAACAACTGGGCAGCATCTAGCAGGCTCGTAGAACACCTCGCAAGGCCTCGTTCAGCTGCTCGGCTTGCTAGGTGCTCCGATACATCTTGCACGGGTGCTGTCAAATAGACGTCACCGCTGATTCTGCGGATCTTGAAGAAGCTGCCCAGCTCAGAAAGGGTGGCATCCAAGTATCCCCACGACCGAAGAACGCCAACTGAAAACTTCCGCTGTCTTGTGCATGGCAAGCCAAAATCATCAGGACCCACAATGATTGACTGAAAATCATATATGCTAGATAGCATGTTGGTCACAGCCTCGCTTTCGTCGAACAAACTTGTGCACTCCATAAATATGACTGTCTCTTGTTTGGCAAATCGCTCTCGGACCCACATGATGTTGGCCTGGTTGCCCTTGCCGACAAGCCCGTGCTTGCTTCCCATACAACTCCAATCCAAACCTAAGTTCGGCTGGATGAACATCACACGAAAAGGCAGAATCTAGAACGCGAGAGTCCGACCGAGCGTGAGTGCAGTGAGTGCGAGTGGCAGCGGGGGCGGGAGTGGGAGCGCGAGCGAGCCAGCGAGCGAGCGAGAGAGAGCAAGAGAGAGGGAGAGAAGAGAGAGCGAGAGAAGAGAGAGAGAGAGAGAGGAGAGAGGAGAGAGAGAGAGAGAGGACAGAAACTGAGCATCGGACAGGAAATCCCAGCAATGGCCATTGTCAACATGCCCCGATCCTCATAAGTCCGGGTGTCAGGGATCGGACACTCCTTGTTGTGAACGAGGCAAAAGCTGGTAGCCCGCCGAAAATCGACCCCGCTCAAGCACTGATGCAAGTTGGCTGTGACGTCTTGACCTGCTTGCTTCTGCATTTCCATGAGCTTGAATTTCTGTCGCCTGAGCGGTGAACAAACCGTGTCGACACTGGCTACGGCTTCGGCCTCGGTTTGCAACAACTTCTGCTGCAGATCCTTCGAGGCTTGCTCACACAAGTCGTCCATCTTCTGCCTCAGCTCTCAAGCTAAAACTGGAGGTGCACGCTGCGGCTTCAAAAGCACAAGATGTTCACGCCATGCAATAAGCCAGGATGCCTGCAGCTTTCAGGCACTCGGTCCAACATGTTTGCGAAAACATGCTCATATCTGAACGGAGCACGAAAGGAAAGCAGAGCCCGCTGAGCAACTTCAGAAAAATCGCAGGAATGCAGTGGCAGCACACCGTGTTCGATCGTGAAATCCTGCTTGAGCTGCTGCTCCAAATATGCCAAGGCGATACCGGGGGCATCGTAGCCGGAGTAATGCGTCACCAAAGCCTCGGATGAGAACACGCAAGGAAATAGCTTTAAGCTTCGGGTTGGACTGACAGTATTGCATGATCCACTTGCAAGATCACACAGAACTCACAGAACAACGACCCAGCAATCACGCACAGTTTTGCTGCTTCCTCAAGAGAGCAGACCGCAAATCACAGAAGCACGGCATCCAACTGCCGTTGTCATGATGAGCTGCTGCATCTTCAATGCAACGCAGTGCAACAAAAGGAACGTAGTGGGATCTATCGGCAGGCGGCGGCTGGCAAGGCATGCTGCAGTTGCACTATCATTGTATCACTATAGATTACAACATCACTCACGGCACAGACCATCACGGACCCACCGGCGATTCTGGCCCTCATGGGCCTCTCCTAGTCTTCTACGGTTAAGCACTGTTTCAGGACTTCTGAGCTTCGCTGTTTGATAATCGTTTGATATATTGGCGCCGACTCTGCAGCAAGCCTACCGGCAAAATCACAGAATGCCGAATGCCCACTGCTTTGCACAGAAACGTAAACCCAGCGACTGTCTCGCAGTCTGCAATGCAAAACACATATCAAGGCCCAACCTTGCTGGCTTTGCCATACCCGCCCCATCGCATCCAGCTGCTAGCTGAAATCACTTCTTGCCCGCTTTCTTCGCAGCATCCTTGGGCTCTGCGGCACTGGCACTGGCACTCTTAGCCTTCATCATGTTCAGGAATGCCTCGTTGCCCTTCTGGCTTTCGCCTACAACAGGCTGCTTCATCTCATTGGCTGGAGACTTGGATGGAGCTGCTGCTACAGGGGCGGCCGGTTTGATCTTTGGGCTGTCCAGGAGAAGTCTTGGGCGCTTTGTCGGGGTTTCCTTCACGTCATCACCCATCGCTGGCATAGGCCCTGCACCGTCCGTGTCGGGGTTCGGATTCACCTCCATTGGCGACGTCAGCGAGCCTGTGCCCGTGGGCAGCTCCGCTTCTCCCTCCTGCAACACACATAAAAGGAACAACATGGCATACATTAGGTGGGGTTTAGGGGGGAGAGAAGGTGTTAAGGTTTGAACGCACACCACATCTGGCCTTGTAAAGTGGGGGACCGAAAATCCATCCCCCAGTTTGAACCTCCAACTATGCGCCGTGAGACCCACCCTCCCCCCCATCCACTCAAGCTCAAGGCTCTTAGACACCCGTCCCGCCCAATGTGCGTGTTCAAGGTTTTGGGGCTCAGGGTTTAAGGATTTCTTGTTCAAGATTGTTAACCAACTGCATGAACGGACTCTGCAACACCGAATGCATCATGGCATTGCGATCCTTGGTTTCCGGCGTCTTGATCTTGGCTTCGGCGGCTTCGGTCTCAAGCTGCTGCAAAGCCTTTTCTGCAGCCTCACAGTCCAGACTTGGGAGAATGCGGGAACATAAAACGAAAGCGCACACATCATGCACACCGTGTTTGTTTCACATCATGCGCCCGGCCTGACTGTCCGTCTCTTCCTCGTCTTGGTTGTCTGGGTCTAGGATCTCACTTCCCTCGGCCTCGTGCTTTGGCTCGCCATCGCCTTTGCCTTCGTCCTCCTCCGCCTCCTCCTTCTTCACGCCAGCATGCGCTACTGTGATCAACGCATCGTGGTTTTTCATGGCATTGACCATGGACACCATGAGACCTGCATCGCGGCCGGCAGCCTCAAACGTCTGAATGATGGCCTTCAGGTTATCAACCTCGGATGGGGTGGCAACCAAGAGCGAAGCCCTGAATCCACTGACCATCTGCTTGCCGTAGGTAATGTCCAGCATGAAGAAGCCTGCAGGCACGTAGGTCACAGAGTTGGCACCGCTCTCCCCAATGTAGAACATCGGCATCAACCCGTCTGCATCCGTGGTCGTAGCTGCTTGCAAAACCTGAGATGCGACCTCAACTGAGATGTCTTGGGCCTTGCTCACATTAAGCTCGGACATCTTGGCGGCCACACCGGTTGTGGCTGAGTCATCTTGAAGCGTAATCAGCTTTTCTTGCAGCGCTGCAAAGCCCACGGCAGCAAAGCGCCGCTTGCCCTTGAGCTGAAACCTCAAAGTGGCCGCCTGCTTGAATTCCGTCCCAGCATAACGCATGACATCTGAGAAAGCGTAGGCCCCGACCGTTGTGACCAGGGTGGCCAATTCCTGGTCACTTAGGGAGGCTCGGACAGGATCCACGGCCTCGGCCGGGGCATACTTCAAGATCGTGCCAAGGAGCCCGCTCATATCTGGGAGGTTCATGGTTCCTCTTCCGGAACCAGTGAACTGCGGCGAACTTTGGAAGGTCCTCAAGAAATTGAAGCGCTGACGGACCATGTCATCCTTGCTCAAGGAGTCCTCCAACTCTGAGCAGGACTCGACGAGGAATGGCTTGGTAACATCGGCTGCCGTGGAGGAAAACCCTGCGCTTCCCGCAGTCGGCACTGCCTGTGCTTTCAAATGCGTCACCGCCTCAGACAAGTCTGTCAAGGTCCCAAACTGAAAGATTGGCGGGAGTGCCTCTGCCGTCTCGGAGGCTGCATTGGCTGTCTCTGCTTGCGCACCCTTGGGAGGCTTGCGGGCACCAGAGGCCCGAGCCTCTTCCTTGGCTTTGGCCTTTGCGGCAGCCTTTGCTTGAGCCGCTTCTTTCTTGACACGTGTTTCGAAAGTCTTCTGTCTGGCTGCACGGGCTGACTTGAGGTCCTTCACAGCACGCATGCCGCAGGAGAGCAGGTTCTTCACCAATGCCTTTCTCTCACCAAAAGACTTCAAAGTCTGTTTCAACTCGTCCTGGTCAGCTGCATTTGTCGTGTTGTCAAAGGCCTCGGAAGCAATCTCGAAACGACTCAGCAGATGCTCGAAGTCCGGGCTGGGGAGCATTGCACGATTTTCGGGAAGGCATGCGTCCGTCTTGAACTCCTTGAATGCCGAGATGGCATCCGCTGGGTCATCTGGATCCTCGTCCAACGGCCCAGCCCACACCTCGATGGCCGACCTCCTCGTCCGCAGCAAGTTCACATACATCTTGTAGAGTTCCTCGTCCTCTGGGGTCACAGACTCCAAAGCGCTGTCGAGCTTCCACAACACATCACGGGCTTCAGTGACGAGGGCCTGGTTCTCACGCTGCAGCCGATCGTGTTGGGTCACCTTCAGGGCCTGCACGTCCGTCTTCCGCTTCTTCTTTTTGTTTTCCTCCGCTGCTCCATCCGCAGGCGGCGGAGGAGGAAGGGCCGCCTGTTCCAGAGTGTATCAAGCCGAAGAGTGAGAGTAACAAGTGTTTTGTTTCAGCAAGGGCTACCTTCAGACTTTTCCGGGGTCTTCGGGGCTTTCAGACTTTCAGTAGTTTAGCAGCAGCAGCAGCAGCAGCAGCAGCAGAAGGTTACGAAGTTCGCAATCACAATTATTATTATCATTATTCTTGTCATCGCTAGCATAAGTATACACTAATACACTACTGATTTTCTTAAAGATTGTGATGATTATTTTAACAACTAGTATTCATCTTGTTGTATTGTGTATCAGTAGCAGTAACAGGACTAGCAGTCGCGGTGGTCGGCGGTGGCCCATAACCAATAACCAACAACTCGACATGAACTCTTAAGCACGATGGGCCTGTGTGCAAAGGGCACCTCCTCTGCCTCTTCCCAGCGAAGACCCACCGGCACGAAGGGCAGCAGAAAGATTGCCGCCGTTGACATTGGAAAAGATCTCCGAGCTGAAGCCGTCGTGCCCGGTGCCCATCGCGTCACACATGTCCTGCAGCTTGTCCTCCGAGATATCTTTCTGCGTCCTGCCAGACTGTGTTATGCCTTTGGAGCTGCGCGTTCCGCTGGAGCCCACCACCTCATCGAACATGTGGATTAAAAGCCTGTCTGCACCGCCCTTTCCGAGTTTGTCCCTGCCGACGGCGATGTCGTTGTACAGGTTATCCCATCGGTCTTTGGCTTCCATGGGGGTGTAGGATCCCCCCTCTGCAGTCTGGCTCCATTCTAAATAATAGGTTTCCGTCATCCATCGGCAGCGTGCCTCGGTCTGCACCTGGTTGAACGTCTCGAGTGTCTTGAACATCGTCGTGAAATCGTACTTGGCCCGTTGAGCACCGCGACCTTTGGCAGGACACTTTTTTCTGAAGTCGATGATCACTTTGCGGTAGTCTGCACCTCCAGCTGCTTTCAGCTGCTTCCATTGGGCTTCCTCCGCTGTGCCCTTCACCTGCTTCTCTGCCGCCTCGTCTGCGCGGCGGCACTCCAGGCATACACACTGGCTGTTCTTGCCTTTGCCGAAGCAATGCTTTGCCAACATCTCCAAGCAAATCTTGCATTGAATGAGCACTGCGGCCGTGAGTGCAAGAACGGCATTCTCTCCTCCAGCCTTGTTTGGAGATGGGGTCTCAGTCGAGACCGGAGCTGCAGGGGAATTTCCTGAAGCGCCTGGCTGTGTGATCGATGGCTTGAAGGGGCTTACATCCAGCAACTCAGCCTCATCCTGCAGAATGTATGCAGGTTTCGCCATGGTGGGCCTTCCACAACAAGATTCCTGGCTCCTGCTATGGCACACACCTCACAAGGGTTGCACGCTGCAACCTCGATTGGAAAAGAGCTGATTCAAGCAGTGAATGTGTCACAAGTCTGCAAGCTGATATTCCGGAATCGCAAACATGTTGGACCATCGAGCCAAAATCTCTTTTGTTCTTTCTCTCTCACTTTCTATCTCTCTATATTCCTTTCTCTCTCAAGTTGTTCGGCCGGCTGGCCCCACCTCACCCCTGCGCCATGGTTTCAGCCCCACTTTGAGAAACGCCTCACTGCATCACCGCTACAAAATCCCGCCACAGGCCCCCCCCCTCCATCATGCCCCCATCCCCAGCATTCTGTGCAACGCGGTCTGGAAAGTCCTGATCTCTTGAGTCTCTTCTGATGCACAAGCACAGCTGAGCATCTGACAATTCCACGGGAAAAAAACCCAGCAACGTTCTGCCGCTGACAGCTGTTCAACTTGCCCAGCACCTGCTTCGGCCATTGAAAGATATCCTCCAAAGAGCCAGGACCCAGTTCCTTGAAGAACTCACCTGAGCCCAGTGCGGCACACACATACGCACACGCAAACACACACACATACACACACCACTCATCAATCCAAAGGCAGCTCCGTGGTTTGGATTCTGCAAACCGACTCTGACGAATATTCAGCTACAGTCACTATGCAATGCAACACACAGCACTCAGCACCTGGCTCTGGGCACCATAGACCAAGCTCTTCTTTCTGCGCTTGGCTTCGTGGGCAACACCAACCTAAGCTACTTTAAGCCTGGTGTGGGCGTGGGGCGTGGGGCAACTGCGATGCTTTCACAGCGGTCGATACCGACACCTTCATGATTTCAAAACCCTGGCCTGCCTGGACTCCAAAATGGATTTGCTGCGGCTCCCTGGACATGTTTGCGAAAATAGCTCTTGCTGCCGAAAGACTCCGCAGTCATCTTCAATCAAGTTCTGGCCGCCGTACGCTGAAGGCACATCGTCCACATTCCTGGCACGAGACCGTCTAAGACTAAGAGGCACTAACAGGAACACAACTTGTACACGAACGGCTACGCATGACTGAAGCTCAAGATTGCAAGCAGAGGCAGCACGAGGCTCACGGCTCACGAATAACCTTCTACATTTGCAGCGAGCAACATGGCAAACTGGCGAACTCGAATTGAATCAGAACTGAATGCGGGCCAGCCCGCCTGCACGAAGAGCATGCTGAGGACACGGAGCACACACTCCGCACGTCATCAACATCCATAACTGCGTTCTCCATGGCAGACAGGAAAGCTGCTTCACATCTCACTGCCGGGCACTGCTGGGACTGCGAAACTGCCAGACACTGGCAGACTCAAAGAAGAAGCTGAACACACCTGGCACTCTACCGATGCGGTGTGCGTGCCACTACAGCTCTCTGACTTCTGCAACTTTCGTCGTCTTCAACTACCAAGTACCAAACCTGACAACATGTTTCTGTGGCAGACCCTCATGCTGGGCCACAGCTAGATTTGGATCCAAATCGAAATCAGTGTCGAAGCAGCACAGCACAGGGTTCACTGGGTTCACAGCTTCGAACACACTTGCAAGACGATCGCACAGCTACATCGTTCACGAAACTGCTACTGCCTATCGACATTAACAGCTTTCAACAACCGCAAAACCATTGTCGACTTCGCCTGCAAGATGACACAATCTGACGACCTGGAGTCCCTCAGCGTGCTGCAATCTTCGGATCTTCAGCTGCTGTCTGACATTAGAATCTAGCACTGGAAGTCTACAGCCTCACGGTTTTCAAGTGACAATCCCAAGAGACAAAGGACACAAGGACACGACGTGACACGACAGGACAAGCAGGAGACAGTAAGAGACTTGCTCCCTGGTAGTAGTATCGCAAAGCCAGACAGGAAGTATACGTGGCGGCAGTGGGTCGCAGTGGCATGTGTGTCTGGACCGGAGCGGGGGTTAAGTTTAAAGTTTCATTGGCTGGCTTAAAGCTTCAGGGGGGGCGTGGGATTCCGCGTGCTGCTAGAACAAGCCGGAGCGGGGAGGAGCCCAATGGCAAGTCTCAACCGTTGGGGCGGGCCAGCATCAGCAGCATTATGGAGCAGTAGCTGAGTCTGGCTGCCGAAGCCAGTCCAGTGACCAGCGGGCAGGGTGTTTAGCAGCCTTAGCCTTGAATGACTTGAATGGATCCTACGGTGGCACGGTGGGGGTGCAGAGCTGTGGCAGTACCACAGTGTGACAGAGTGACAGGCAAGACATAAGACAAAGGACGGAACATGTAGTGATACTAGTGTGCAGTGAAGCAGCAGGAGCAGCAGGAGCAGCAGCAGCAGCAGCACCAGCAGCAGAAACCGTATAGGTATAGGAGGCAGCAAACAGCAGCAGCAGCAGCAGCAGCAGCAGACCAGCTACCAGTTGCCAGTCACCAGCGATGACATGAGCTATGCCACAGACTTTTGTACTGTTTAGCATACATAGTGACATAGTACATATGTTATGTATGATATTTTTTTCTCTGTCTTTTGCTGATTGCAGGGATTGCGTTCGTGGGGCCGCGTTTGCACTGTGGCGGGGAAGTGTGTTTTCAAAGGCTTCAACCAAATCACCAAATCTTTCTTTCTTTCTGGTGGAAACCCACAAAAAACAATCGAAACTCGTTGATTCTTCATTGTTCCTGCGCAAACACCAAAATTGACCTGCGAGGCACTCTGACGTTGAAAATCCCCCGGGTGGGCTGATGGGGCCTGATGGGGCCCCAGGCTGCCCCTGGGAGGAGGTTGGGTGGGTCCGGGCAAGAACCCGGAGAACCGGGGAGAACCGGGGACCACTCTTACATAGCTCTTGGGAGAACCGGGGAGAACCGGGGACAGGGGCTCATGGGGGTGTCTGGGCAGGCCCTGGGGAGTCCTGGGGAGGGCCGGGGAGGGCCGGGGAGGGAGCCCGGAGCAAAACTGGGCTCGCAGCGGGCTCGCGGCTGCTACACATCACGCTTGTTTCTGGGACGTGGGCGAACGCAACTGTGTCCGCTACGTGGACCCACGGAGGCCAAAACGTGCAAAGTTCCAGCTCTGGAAGCTCTTGTCTTTGTGGCAAACCCCAAACCCTCAAAGGAATTGCGGTTAAGCCGACTGCACTGCTAGACAGACATGTGGCAAGGCTGCACGGCAGAAATACAACATAGTGGCAACATATTCCAAAACTTCAGACGCATAGTCATAGCAGAAATAGTAGCTGCATCCTCAATGTTTCAACAAGGCTGCAAGACTGCAAGAGGCTGTGGAAACTCTAGGCTCAACATAAACAAAAGACTGACCGAAGCTCGAGGCTCAAACACAAACAGACAAGCTTGATCTTTGTGTAGGGCATGTGCTACAACACTTCGCAATGATGCCTGTAATGTTCATCATATGCTGGCTTTGAGTATGCTGTGTCTTCAAGCCTTCAACGCTTCAAGCATGCAAGAGTTAAACCCCGTTGCCAAAGTAAGCTTTCGTCTTTGCGCTTCGCAGCACTCTCTTGGTCACTCTCCCTCCAGAAACTCGTCCAAGTCCTCTTGCTCCAGCATGCCATCAAGCAGATCTTCTTCGAGAGCCTCAGCCGGGCGTCTTGCCATGGCCATATGCTCTTCCCTTGTTTCAACAGCAGTAGCGCAGTTGCACCAATGTCTAACGAAGCTCAGTGCAGCTTCTTTATCGTCTGCGGACTGAACACTCATGGATCGAGTGCAAGCTTTGCGACCCGGCACGGCATGAAACCGACAGGTCGCAGACCAACCCCCAAACTTGACAATGTCGTTCGGCCTGCGCCAGTTTATGTGGAAGACACCCCAGTCATGACTGTCTGCCGACACTTGCGGCGGGTTTAAACGTACACGCGGATGCACAGCGGCAGCAGGACCACCCGGCGCACCCCGGTCCTCGGCGGGACCAGGAGGACTCAAATGCGAACTCGAAGAACTGGAGCTGCTGCTGCTGCTGGACGAATTGCTTGTGCTTCCAGCAGTGGAATCGTGAGAAACTGAACTTGCATCGCCGCTGTCAGCATGGCTTGGGCTCGCCGCTGCTGCAAACCCTTCTTCGTCGATCTCCGACAGCAGCTCAGCATCAGAATCTCCAACACCGGAAGGCAATGCACTCTCTATGTCCTCTGAGACCAAGCTGTCACCCGTTCGCTCAGCCGGTTCCGCCGCCGCCGGCCGTGCATCTTCCAAAACTTCCAAGTTCTCGCGGTCACCAGCAAGCTCTGCAGAAGGCCTGGGCTGGATCCTTCTGGACTTGGCGGGACGCTTCGCTTTAGCTTTCCCAGCGACCCTTTTCCGTCGCTCAGGGGGCGCCGGCAACGCAGCAGAGCCATCATCATCCTGCAAAGCTAATCTGGGAGTCTTGCTTGCCACAGCAGGAACGCACGTGCCTTGTGACTCGACGAAACCGCGGTACTGGTTGATTCGCCACGAGTGCATGACGGGCAGAAGCTCTTCTTCCGTCCTCTGACTCCACACGGACGCTGTCAACGACAAAGCCAGGAGGTACCATCGAGATGGTGGCGATATCCCAGCAGAGCTTATAAAAAAAACCTTTTCTACCCCAGGCCGATATGCAGCTTTCTCTGTCAGGTTTTTCGTGCTGCAAACTTGCGGCTGCCAACCTTGTCGCTCCATCAGCATCCAGAGCTGGCAGGGGTGCAAGGTCTCGATGGCAGCTTGAGACTCTTCCAAAGGAACTGGCAAGACGCAGACTGGTGTCGGACGGTGCAGATGGAAAGTCAACTGCAGCTTCCGCATGGTGCTATGTGTCAATTGGTAACCCACAACATTATGTATGTCATGACATAGCACAGCATCAGGTATGTCTGCTTGTAAGCGGCAGAGTTGAGCATGAGCATCGCTTTCTGGACTTGGAACAAAGTGGGCATGGCGATCTTCGAAGGCACCATCCCGCAGCATTGCTTCAAGAAGATCCTGAGGGAACCCAGGAATTTGGTGCTCGCAAGTAGCAGCAAACTCCCACTTCAGCAGCTGCTTGACCAGAACATGTCTTGCTCCCAACGGCACAGCTGTGTCCAACAGCACGGTTGCACTGCCTGATTGATCAGCTTCCCAGGTCAAAGGCGTAGCACGGATCTTCGCACTTGTCTCGCTCGCTTCCACGCACTCATGCCTTGTGACGGCTATGTCTGTCTCCTTCAGCTTCTGGCCTACTCCAGGCATCACATGCTGAACTTTTTGCCTCGATGGACGCTTGTGCACAATGCGGAAAAAGGCAGGAAAATCGGCAGAATCAGTGAAGGCGTGTTGCGACCCAGGGACTGGGACCAGATTGCTGCTCAACCCAACGTCGGACTCCAAATGGAGAAGGGCGCTGTCTGCGTGCCTCGCAGAACCATTCGACGAATCCTTCGCCCTAGTAGCACCACACGCTATGACGCTGCGCATGCTCTGAAAGACCTGCCTGGAAGGCTGGGGGGCGGGGTGTGGGATCAACGCAAGTCCTTCTGCATGTTTGTGTGGGCCTTCAGGGTGCTGCGGCAGTCCACTCGGGGATCCAGACACAGATGCCGGCAGAGAAAACACGTGTGCATCATGATTCTCATCACTCCGCAAAAAGTCGAAGAGCAAGCTTTGAAAAAACCAGTCTGGTCTTTCATCACGTTGAACACTCGGCGCAACCTTCTTCTTGCCCCTCGCGGCCTCTTGCTTCTCCCGGTGTTTCTTGTCCTTGTCCTTTGCAGAGGCGACTGTCTTCTGCACCTCTCGCAAATCCTGAAAGTTGGATTCTGCATCACACCGATAGATTATGCTGCAAGCAACACCATGCGGCACCGAATCTGGGCAGTTGGCCACCAGCGGATGTGAGTCGAGGCCCAAGAGTCGCACTGCCTTGTCAAGATTTGGGACTAAATCAAGATTTTCTGCAAGCACCATGCTGGCCCAGGCTGGTCCATGGTCAACAAAGCGCTCGATTTCGGGTCCACGAAGCGCCATGCTCACGGCAGAAGGGCCAGAGCGAGGAGCCTTCAGAATTTCCCGCTGGGTGCTTGCGTGTGGCCCCTCAATCACATGCTCAGCAACAGGTATCATCTTCAAGATCTGCACTGCCCTGTGAAGCTGCAAATGATTCTGCAAAGGTTCGCCGTTGGCAACAGCAACCATGCTGGCATGAAGTGGGCCTTTCGGCGAGCAGAAAAGGTTTGACACACGATGGTGTGCCCCAGCGTCCGGCGAAGAAGCGTACTGTTGCAAACAGTCCCTTGCCACCTGCGCAATCCTGTCAGCATCGCTAAGAGGCACAGCTAAACCGCAAAGACGCAAGGGGAGCTTGGTCCACGCATTCAGTTTCAGGTCCAACACATAGGCCAAATGAGCTTTGGCACCTTCGAAGTCACCTCAGCAAGCCACCACCCGCACAATCGGTGCGACACTCCGCAGCTGCAGACTCAAGATCTCACAATTACATTGGAAACTGTTGGTGCAAAGTGCCTAGTGACTACTTCGTGCTTTCAACTCCCGGGCGCAAACAAACTGAGCGATAGTCTCCTCTCATCCTCAGGAAAAAAGCCGACTTGTATCTTAGGCAGGGACCCGGCCGGGATAGTACCAGCCACCAACTAGCCACACCCACACCCACACCCACACCTACACCCACCAACCCACTGCCACCCACCCACCCACCCACCACCCACCCACCCACCCAGCCACCCCCACACAGCCACACACACACACACACACACCCACCCACCCACCCACGCCCACCAACCCACCGACCCACGCGCATCACCCACGCCACATACACTCATACACCATGCACACTGACACACATCAACCAACACACACGTCACGACACAGACACACACACACACACACACACACACACGCATGCGACGCACGCACACATACACACACCCAGACTGGGACTGACATTGTGACACACAAGAACACACACACACACACACACACACACACACACACTCACTCGCACACTTCCGGCAGCTTCAGTCTTGAAACTTGAACTGCAGAAGCCACAGCTAGATGACGCCAGCTACATTTGCAACACCGGACACTCGCACACCTGCCTGGCGAGCTGTGAAGATAAGCAACGAAAGACCAAACACTGTGTCATGGACTCTGCAGATCTGAGTGCTCTGCGAAGCAGCCCCGAACGTTCTTCCTCTGTGAGAGCTTGGGTGGAAGCAAGCACGAAGGCGTAGTGTGTCTGAGAAATGTCTTCAAACACATCCTTCAACTTACCCGACGCAAGCTCTGGAGCTCGTCTGCCCTTGCCTGGGCACGTGGCTGTTCGGTCGGAGGCAGCTAGCCCCAACTCCCGGTTGAAAGCAGCTTGTTGCCGGAATGCAGTCAAGTTAGCATCATGCTTGTGGCAAGGACATCCTTTCGCCCAGCCTTCGAGGGCCCGGATAGTCTCTCCAAGATGCCATAGCATCTTCGCGGTGGGCCAAAAGCTCGCTGAACGAAGTGCTTCATCAACTTTCTCCAGCGAGACGCTGGCTTCGTTTGATCTTGTTCTGTACCCTTCCTCATCTTCTTCCCCGCCTCCACCGGAGCCGGCTAAGAACAAGCGAAGACTCCACCCTGCCACCAGGGCATGCTCCAGCCCGAGCACGTGGCGAAGGACTTGCTGTATGATGTTCCATCTCCATTCGATTGGCAGCGGACACCCGGTGTTGAAGAAGTCTGCGAAAACATGGAATCTTCCACCCTTCTTGAAGCACGTACCTTTCAAGCGAGACCGGTAGTGCCCATAATGAAGGAATTGTGCAACAACCAGCAGCTGCGGTTTGAAGGAAGTCCAAACCGCCATTCGTTCGTGGACCTGGCTAGTAGCATTCGCAAGTATGTGCAACACACCACAGATCATGAGTGTGTGAGGGAACATGTGCTCCGCGCAAGTTGCTGGCGCTGGGAGTGCGCAGTCAGCGCCGCCGGTATCATCTTCGATATGTTGCGGCAGCAATGCGACGCACAAACGGTCAACATCGATCGCTGGAAAATCCGGCAACCCTGACTCCACTCCCATGTCAGTTGTGAAGCTGACCGTGGTGGCGAGCACTGCCTTCAATGCATTAGCTTCAACAGCTTCGAGTCGGAGAGCGTGTAGAAGTGCCGCAGCTTTGTTCGGCAGGTCTGTGGCTCTGCTCCCCAACACGACTGGAACATGCATGTGCTTGACGCAAGCCTTCAGCATGACTTCCATGCTCTGCTTCCTGGCATGATCTGGCATGTCACTATGGCTGAAAGTAGCAGTAGTTGAAGACTTTAGTATCTGAGTAACAACTATAGCAAGTAGCAACAAATTCAACAAATACAAAAGACGACGAAAGCAGCGGCCTCTTCTGCGACGTCTGCCAAGCATTCGGCAACAACTCCCCAGCATCGTCCCGTGCACCGTCGTTGTCGTCCATTGTGTCGACAAGTAAATCGATAGCCGACGCCACATCTTGCAAGTCTGCCGACGAGATTATGTCTGAAGCCGAGAGAAACCAATCTCGCCCTCCTTGAGGACTTGAATCAGCAAACCTCGAAAGCATCTGACATGAAACACGAACTAACCCCGAAATGTTCTGGAAAAGCTGGGCCACTGCGCATGTCTGCGAGTCTGTGCAATTAGCCGTTTAAACATTTACTAACAGGCATGGCTGCTACAGTATAGCAGAGGCCCGCGCATGAATCTGCACTTCCGCTCCGCTGACGGCTCCCCAGCGACCCACGAAGCCCAGCTCGGAACCGGTCCATAGGTTCGGCCAGAACAGCAATGGAGCCTGGCAGACTGTTCTGTCGAGCTGTGTACAGCATGTAAGCCACATCTATACGAGCTTTCGCTCGCTGCAACGTCCAAACCGAAGGCAAGGTGGAAGTCTCGCAAGAGACAACTGCTTCAGCGAGAGGGGCCGGCAGCACAAGTGTGATTGCCCGCTCAACTGCCTTTTGCAGCCCACGCAAGCTTCTTAACTTGGCGGGCCCGCTGAACAACTATTCTTAATGCCATCTGGTCATTATATACAAAGCTCTTACAAAGCGCGTTTTTCCACGCTTTCATGGGCTCTAGAAGCGAGTTTTTCCACACATTCAGGGGCTCTAACAGCGAGTTTTTCCACATGTTCAGGGGCTCTAACAGCGAGTTTTTCCACACGTTCAGGGGCTCTAGAAGCGAGGTTTTCCACACGTTCAGGGGCTCTAGAAGCGATGTTTTCCACGCATTGCTGGCTCAAAAAGCACCTCGTGCTTCAAGAGCTTTGAGACTAGGAATATGATTTGCGTTCGTTATGTGCTTCGACCCACGTGATTGCTCTGTTTTTTTGTCTCGTCGGCACATCAGAATCACCAGCTCCGCTGCGCAAGCCTGGGATGTAGGGCCGATGCAAGATTTTAGGAAGTTTTGGGTTTAAGCGCATTGGATTTAGGAGTTCAGTCAGGGTTTAGGGAGTTTAGGGGTTTCGGGGTTTAGGAGTTTAGAGCCTGTTTAGGTTCAAGGCGAGGTTTTGGGTTTTGGGGCTTAAGGCTTATAGGGGCTCAGGGCCTCGGGCGGATAGCCCCCGCGCGCAGACTAAAATCCATGCCCAAGCCACCTATGCATACTTACCTTACGTGACTGAAGCCTGGAAGGGGCTCCTACAATATGTATATAGAGAATATACGAATAAACCCTCGTAAAAAAAACAACATGTGTGATCAAAATATGTATGCTATGTAAGCACGCGGACCCTGAGGGACCAAGATTCAGAGCCGAACTAGTTAAGCCCTGCTACGCCGCTACGCCTCCTAAATCACCTCGTTATCGGCATTGCCTCCGAACATAACCCGAAATTCGAAACCTAAAGTCCTAAAGACTTAAAGTTTAAAGACTAAAGTGACTAAAGACTTCCGAAGTACTTCCGTGAGCCACGCGTCCCTCTGGCCGCGATCGACGCACTGCCACAGCACCTGGCAACAGCATCCACAGTAGAGAGAGAGAGAGAGAGAGAGAGAGAGAGATTTACTTCATTGGGGTGCAAGGAGCGAGCCAGCGAGTCGGTCATCTGCGATGCTACTTTTCGCCCCGCTCTGCGGCAGAATGCTAGCGCAAATCACCGAAACTTCTCACACACATATTCTGATCTCGAGCCTGCGACTGAGTCGCTGTATCGTCTAGTCTAGTCCTAAGTCTTTGTATGCACATATCTTAAAGGCCTGAGTGCCATTCGCAAAGTATAATATGCCCTTTCCGAAGGATCGAAGATCAGAGTCAAAAATCCACTGACATTTGCAACCAGCCTGCAAACTCCAATGCAGCCCCCCGCGATTCCCGCAGGGTCTGCAAACTATGCCTTTGACTTAAAGCTGGATGCAGCCGCTCAGTCAGATCAAGATCAAACCATGGCTCAAACCCTTTCCGATGGCCCAGCTCGTTGGTCGCCGCCATCTTCGTCATCAGCTCGTTTGCGCCGCCATTTTCGTCAGGAGCATGTCCAGGTTTGCCGGCAGCCTCACTTGCTTGCTGTTGATCAACACACGTGCCTTCCTGGCAAGCTGGCCTCGAGTCTCCCCTGCCTTCAGAGGTCGCCACAGCGCTTGCAAGGTTGCGAGGATGCAGTTGAGGGAACGGCCCTGGACAACTCGTTCGCCGTCCACCATTTTCTGGTTGGCCTTCACGATTTCACCGGCACTCTCGCAAGCCGACACATTTGCAAGGTCTTTCAAGGCAAACAAGATCGCCGCGCAATTGTCAATCTGCTTCATGGCGCCATGGAGGCTTCGGGAAGCCTTGGATTGGGCAATGCAAAGAAGGCTGTTCATATTGGCATCGCTGCAGCCTTCAGCGATCTTCGCCTCTATTGAGGCCAAACCTTCGTCCTGCACCACCTTGCTCAGCTCCTCCAACAGGGCGGCGGTCGTCTCTGAGATCCGCTGGGCGATGGCAGTGCCAACCATCGTCGCTTGGCTGTCCACAACCTTCGAGAACTTCGTGAAGAACAGGATCTGCTGGCCGCAGGCCTCCTCGACTCCTCGCCCTCGATCTCGAAAGCCGCAATGTGGCTGCGGCTTTTGAATTCGGCACGCTCACCATCCATGGCAAGGAGACTCTTCATGAACTCCTCGTACTTCTCTTTCTCAGATGCATTGCTCTGCACCTGCAACTGCATTGACAAGCATGCCTGGCAGGCGTGGGCAAGTGCCAAGGCTCGTGGAAAACAGCATGCCATCCAAAGTCTCACACTCGCATCAGAAAGACCGGAGGGATCATCACCTGGTTCGCCATCGGCTCCCACGACCGGCGTGGCGAGGGCGACGCCACACCTGCTACTAGCTGCTCGCTAGTTGGCTACTTTACCCATGGTCGATTTATCCTACCTGCTTTACTGCTTGCATTGTTAATCTGATATATCTGCTTCGTCTTCTCCAATAACAAGATTCTGCAGAATGACAAACGAACTCAAAACTTTAGTGATTCGGTGCGTTCCATGGACTCTGGCAAGGTCTTGTGAAGCCACGCAGGAATCGCCTTGGCCAAGCTTTCACACTGCTTGTCAGCAGTCTGCAGCAGGGTCTTGTCGACCTCTGCGAGAGCCGAACCCTCAACGAACACGAGGCCAGGACCCTTGTGCGCCATCATGGCCAGCAGCGTCTTTGCCTCCGTGGTCTGCAGCAGTGGCCGCAGGCTTGTTTTGCACGCTTTGCTGATGATATTCATAGAGCGTTCCGTGGCAGCCTGCGAGAAGGCATCATACTGGGGAAGAGCCTTGATGACAGCGGACGGCTTGACGAGGACCGATGTCAAGGCACCCATGTTTTCGTCCTGGGCCACATCGATAACACCGTCATTCAGGAGCGTCTGCACCGTCAGCTCTATGATCTTGGCCAGGTTGAGTATCTCTCGGTACTGCGCCTGGTCCGCTTCGCGATCTTCTTTGGCCGTGATCTTGCCGAAAAGCGTGTCCGGCTCTTCAATGCTAGTGAGCTTCTCGACAGCCTTCCGGAAATCTGCAAGCTTCTCTGAATCGAAAGTGGTGCAAGTTCCCGCAGTCAGCTCACTCACGTGGTTCACGAAGAGCTCGAAGCACGATGCGGCTGCCTGCTTCCACGATGTCGTCATGACTTGCCGGGCCGCTTCCAGGCTGTCCTGGCGCAAACGACCAAACGCACGACCTAGATGTGACGAGATGTAGAAATACTTTAGAAGCTGCTCCCACCCTGTAATAAAGGTATAATAGGAATATAGTAGGACCCTAATATAATCCATATAGTCACTATTACAGGGTGGGGGCAGCTTCTAAGAAATACTTGCCAGCAAGCCATTTTGTAAAGAGCATCGGGCGAGATGGAGGGAGGGAAGGGAAGGAAGGAAGGGAGGGCGGAAGGATCTAAAACAGAGGGGCGCGCACATCATCTTTATTTCAGAGAGAGGCAGAGAGGGAGATCAAGCAAACTCGAAGGGGCTGAAAGTCCGCCCGGCCTGGATCACCTTCTGGATGCTATCCATGTGCGTACTGCTGCGTTCCTTGAACTCCTTGCTGGCGCCCTCATTCACCTGCAGATCAAAGCAAGGCTGTCAGCGAAGGGTGAACAGAAATTACGCCGATATATGTATGTATGTAAGTATGTATGTAGGTATGTATGTATGTATATACCTATGGTCTCCATTGTAGTTCCTTTTGGGGGGTACCTTATAGGATCCTAAAAAGTCTAGTTGGCTAAACCAAGAATAGGAACTGCAATGGAGACTATAGGAATGTATATATATATATATAGAATAATATATGTATGGAGACCTGGCACTGGGTAAGCCACAACCTCGGTTCAAGTTTGGGCTGATTGTGTCGGTTGTGGTTTTGGGCCACCGCCGCCGTACTGATGAGGGCCTCCGGGCCCCGCTCGAGATGAGCGCAACCCGACCTAACACAAAAGTTTGTAAGCTTAGACTCCATATCAGCCCCATAGACCCATAGACGACCATAGATCTAGACCTGTAGGCCCTAACCGGCCCTAGCCCTAACCCCCCTGTCAGTTCTCAACACCGAAAAAGAAACATGGGCCCACAATAAGACAAGCGGGTTTTAGGCTGAAGGCTTAAGGCTCAAAGCTTGAACTCTCCCAGGGTAAAGTTTAGGGCTCGTGCCTCGGCCTAGGGCCCAGGCCAGGGTTTACGGAGTTTAGGCTTCGGGCTTACATTAGGCTGACGCGAGGATCCGACTCTGCACGTAGACACAGATCCGACGACACATAAAAAGATATGAAGATCAAATCCCACCTGCTGGTAGATGCCCCAGATCTCTTCCAAGCCTGCAAGCTGCTCTGCCAACTTCTCAATGCGAGTGTCTCCATTTGGGGGCGTATACGATGGCAGCAGATTGAGCACCTTGTCGAGCAGGGTTTGCATCTGGAGGTCTTTCTCCCGTTGAAGGATGGCTGCTCCCACCCGCTCCAAGATCAGCAGGCCTGTCGGAAAACAGGTGACAACCTTGTGCAGTTTCAAACTCTTCTCTTCCCTGAACTGGGAAGCGGTTTTGCGGAGATCGTCCAGAGCAACATCTTCCTTCATGGGGTTCAGCAGCTTTTGGAGCATGACAAACTCTGCCTTGATGGCGCAGTCGGCAGGCAAACAGCTGGACTGCGCCAGGACCACACGCAGAAGCTTCTCCACGTCAGCCACTTTGTCCGCCTCCGCCAAGAGGCTGCAGCATAGGCGCATGACTTCACGCTCCTGGAAGCGAGCTCTCGCAGCAGCATCCGTGAGGATGTTGATGTTGAAGGCGCCCTGATTGTCCGAATCCGAGGCATCGGTGGGTGTCAGCAGAGTCATCATGCTCTCGTACTGCTTCTCGGAGGCTGCAGCATCGACTGCACGCTGCACTGCAATCTCTGCCACTCTGCTGGGAGGCTTGTAAGCTTCCGCGCAAGAGCAAGCACTCTTCCACAACTCCTCGCCAGACACCTTGTTGTCGGAGAGGCCGGTGACCATGGCCTCACGCATAGACGCAAACCAAGACCTGTGACCCAACCCAAGATCTGCGATATACGACCGAAGACAAAACCCCACCTAGGCCCGAAGACATAAACCCACCTGGGAACTGCTCGACACCTGTATTACTTGTCTGAGCATGGGCGGTCACGATTGGAAGACTGCTAGGAAGGACCTATGCCAGTGCATGTTGACATGACTTAAGATAGCTATCAGATAGCTGTTGTCTAATGTTCTTTGTTGGAAGGAACTTTGGTGTCCTGCACACTCGTCAGGAGACTCTGGGACTCGCGAAGATCTTCGAGGCACTTCATGCCCTCGGTCTGCTCTCCACTGGCAGGGTCGAATCCGGCGGCGTACAGGGAGCAACAGGCTGGAGTCAAACGGCTTTTCAGCCTGTCCACCAGCTGTGTGATGTGCTTCGGCTTCACCAGATCCAAAGTTTGCTCGGATTTCAAATTGTCCATCGCTTGTCTGCACTCTAGCAGCACTCTTTGGCTGGTCTGGATCTCCCGCATCTGTTTGGAGATGGGTCCCGCACGAGCCGAATCACCTTGCCCTTGGCCTTGGCCGCCCTTGGGTTGCTTTGGCGGCTTCGGATTGCCGCCCCCGCGGCCGCTGCCACGCCCGCCCTTGCCACCTTTCCCACCTTTCGTGGGAGGAGGTCCTGTCACGACTCACGACTTAACGACCGAGCAACAAACTAAGGCCACTGGTCGATCTGGCTCTATAACGAAAACCGAATTCCTGTGACCCGGAAATCTGGATGAAAAAGATTTTGTGATTACACACGTGAACGTGTGAATGCCGGTCCTTCGGTGCCATGGGAGACGTCCGGCGCAAAATCGAGCAAGTCGTCAAAGTCATCAGCGGCCAGCTTCCGTTTCGTGCCGGCCTCCAAGACCATGGTCGACTCGCCGTCCTTCTCCACCTCTTCAGGGGACTCGAGACGTCTGAAAATTTCGCAATACCGGTCGGGCAAGGAGTCTCAAGTTTATCGTGCAACTAGTGGCCCGTAACCCAAAATGTTCCCAAATCGCACCGTGGTTGTGTTCACCTTGAGCAGGTCTTTCATGTGCGTCCAGGTCTCCGCCATCTCGTTCCCGATGGCATCTTCACTCGAGGCCGCCTGTATCAACTGGCTTCCCACCGCCTTCTTGAAATCCGTGACCTCATACGTGCCTGACATTGGCTGGAGTTGAGGGTTTTGTTCGGTCAGCCAAGTTATACTTTTCGTCAGAAACCCAAACACAGCGTCTAAGGCTAAGGGGAGTACAAGACACCATAGTAGTCTGCGAGTCTACAGTGTGCAGTGTACACGCTACAGCACGCAGTGTGTATAGATTAGTATAGAATCGACATAGAGTCTTAGGCTCTTAGGTTTTTAGAGTCTTAGAGTCTTCGAGTTTTCGAGTCGACCTTAGAGTTTCAGAGCCTTAGACTTTTTGAATATTTGAGTGTTAGTGGGGGACTTACATTCTTAAGAGTTAAGAGTCAGTTAAGAGTCTTCCAAACTCCCCCAACTGAGGCCGTCATTGCTTAACGAATCCTAAAATCAGCAATATAACCAGCTGCCTGCAGGGCGGCCCTCAGAAGGATCTCGAAGAACCCCGACGATTTCGGCCCCACCAATTACCATTTTGGTCAGCTGATCCTCTGTCGGGACCTTTTTGGTGACGTCTTTGTAGATCTTGGTCGGCCACAAAATCCCCAAGAGTTGTCGAGCCTCAAGTCCGGTTTCTTGAGCCATGTTCAGCTGGGTGGGCTTCTCATCATGCAGCTCCGGGAGATCTTCTTCGCCCTGAAGCAAATTCACCAGAACGTGGGGGGGGTTATAGGCGGGTAAGTTACGGCTAACATTAAGTTCGAGAATCGAGAATCCATGAGTAATTTTGAAATTCAATCAAAGAGTGGAGTTAAGTCGACTTTTTGGGCCACAACAGCACCTTCTTGCACTTGCGCTTGCGGCTCGCAGAGCCGCTTACCGGCTTTTGCATCTTCTGCTCATAGTCCGCGACCTCGTTCATGTGCTCCTCGTACGAAGACTCACACTCCGCAAGCTTTTTGGCGTACGCCCCTCGCTGCTCCGAAGTTTGAATGGTCTTGTGCGATGTCCGGATGGAGCCGATGCATGGGAGACACTCGGCATGTCGTTCTGATCTGAACTGCAGATGCGGCTTGGTGTCTCTCATGCTGACCATTGGGTTGGGGCATGATCGCGGTCTGCGGCAAAATTTGCAGCCTTTGAATGCTGCCGATCCCCACGCCGGACATTGTTGGCTAGACCGCTCCGAAGGCAAAGACATATTGGCATCCACATCGGATGCGGCCACGCTCATACTGGATGAGCACGGGCAGCAAGGAACACAGGACCACTCGTTAGCAGCTAGCTGGCAGCTAGCGCAAAGGGCTCTCACAAGGCACGTACAAGCATGCGCCTCGCCCGGTGGCGTTCATTCACTAAGCAAGCAGAACTTTGCAATCTAGATTCTAGATTCTAGTGTAGATTCTAGAATTCTAGAAGCTAGCAAAAACTTTGGATCTCGCGACACCGTACGCAGCTCATGGAAGAAAGCTGCTGCAGCAGATCCGTGTCGTACATTCATTTTGTTTTCTCTCTCGCACTGACCAAAACTGGACATGTAGCCCCAACAGTGGCTCGTGCAGGCCTGCCACATTTTATGGAACGCACTGAATGGACTAATGGACCCTTCCACCCCTAAACCTAAGCTCAGGTCAAGAAGCTCAGCCTTATAGACTTAGACTTAGACCCTTAGACTCCGTTAGACCTCAAGCTTAAGGTTAAACCTAAACGGCTAAACCGGCTACGGCTAAACCTCTAAACTCTAAGCTAAACCGTGGCGGAACGCAGTCACTTGTCGGCTTTCGACTTTAGGCTAATAAGTGAAGGGTTTGAGCGCAAAACCTACAAGTCCTGCCACTAAGCCTTGTCAAGACGTCGATATTTGATAGTTACTTAGCAGCCTGAATCAGTAAGTCTATGTCAAATAAGGTATACACTATATAATAACTATATTTATATACTATAGTAATAGACTATACATAAGATAAGCCTAAGCCTAAGCCGACCAAGGTTTCCGAAACTGCGCGTCACTTGACACCATGGCAGCACGTCGCATGCCAAAGATATGCTCAGCTCCAGTCGCAAAGGTCGTCGATGGTGCGTCGACGTTTCACATCTGGCGACACGGGGACCTCCTGCTTCTGGAACACGAGTTTCATCTGCATCAACCTCGCCTCGAGGCTTTTCTTCACGAGAAGTGCAGCTGCGCAGCACCGTGCTTCAAAGGCATTGCCGCCCAAGTGCCGCAAGAAGTTGTCTGGCATGTCCGCCAAACGCTGGTGGTCTGGCCCATAGCGGATGTTCTGTAGCGACAAAGTCTCGTACCCGGTCAAGCATCTGGCCTGGTGGATGACGAGCTGCATCCCGCTCGGAGTGACAATGTCCGCTCGATTTACCTGCACTCTGGCGGTCGGATCTCCGGACTTCAAGCCCTGGCTGACCTCCACACTGGCCACGCGCTTGTCTGGATACTCGACCCCCATCAAGGCGAGCATGTCCAACTGACGTTCTGTCAGCACATTCAATCCCGGATATTCATCCAAAATGTGTTGGGCAGGCACTGTGGCTTGCCACCAATCTCGCCCCATTCTCTGCCAGGCCTTCTTGTGCTGCGCTGCCCACTTGGGAGGTCTGTAAACCTTCGCAGGTTTCGCAGTCTTTCGCTTCTCTGCAACATCAATCGCCTTGTGGATCTGGGCTCGGACCAGCTCGTGATCTGTGGGCAGCAGGTAATCATCCAAGTGACGCCGCGGCTTCTCAATCCCCACACAGAGCTTGTTCATGAGGCTCATTGCCCAAGCCTCCACCTCCTGGATTTGAACCTGTGCTTGGGAGATCATGTACTGCGGCAAGCAAATCATCCAGATTCTCTGCCTTGACACGGGCAGACTGAATAGCCCGGGATCGAGCTGGAATGGGATTAAAGTCAACCCAGCACGCTCGGCTTCAAGCTGACAGTACTCGAGGTTTGAGTGCCACTTGTTGCCTGCATCATCGGTGCCTTTGGGGCGTGTCGCCAAGCCGAGAACGTTCTCGAGGAGCAACCCCGAAAACTGAACCTGGGCCCCCGCTTTGGGAGCTAGCATCTTTTTGCAGTAAGACATGACGTCTGCAAAGACTGCCCCTGTTCGGCGGCTTGCATCTCGCACCACCCAACGGTCTGCGTTGGGATTTAATCTGCTGACATCCTGGCACGGGAATCCAACCACGAGGTCCCCGCAAAACGGAAGCAACACATGCCCTTGATGGAGCTGATCGTGCACTGTCTCACCCTCATCCGTCGAAGCCAGGTCTGCCGTATTCGCAAAGATGTGCTGCACGTCCGAGTAGTCCCAAGTGTTGGTGAACATCTTCTGCAAGTACTCAATTTTGTTCGAATCCGACTCACACGAGAAGATGTGGTTCACCTGCAGGCTGCAGCCAAGCTTGTTGTTTAAAGCCTTGGCAAAGGCTTTGCACACCAACACGGCACAGTCGGTGCCGGAGCAGGCGGTTCCCAGATTCAGCGCACGATCGTGGAGGTAGCCGATCAAGTCTGCGCGAACAGAGTCGTCCAACCTGTCTAGCATCTCACCAATGAAGTCCGCCAGCTGGACATGGCCATCCTGGTCAACTGGCCTTCGATCTAGACAGTACGGATTTGCAGTCGGGGAGGCTCTGGGCTGGATCAAAGAGATGTAGTTCAGGGACGCATCCTCAACCACAGGTCCCGAGTCTTCTTCTTCTTCGTGTTCTGATTCTTCATTTCGCCCTTCTGCACCTGACTCTGATGGCACCGGAGAGCCTGCAACACTGGCTTGAACAGACTCCACTTCTTCCTGATCGTTCACATCAGAGCCAACATCGCTATCCTCCTGCTCCGTCACTGGCTCTGATCGGGCCAGGCCCCCCCCTTTGCCTGGCCAAGCGAGTCCACGCTTCTTCGGTGCCATACAGCGAAAAATATGCTAACTTGTTGGGGTGGCAACAACTTTTAATAAGACCGGACCTAACACATGTTACACTGCATGTTACTGTTACCGTTAATAATTCAGCACAACATCGGAGTGATCATGTCTGCTCTGCAATTCTCATAGCCCCGGCGGCAAAATCATACATGCGGTCGCTCACACTCAGTCGCGGTACATCCTAGATCAGGACAGGCATGCAACATCAACTGCATGCATCTGGCAGAATCTGGCACCTAGGCCCGCTGTCAAAACTTCCGGCACTCGATTGGCACCTCCGGAGCGCCAGGTGGCCCGCGGCGGGCGCAGGATGGCACAGCCCTGGCAGGAGCGAGATGGGCAACTAGAGTCAGTTGTTTCCTTCTGTGGATAAGCACCATAATTAAGGTCATAGGCCCGGTGGCTTTGGCTCGGAGACAGGAAGTATGACGCTGTCCGCTTCCTGTGCCATACTTTATGGCCTAGAATCCTAGAATCTAGAAGCTAGACAGCTAGACTCTTAGAACATGCTTCCAGATTTGTCCAAAAGGTGGCAAGGGCCCGCGGGACCAAGGTTTGGTTTCGAGGCTTCAGGTTTCAAAGCCTCAGGCCCCGTCTTTGCAGAACCCCCAAAGACCCAAAGACCAAGGAGCAGACGCCTATACTACTTTCGACTTTCAATCTTACTTGCACGTAACGAGAAACGGGTGGGTGAGAGTATACCAGAACTGCTTCCCTATAGGGCCCTGGGCCGCAGGTGCGCGCGCATGTTTTTTTGCAAAATTTATGATGCGCGCGCGCGCGCGCGCGCAATTTTTTTACAAAAAAGTAGATTGCGAAAATTCAACACACCCGCCCCAGTCCTGCTCTTAAGTTAACCAGCATCATTTTTCCACAACAAGTTTGTTCTGTCAAAAGGAGTTTCCACAAAAGTTTTTCCGCAAAATGTTTTCCGCAAAACGTGTTTCCACAAAAAAAGTTTCCACAAAAAGTTTTCCACAAAATGTTTTCCACAAAACGTGTTTCCACAAAAGTGTTTCCACAAAAAGTTTTCCGCAAAATGTTTTCCACAAAACGTGTTTCCACAAAAGTGTTTCCACAAAAGTGTTTCCACAAAAAGTTTTCCGCAAAATGTTTTTCCACAAGAAGTGTTTCCACAAAAGTGTTTCCACAAAAAGTCGTTGTCCACAAATATTGTTTCTATGGAAAGTTTGTCCACATAGTTTTCCGCTGAACAGCTGTGGCTGGCTGCCAAGTTGCGGAAAACATGCTGTCTTGGTGTGGCAATGCTGTTGTGCTTCTGGGGATCCAGGCGCGGTGTGGATTGTTGAATTAGGTCCAGTCGACCCGTCTTGTCGAGCGGAGAGAGTTACGCTTGTGTGTAAACCAAGTGGAAAGATGTTGACTTTCTGCAGCAAACGATGTGAAAACAAGTGTGCTCATGCGTGGAAAAGCTTGTGGAATACACTTGTGCTTGTGCGGAAAAAGGTGTGGAAAGAATGCACAGGTGTGCGGAAACAACTGTGGAAACCGATGTTGTTACGCGGAAAACGATGTGGAAAAAAGTTTGTTGGTGTGCGGAAAACGATGTGGAAAAGCTGGCTGACGTGCGGAAACGATGTGGAAAAGGTTTGCCGGTTTGCGGAAAAGTGATGTGGAAAAAGGTTGCTGGTGTGCGGAAAACGATGTGGAAAAAGTTTGCTAGTGTGCGGAAAATGATGTGGAAAAACTTTGCTGGTGTGCGGAAAACGATGTGGAAAAAGTTTGCTGGTGTGCGGAAAACGATGTGGAAAAAGTTTGCTAGTGTGCGGAAAACGATGTGGAAAAAGTTTGCTGGCGTGCGGAACGCGGTGTGGAAAACCTGTTCGTTGTGTGGCAATGTAACGAATGTCTGCATAAAGATTAGCTGCGAAACACCCAAATTAGTTGCCGGCATCTGTGTTCTCTTAACTTTTCACTGACTATTGGCACAACTTGGCCTTGGTTTATGTAGACTGCAAGCACGGCTTGTGTCCAACACTTTGCCGCATTAGCAAACGTTTCCGCAACTTTTTCCGCAAGGGGGCCCCCTTGTTTCCACAACCTGATGCCGCAAGTTTCCGCAGACACAAGGCTACTTTTCCACAATGCGTCCCAATGACACATGCCTGCCAAGCAATATGTTTCCACAAGCGACTCCACTTTTCCACATCCTTTCCTGCACATTTTCCGCAGACAAGCCAAGGCTTTTCCACAAATGCTTCACGGTGACACAAGCTTATTCCACAGTTTTTTCCACACGCACATGTGGCTTCTGTCACTTATACCTCAACACCCACGTGCACCTGTCCACAACGTTTTCCGCGAAACAGAACGATATTCTCCACCTCTTTTGTCACGTTGGGTTCCTACTTCCATAAATAAGAACTTGGTTTCAAAGCATCATGTCTTATACCGCGGCCCTGATCACCGAAGCCAATAGAAAGCCTTTTTGGGGACCTCGTACCCTAGCTAGTTGTCACAGTAAGTAAGCGTCCTGTGACCTTGGGGCGGTTTGTGATGCTTTATGCTGACCACACAAGGATAGTGGGGGTGGTGGTGCCCAAGGCGAAGAAGAGCCCTACAAGCCCGTAAAAGCCCTACACGCCTTCTGACCTACCTCACCAAGGAGCGGGGACCTGGGACCCTAAGCCCTAAGCCGTAGGCCCTAAGCCCTAAGGCCCTAAGACCTAAGACCTAAGACCTCGCACCTGAGACCATATAGGACATAGCACGTATTTGAGGCCGAGACCCTGCAGCTAGCTAGCGCCCCTTAGCTCTGTCCTACGACCTAGGACCTAGGCCTAGGACTTCGGCCTTCAAGGAACCTGCAATCAAGAAACAAGATGAAAACCCCGACACGCCTAACCTACACGCCCACTACATAACTATGCCTGGACCTATAAACAAGACTGCTGACCGGAAACCGGACACCATACTACCCTGTTTGAGGCGGAGGTTCCGTCTTAGTCCCGGGCACGCGAGAACACTCGCAGCTTGTACACAGCATCGCCGAGGTCACACCTGGACAGCAGATCTTGTGCTTGCTGATGGACATGGTCATAGTCATACAGTTGATACCGGGACTTGAATGGCTTGAAAGCTGTCATGGCACAAACTCAGAGACACTATAACTATAGTCAAACAGTCACTCTCACTCTAACCCTCACTCTCACTCTCACTCTCTCTCTCTCTCTCTCTCTCTCTCTCTCTCTCTCTCTCTCTCTCTCTCTCTCTCTCTCTCTCTCTCTCTCTCTCTCTCTCTCTCTCTATCTATCTATCTCTCTCTCTCTCTCTCTCTGTCTCCTCTCCCTCCCTCTCTCGCTCTCTGTCTCTGCACACGCTAACCACAACGCGGCCCCCCAAGCCGAGCCTGCCGCTGCCGAACTTTCACGTGCCATCTCTCCGCCCTGAGCTGCAGGCTGGCAGCCTGATGCTGCTGGGGCCCACAAGATAATCCCTGAGCCAGCCAATTCTTCAAATCGCTTTCCAGATCCTGGAACGTTGGGTCGGACAAAGATCCGCGGGATCTCCGGACTGCAGCTTGCCTCTCGGAGCCGTTCGATGGCATAGAGATCGCAGTAACACAGTTCTTATGGAGGCGGCATGTAGCTTTCAGGCTTGTTTCTCCAAGAAAATGGATGCGGCCAACGGGTGTGTTGTTGGCGCGGGCCACGAAGTTCCATGACGACGGTTCGCACAACAGACTGTCCGGGTCAATGGCTGGCAGTGGCACGGCAGCTTGGGCTGGTGCGGGAGCAGGTTGCTGCGCAGCTTGAGGCCTCCTGTTGGAAGCCCGCCGCACTCTCCGTTCAGGCCTTGCTGCCGGGGCGTGCTCCTCTTCCGACTCTGACTCCGCATTGTCTTCCACCTCGTCTTCACGAGGGCACGCGATAGCATCGATCTCCCCTTCTGCCAAGCGAATCAAGTCGTCAAGCGGATTGTGCATTTGCGCCTGGTCCACGACAACTGCAGCGGGCTGGCGCCGCTGTCGCTGTCGGTCGCGGGAAGTCAAATCTTGCAACATATCCTGATCATCGTCACTGGGGCCAGGACGCGCGGCTCCGGGTCTCGGTGCCGGCGGGTCGGGATTCGCCGTGGCACAAAAATCTTGCCCTGACTGGGTGATCTCATACGTGTCTAATCTCGCACTCTGAGCTGGAAACTTCCACTCTAGCAACACAATGCGAACTCGCTCCACTGGCTGCTCTTGCAAGAAGACCATGGAGGCTGCCCACGCATCTTCCGACAGACTGGCCAGCCTGGCCAGGTGAGCGAGCTAAGGGCCAATCCCCTCTCCCCGTCTACGAAATCATCACTAGATTGGACTTTGGATCTTTCGGAGGAGGCTTCTGCATAAGCCTGGGGCCCTCTGCCACTACGACGAAAAACCTGAAGGAAGTTCAGACCTTTTGCATCAACGAAATAGTCGGACAGTTGTGAAGTCACGAAACTGACCGGTTGATTGCTCGGCTTTTGTCGGACAGTTGTGAAGTCACGAAACTGACCGGTTGATTGCTCGGCTTTTGTCGGACAGTTGTGAAGTCACGAAACTGGCCGGTTGATTGCTCGGCTTTTGTCGGACAGTTGTGAAGTCACGAAACTGACCGGTTGATTGCTCCGCTTTTGTCGGACAGTTGTGAAGTCACGAAACTGACCGGTTGATTGCTCGGCTTTTGTCGGACAGTTGTGAAGTCACGAAACTGACCGGTTGATTGCTCGGCTTTTGTCGGACAGTTGTGAAGTCACGAAACTGACCGGTTGATTGCTCCGCTTTTGTCTACTTGGAGGATCAGGAGACTTAGTAACTAGGTAACCATACTTATAATTACTTATGACCCCAATTAGGTACTTATAACATAACTTACTAAGTCCCCTGATCCTTCAAGTAGGAGCCAGGACCGGACCTATAGGACAGGGAGTACAAGACCTGGGACCGGGAGCTAGACCAAGGAGGCCAAGGATCACGGACCTAAGCAAATATAAATTTAGAAGCTAAAACTCGGCTTGCACTGCACTTTCTATCATAACCACGCACTGGAAACGCCCCAACTCAAACGTTCCAAAGCACTTCGGACGGGTGCACACCAAAAAAACCACAGCGGCAACCGCCAGCCCTTCAGCAAGTCGTTTGGCCTGCCGCTTGTGCCTTGATTCAGCGGCGACCGTGGAGGTTTGAGCGGCTGGCAGGGATCTTTCCGGCTGTGTCGCAAGCACAAGCCCGGACCATATGCCTGGCGGGAATACGTGAGTGGGGGAAACTGCTTGGAGGCCCTTTTGACTTAGTAAGTCTACTTAGTATCCCCTAGAAACCCTATTATAATCCCCATAACCCACCTTACTAACCCTGCTTACTAAGTCAAAAGGGCCTCCAAGTGGTTTTGAAGTTTCAGGGCGAGGGCTGCTCTGGTATATATAGAGTATGCACTCATAGACTCATAGACTCATAGACGGTATAGATCTAGAATCGCCCAACCAATCACGATAGACGATATTTCTTTCATCTTCAGTGCAAGCAACCTGCCTGGCCTCCGCGGAACCCGAAACAACTTCAAGCTGTCCTAGCTGCACTTGGGGCGCGTGGTGCGCCTGTCTGCCACTCGCAGCGCCAAGGGCGAAAAAGCTGACCCGCTTTGATGCTTCAACATACTCAGACTCCTCCACGTGTTGCTCTGCGGCAAACAGAACTGCCGCCTGCGAGATGAAGACATGTTTCAGGCCGGTGCCCTTGATAATCTTTTGCAAGATGTTAAGAAGATCTTCGTGCATGTCAATGGACCGCTGCGTGTTGGTGGTTCGGCACAGGCACCCACAGCTGGCAGGATATTCCACTTTATCCGGCAAGGTTTCGCCAACAGCAATGGCTGCCGCTTTTTCGCTGAAACTCTTCGAAAATGCGTCGATGTTAAAGCTTCTGCTTTTCGCCAACCGGGTCACAACTTCCGGGTCGATGGGAAACTCAGCGGCTGGGGCACCTGCCTGCGCCTGCTGTGCAAGCGGCTCACGCAAGCTCTGGCAAGCAACGTGTCTGGGCAAAGGCGGGCGACAAGCAACCATCTGTTCGCGCACACCCGCGGCCTGTGGGACTCCACCCTGCCTCTGGTCCCGGATCATGATTGCCAAGGAATCCTCTTGACGGTGAAGATCGTCACCATCACCTTCCGGAACACGTAGCAAGCCCAAGTACTAGTAGTAGTAGTAGTAGTAGTAGTAGTAGTAGTAGTAGTAGTAGTAGTAGTAGTAGTAGTAGTAGTGGTAGTGGTACGGTACAGTAGTAGTCGTAGTAGCAGTAGTAGTAGCCGTAGCAGCAGTAGCAGCACCTGGTAGGAGGTAAGCAGGATGGCGGAAGTCAGGGTAGGAGTATCGGCAGCAGTAGTGCAGGCAACGTAAATGCATATATCTATTATACATATATATATATATATATGTAATATGTATGTACAATATATATATATATATATATATATATATAAATATACATATATAATACAAGTAAAAGACTGATTGACTGTGAAGTAAACTCGATCTCTCGGCCTTCCACGCGCCGTCTCTCTGATGACTCTGATGGAGATGGATCTGCCGCCAACGCCAATTGGTTTTTGGCTTCCGTTTTTCGCTCGTTTGCCACAATGTTTCTGTTCACAGCAGCCTGCAACTTGCTGGCTTCGGACTGTCGCTCCAAGCTGGCACGCTGCTCAGGCGACAAGCGGGCCCAGGCCTCCTTCACACGCTGCCACGTGTCGGAACTGCACGGATTCACCACTCCGCCCTGAAGCCTCTCTCTCCGCAAGAAATCCCACTTGAAGAGCTCCATGGCTGTTTGTCCTCGCATCAAACGGCCACCACCTGCAGCGGCCGGCCGCTGCCGACGCTCAGACGGGGGCAACCTGACAGGCGCGGCGGCATCCACTGCTTGCGCATCTCGGATCCTCTGCAGCTGCGCACGCTCCTCACACATACGTGCAACAGCAGACGCCTGGAAGCGGCATTCGACAAGAATGGAGCCTGCTGAGAACAGCGGGAAGGGCATGCCTCTGTTGGCGTACTGTTTGTGAGTCGCGTGTCGTCTTTCCACAGGGGCCACTGTGATCTTCACAGAAAACGCTGCCATAAGGAACAACCACCTCAGAGTGGGAAGCCCCTGCAAGAAAGCACCCTTGTCCAAGCTGCTTCTCAGCTCTCTGGCGAGGCCGGCTTTCCAGCAGCACGCCGGCCTCGCATAAAAGGCCTCCACAATCTCATCGTGATCTGTGCGGCGTGGATCTGCCAAGGCAAAGAGCTTGAACGGGTACTTGTCCAGCGTCGCCAAGAAGCGTCTCTCAAGGTTCATCGCGGCCAGTAGGATTTGAGACCTCACCTCGCGGGCCTCGTGAGGATGCTCAGTCATCCACTGCTGAAGCGACTCGCATCCAGAGAGTTGCCAAAGCAGCCTCAGGCGAGTGCCAGTTCCTTCCAAGAGCACGCTGTAGTACTGCAGGACTTGGTAAAACTTGCTGCAAGCTGGCCAAATTTGTTGCAGCAGTGGCGGCCACTCTTCATCGTTGGGCGCCGAGTGAGCGTACTTCAGCAGGGTAGAGTGGAGGTGGCGGAGCGGCTCCACGATCAGGGTCAGCAGTGTCCGGCGAAATCGCTCCTGGTGGTTTGACAGCATCTGCTTCGTCCGATGAAATCTGCTTCCGGCCAGCTTCTGCCAGGAGATGAAAACAACATCTTCGCTGCCATCGTACTGGGGGAGCTGTGTGGCCCAAGGCGCTCGCTCGAGCAAGGCTGAGAGCACACCTTGAAACTCAGATGCCATCCAGAAGTCGAGGTTGGGCCCCAACTTCACCCAGTCCGACAGCAGCGGTACACATGGCAAGCTTCTCATGAGGACACGGACGATGGCCCGCGTCGCCTTCGCTTCGGCTTCCTCTCGAGAGCGGCAACAGCCACTGCACAGATGAGTCAGGGTGCCACGTTCCCAACACCGTCCATTGAGGACCCTTGAGAAACAATGGCGGATCTCCTTCGCGGCCTGCTGCCACCCATGCAAGCCTGCGCAAAGCTCAAAGCCCCAATCCAACACCGCAGAATCCCCAAGCCCAAGCCACCACCCCTCGAATTTGAAGCGGAGTCTGGGAGTCGAGAGGGCTTTGACGAGCTGCTACGTGTATTATAAGGCATCTGGTATTGTGGGGCAACAAGCCGAAGTGGCTTAAGCGTTGAAGCTATGTTTGGAAGCAACCCAGCCGGCACGCGGCACTTTACGCCTTAGGCCTTAGGCTAAGGCATAAGTAAACCTAGAACCACCTGTCCTCCGCGAGCTGTGCTGGACATCTGGCGCGAGTTGTGCCGAAGGTTGTCAACCAAGTACTCACCCAGCTCTTGAGCGTACCGCCGGCCCGAGTTGTCCTCCTCTGACGGCACAGCCACCCATCGGAAGTACCCCACATCGCGAACAAGTGTTGGCACACTAGCCAGCAGTCGGACGAAGTGGCCTCCCATCCGAAGGAAGAGTGTAGCACAATACAAGCCTGGAATCATTTTGGACAGGCCGTCCACTCGCTCCAAAGCGTCGACTGCAGACACAACCGTCAATTGCACCTGATGATTCTGACAGAGAACCTGTTCCGTGAAGGTTGGCAACTTGTCAGACACAGGAGCCGCAGGGGCTGCTGCAGGAGCTGCGGCGGGTAACACGCGCTTTGCATACAGGTGGTAATGCAATTTCTCATTCGCCAAATGCCCATCGGTTTCGTGAAGCCAGCATGAAACGGAGCTGACTTTCATGATCTGTTCGATCAGTTCCATGATGGGCTGGGTCAAGGGATGACGAAACATAGCACAAAACAGATTCGAGGAATTGTTGGAGGACAACGGCAGTGGAGGCATAATGAACTCTTTATAGAGTTTCAAGCCTGTCCTCCATCCAACTGCGAGTTGCAATCGACAGACAAGCACTGGCCACGCTGAAGAAGCTTGTTGCGGAATAGCATATGTTGCATCTAGCGGCGTCTGCAGTGCCAAAGTCTGCGATGTTTCGTCCCAGCTGAGTGTGGCACATGCGATGTGCGGGGGGTGTGCAACAGCGTAGTCACGAAACTCTTGCAATTGTCTGAACTGCACATCCGTCACGACTGAAGACATGCAAAGGAGCACCCTTCGTATTGTTTGTTTGGATACGTGAAAACGATCTGCCAGCATCGTCCGTCTGTGACTGCAAGAAAAAGCAATCGTGCACATGCTATGCGCAGATAGTTTGTAGCGCTTTCCCAAACTCTCCTTGCTCTGCTTCTCGGCCAACAGTACCCCAAGTTTCGAAGCCGTCTTCCGAAGCTTGCAATACCGCATGTGGCTTGCCAAGCGTTCCATCTGCTGCGAAGTTCTTTTGGCAGGCGCGCCTCGGCCGAATGAACTGGCAGCTGCAGGTACAGCAACCTGGTCGGAGCAAGACAGCAAGGAAGCAGCAACATGAGTAAACTTCGGTATTTCCTTTCAATGTAGATGGCACGGCATGCCGATACCGAGATCACCCAAAACAAGAGGGCGCAAAAGGGCAGCCGACAGCTCCAAGTCTGGTAGCAACCTACACCGTACAACCCGTGCACCTCACCACTTCTGGCCACTGGACCAGTCGAAGAAGCTGCTGCAGCCTTGCAAGAACATGGATGAGCGTTCATCGCAAATCTGCCATCGTGCAAAATCACAGGGCCCTAGGCCCTAGGCCCTTAGACGTAGAGACTTGGACCCTAACTAGTAGAAAGGCACGCCAATCAAAATTAATTAGATCACGTCTTCGTCCTAACCCTGCATCCACGACCACCCCCATCTTACGGTTGCTGAATCTCATCACATGATAGCTGCATTCTCGTACTTTGTGCATCCCGTTCCTTTCGCTTCAGATGTCCTTGAATCCGACGTGTATGAAAACCCAGCAAGCGCGCAACAGTAACCTACTGCTGGACCGGGGACCCAGGACACGAATCTGCGTACCATGCCTCATCCTGCCTCTGGGCATCATCAGGGCAGTCCTTTGTAAGCAGGCATGCACGCTCCGAGCTGCAAGGTGTTCTGCTGTCATCTGAAGTCCAGCAACCGCCAACTTGTCAGACCGGCCTGCCCTAGATTTTGTATTTTTTAGTATGCCATATCCTGCATCCCGGACATAAAGCCTACATTCCTACATCCTAGTCCTAGTCCTAGTCCTATAGATACACAAGCGAATATACGCCCGAACCCATCCAGGCAAACTCCCAAAAACCCGTATGCCGCTGTCCGCCCAGATAAGCCGAATATACGTAGACATTACGTAATTAGGTAGATAGCAAGCATCTCTCTCTCTTATATATACATATATTATATCATACATACCCACGTGCATTCATACGTGCATAAGTACATAGTTACATACATATAGAAATCTGTTTTTGAACTGATTTCTTGTTACTTATTTCTTTATTCATTCATTTTCTTGGTATACAGATTATATCAATATCTATCGGAGAGCAAGACAGCATCGAGCCCTTCTGAATCGAGGCTGGGGCCCTGGCCTCTCCAGCTTCGCCAAGCAAGTCCGATAGCAAGTCCTGGCGATCCGCAAACAAAGGAACCAATGAGGGTTATAATTAATGTCACGGCGGCACCCCGGCATCAATCAAATCTCATGCGTCACTCGGTCGCCGAAGTGTCGATCTGGGAACCCGGCTGCATCCCCGACCGGCAACTGGTTCCCAGCAACCTTGCACGCGTCTAGAGTTTAAAGTTTAAAGTTTAGAGCTTAGAGTCTATATGGGGAATCCCTCCAAATCGGACTGCTCGTGCGCGCACTCATGAACTTGGTAAACCCGTACACTCTATGACTCTATACTATACTCTAGACGAGATTCTAGATTCTAGACGTCTAGACATGGAAGTATACAGGGTTGGTTTGGGTGATGGTTTTGGGCCCGGAACGGTTTTCACGACTCTAGCATCGAGTCTAGCTGAGTCTAGCTTCTGAAACTAGCCACAACCCTGCTCTCCGTAACCATGCTTCTCAGAAGTGTGCAACCAGTGCAAGCAGTACGGATACCACGCAGTCGCAGTTCAAGAAACAATCGTCCGGGATCTTCTTGGGATTTTGATCACGAAACAAAACGACCCCACGCATGAAAAAGTGACTAAGTTCGAAGCTTCTGAAGATGCTCCATGTTCTTCGACGTCGGCACTCAAATCGAAATCCTGCCAGTTGCTTGCTACCAGCTGTGGCAATCTTGGCCAAAGCACCGGGGCGTATGATGAAGGGTTCAGAGTCCAGAGTTCAGGGTGTAGTGTAGGGCAGAAATTTCGGGCAAAGCTTTTGACAACGTATTTTGGGGCCTTTACCACGGTCTGGGCTGGGCGTCAGGACCTTCGCCATACAGCTTCTAGTATCTTCTAGTACACAGGCATGGGCCGGCATGGGCTTGTCGGGCGTAGGCCCAGGTCTTAAGTAGGAAAAGCAAGAAGCAGACAGTATGTCCTCGAAGAAATCAAACGAACAAACGCTTCCCGCATCATCTTTCTCCAGGTCCTGCCACAGGAACTAAATGACTGCTACGCGCCGTGCAACGGAGAGCAGCCACACATGCAAGTCAGTCAATCTCAGGCACGCCATCAACAACTTTCCACGCCGTCCGTCGCCTCTGGTTCTAGCAAAAACTGCTGCTAGCTACTGCTGCTAGCAGGCAGAAATGTGACTTGAATCCTAATCAAGGCCCTAGAAGCCTCAACGCTATCGACAAAACTTGGCCTGCAAAGAATCTTTCTGACTCATGCAGGGTTCACCTTACTCCTGAGCGGCACTAACAAAACTAGTTATCAAAACTGGACCTGCGAAAGAACTTTCATGACTCATGCAGGGCTCATCTCAATCCATCTTTTGGAAGAACGATGTGCTTTCAGAAGAAGAGCTATCGACTGCCGCTTCGTCTGCCGAGGAAAGCTCCTCCTCTGAATCCAGTGAAACCGCATCAGAATAGCCATCACCGGGATTCCCAAAGAACATCACTAGGGGATTACCGTCATACAGATCCTCGCGCGGCTCCATTCCATCTGAATCTGAGGCCTGGCGCCAACGAGGATCGGTGTGTTCCTGCATGAAATGAAGTCCGCCTTCTTCATCGGCGAACATGTCAAACATAAAGCCCGTCTGCTGGTGCAAATGGAACTGCTCATGTGCCCGTCGTGCAAAAGGCTTGTTCTCTGCGCAAGCAGCGCAAAATGATGCGAAGATCTCTAAGTCTGGTCGCTCAGCATGCACTGCTTGGCCCTCGCCATTCTTCTTTTCGTCGCACGGGACCTCAGGTCAGACAGGCTGTAGAACGATTTGGAAAAAATCCGTATTCCAAAATCCTGACTAGATCAAGTGCCAGCTTCACACTGCATGCCATGCATGCTAGTTGCACTTTATGGGGTCGCCTTGCGCCTCTAAGATTACTTAGACTTAGAATCTAGAATCGAGGCGCACGTCTAGCACTGAGTGCATGGCCTTGACGGCATTCTCCGGGTCCGTTGATGAAGAGCCTTCTCAGAACCAACAAACTATCAGTGTCAAGTGGGCGAAGGACTGCCAGGCTAGAAGGCGGACCCATCTCTTCCTCACGAACAGAGCGTGCCTCCAGATTCATGAGCGGCAACAGCTTCAGCCTGCGAGCCACCAATTTGCAATCCGACTCTTATCATGACGACGGGAGCAATTTCGCTCTCGACCCTAACTCTTTGAAGCTTCGAACTCCGGTCGTGAACTTTACCATGACCAGCTGAATGCTTCAAAGTCAAAAGCAAGCACCAGGGCACCTTCTCACGTTGAACAGGCGAGGACTTGATGACCTTGGTGCAGTTGCAACCACAAGTCAGCGATTGAAGGTTTAGCCGTTTAGCCTGTATAATGATGATTACCAGATAAGTCAGATAAGTGTATATACGCAAGAATCAAACTGCATCTCGGGTCAAGACCATTCTGCCAACTAGCGCGGTACCAAACACCCAAATTGAACTTGAACCAGAAAGCTAAGGAGAGGGAACGCGTCATGCTGTGAGTCAATGCTGAGCAAGTCTGGGCAAGCGGAAGCAGCGGTCTGCGAAGATATCGGCCGGTCCTGAAGCAAATCAATTTCCTCTTCCGCCCCATCCACATCCATGTCCTGGAACAAGGCTCTGACTCTAGATTCTAGATGAAGCGTCTCGGTCTAGGCCTAGCTAGGCTCGAATTCTGTGTGCCGAACATGTCGTGTCTGTGCTCGGTCCTGGTTCTCCTGCTGCCCATCGATGCGGCCATTTTCGCATGGCGGATCAGACACAGCAATGGCAATCCCGGGATCCTAGGTCCCTGGGTTCCAGGTCGAGACCTGGGTGACCTGAGGGTCAAGGGGCCCAGGCCGTGATAATTGGATAAGTAATGATAAATGATAAGTAGATAGGTCAGGTAGTTACAGTCAAGACGGCATCGGCCTAAAAGGTCCTGGCCTCAAAACAACCTAGCAAAAGCCTGATCTTAAAACTCAAGCTTCAACCTCAAACCGATGAAATCCCGATTTCGAAACGCTAGGCTTGGCCTTTGCGGTACCATTACTTACTCGATCCCCTTTCTTCCAGCCTACCTACTGTTGCTAAGACTTACTAGATGACTACTTACCAGTTACCAACCTGACTACATGGATAATCACCCACCGACCTGTCACCGACGTGCTAAAATCACTGCGGATGATGCCACGAAAAGCATACTTTCGAACCTAAATCCACCCCCCAAACAACGTGGAAACCTTGCCCGTTTACTGTGGAAAAAGCTGCTCTGCCCTCCCAAATCCACCCCCCAAACAACGTGGAAACCTTGCCCGTTTACTGTGGAAAAAGCTGCTCTGCCCTCCCAAATCACGTGGAACACGTGCCTGCATATGGCCCGGCAACACATGACATTGTGCCACTTAAGAGAGGCCCGGATTAGTTGTTTGACGGCCCCCCCAATTCTTAACTGCAAAGCAACCTGCCAGCATTCCAACAAGCAGTTAGCTTTGTACTGCCAGCCACCGGCATTCCGACTTGCTTTGAATCGATCCGAACTCTTTAAGCGATCCAGCTGTTGGGCCCACTCCTCGAGCCAACTGATCCACTCCACTAGGGCGTCCTTCCTGCTCATTGCGATCCTGGAGGGAATCATTGACAAAACACTTTTACGACCCAACATGAACACCGATGCCGAGATTCTAAGATGTATGCGGTGTGACTGCAAACAAACGCACTCAGAACACGCTCAAGCTCACTCCAAAGGACTAAGCTTTCGGCTCACTCTCTTCCAGATGCCCCAATGGCAGGACATCATCAGGTTCAGGGCCCCCAGCAAGGATGTCAGTGGACCAAGATCGCAAGTCGTTGGCCAAAGCTCGAAAGACACAAGAGCTGGCAATGTCTCTGTGCTGCTGACCGCTCGTGGCTGGCAGCTGCTGTGACACAGGAAGATCTGGAGGGAAATTTCGCATGGGTCTCACGGAAAATCTGGACTTCGAAGGTCGCCAATGCAAGTGACGCCACTGTCCAGACACCTCAGCCAGCTGCCCCCCTTACCCCTGTGGCCCCGCGAATGCCGCGAATGGAAGCGATCTACCACTTCAACTGCTGCATGGCATGTCGCAGATGTCAAACAAAGGCCGGGCTCAATACGACTGAGGCCTCAGCGAGCAAAGCCAAAAAAGCCTTCTCGCAAAAGAAAGCCGGGTACTCTTGCAGCCCATATCCTGCAAGAAGAACAAAGACCCTCGAGACTCGACACTTCAAACTAACCCTACCGCTAAAGGTTGCGGCACCAGCAATGTCGTTTCAGATTTCCATCTACCAAATTGATTGACCACTGCCAAAGGTCCTCGTTGCGTCATTAGCTCTTGCACAGTCGCCCCGTGAGGCTTGCATCTGGTCGCAAAAAGAATGTCCAGACAGAGTTGAGATAACGACAACCAAGACAACCTGGCAGGGAGATGCACAAAACTGTCATTGAGTCATTGAGTCAAATCTTCAAGTACGGCCACAGTTCCCATAATGCTGCAGGCCCGGGGCCTGACGTTTTCTGAAAAGCGTTTGACCGGCATCACTGGCTGCTCGAACTCAAACACATGGACGATCTGCAAAAAGCACATGTCTGGAATACGTCCCGCAGGATAGTCCAACGCAGCCACGGCAGCTCTCATGAGCAGGTCTTCCTGCGGCCAAGGTACAAGTGCAGCAGCAGGCAACAACAACAACAACAACCACTGACACTGACAACTGATGACAACCACAACAACAACAATCAATCACAACGGCAACGGCGACAGCAACGACGACGACGAGGACGAAGACGAGGACGTCGGACAATGACGACGACGACAACAACCAACCCCCACCCACCCACCACCAGTGGACCACCACCGCCGCCACCGCGCCGCCACCACCACGACCAGCACCACCACCACGACGACAACAACAACACTGCAGACTGCATGTGTGTGTGACGTGTGAACTGTCAACTACGAACTGTCTGCAAGCAACACGTCGGTGTCCTCCGGATTCAGAACTGTTAGCTCATTCGGATAGCAAGTTCCAGCTCTTACCATCGCGAACCCACACAGGCGCTCCAACGAAGTCGCGTCCTCAGCCAGTGCTACTAGCTACTGACACTGACTGGCACTGACTGGCACTGGCACTCGTTAGACTGAGCACTCTGAGGCACTCTGGACTCGGGAATTGCCATGGGTCGACACGCCACACAAACAAAACAAATTGCAACTTGAAAGTTTCACTTCCTCAGTTCCTCACCACATGCGCTGGCACTGCTAGTTGCTACGACTCGGGCTACGACTGGTAGAAACAAGCTTCGAATGCAGCTTTGCACTGTCGCGCAACGTCATGGCCTGCTCGAAGCTCAACTTGAGGGAATGAAAGCAGCTTGGACACCTCAGCAAGTGCTGCTTTGACTGTGACTCAGTTCACAGACAACTCAGACAACGGGTGGCTCTTGGCTCTTGAAGCAACTGCAAAGCGGAGCATGTTGACGTTTCCTACCATGTGCCCCGCAGTTCCCGAAGCCTCATGGCCTCATGGCCTGTCTTATGTCGAAACGAGTCGAAACAGTAACAGTTATCCTAAAGTCCTAAACCCCCGCAGACCCTGCACAAAAAACGCATCAAGTCAAGCATGGCTTACAGGCGGCTTTACACAACGGACACAACGCCCTCTAGGCTACCTGTAGCACTGTTGGCAATCTGGCAAACAGTATCATGGCAACACATCACTGACCTGAGTGAGGAACTATGCGGGTCTGCGGCGACTGCAAAGCTTCGCGATCTGATTTCCGGGCAGCACGATGGCCGAGCCTCATGTTCAATGCATCGCACTCCGGGTCATGGAGCTGTCAAAAAAACACGACTCAACAGCACTACTATTTATAAAGTGTGTGACCACTTGCAACCAAACACCATATGATTCCCTCGGAAGTCGCCGTCGCCGTATCCGTAGCTGTAGCAGTAGTAGCAGCTGAGCAGATGTCACATTCTCATCTCTCGGCCTCAGATTTCAGAAGCCATTGAAGCCATCAGATTAGAAATCATGTGTTTCGCTTTGTCGTCGTTTAGACCACAAAGACTCGAAGATAAAGTCATATATCTGCACAGCGCAGACCAGCCACAGCACATGTGAGGAAAGTAAAAGTGTGGCCTTCAATCCAAGTTGCAGCAACGAACACGCACGGAATCTGCATCATGTCGGCGCGGAGGGCACCATCATCTTACTTTCTCCGAGGAAGAAAAACTTCAAGCCTCTCTCTGCAACCTACATCTTGAAAACATTATATATTGATGTTCAAGCCTGGAATCAAGTGGTTCATGTTGCCAAGGATGTTGCGTTGTTGCTCAAAGTCAAAAAATCACAAGCTTCTGAAACTCATGCGTCAACTCTTCTCTTCAAGCCTTCAAACTTCGAGTTTCACAACATCACGTGCCATCCAATCGCCAGCTCAGCAACTTCCATTGCTTTACGGCACTGCAACAATTCAGAAACTTGCCGTCTCTGCCATCGGACACAGCATGTGCAGAAAAATCACACCGGCCAAACTGACATGCGGGCGCCAGCAGCCCCAAACTTCCAAAATCCAGATACAAACCTTAAACCTCAAGAAAACAGCTCCCCTGGTCCCAGTTTCGCGCCAAAATCAAAAATTTCCTCTCAGCCACCCTTCAAATCCAAATTTTCTCAAAAATTAAAAAAGATTTAACAGAACCGTCGAGTGGCTCTTTTCTGCAAGCAAAAGTCAAAACTAAAAAATGCATGCATTTGAATCCTGTTCCCAAAGCTCGTGCACTTTACCAATTATCAGCACTTTATTCGTATGTGTGAACACGCGGCCATGCTTCCAGTAAAAAAAAATTAGTGTCTGTTTGTTTACTTAAACCTCTAAAGGGGAAGTACTTACAGCAATTGTCTTGGTCGCATGCTCACATATATACATTCCGCTGCTCACTGGTTCAAGTGGTTTTACCGACTTGTAGCAAGCTCTCTCCACGTGGCAGACAAAACAACTGCTGTCCGTGTGCTGGGCGTTGCCTTAATATCCCACGGGACATGACTGGTCATACACTCCCACAGAAGTAATCCTAGAGGGGTGTATCGGCTCACCCCCCCTTAGGGACACCCCTTAAAGGGGTCTTTAAAGGGGCTTAAAGGGGGGCTTCAAGGGGGGTTTAACCCAGATTTGAACCTGGGTTTGAACCTGGGTTCCCTCGCCTCGGAGAGGGGAACCCAGGTTTGAAAACCTGGTTTAACCTGGGTTTGAACCTGGGTTTTAACCTGGGTTCAACCTGGGTTCGAACCTGGGTTCAACTCCGGGTTAAAACCCAGGTTAAAACCCAGGTTACAACCCAGGTTTGAACCCAGGTTTGAAACCCAGGTTCTAACTCAGGTTTGGAACCCGGGTTTAATGAACCCAGGTGTAACCCAGGTTAAAACCCAGGTTCAAGAGCTGGGGTTAACCTGGTTCCAAACCCGGGTTTTGAAACCCAGGTTCTAACCCAGGTTTGGACCCGTTCAAAACCCGGACCCAGGTTAAAACCCTGGTTTGAACCAGGTTAAACCCAGGTTCCGAGCCTTTGTCAAAGGGGGAGGGCCCATAGAGAAGGGGACCAGCCTCTCTGAATTCTTTTGTCTTCCAGCAAGACAGCAGAAACATTCTCGACTTGACATGCATGGTTCGGCGATTTTGTGTGACATCTGCTATTGTGTTGAAAGAAAGCGTCTGTTCACGTTCTTTCTTTTCTTTTTCGCTTTGTACGGTTTTGGGTTTGGAGGGTGAACGATGGTGGCTTCAAAGAAGCGGGAAGTTTGCAATTTGCAAGAAGCGGGGGGTTGGAGGCGCAGCAGCTTTCAAGACGGCTTCGCCGAATGCTTTTATGCGGCCTTTGTGTGTTTCATGTTTCTGCTTCTGTTTTCTCGCTTTCACCCCTTCAGCGATATCGCCACTCCGTGCAGCTGGAAAATGAAAATCCGCGATCTAAATCTCCAGAAAATGGTTGCTAGGTCGCCAAAAGCGCAGCAAGTGGAGCATCATCAGACGTCTTTCTGTCTGTTGCACGAATGAGACCTTCATTCTTCTGCTGCGCAGCATTAGCTTTTTAATTTTCACCGAAAACGAAGAAAATGGAAACTTGGGAGAAGTTGATGTTTCCAGAGGATGCTCTGCAAGGCTTTAAGTCGATGCGGACGATGAATCGGATGCGGAGAATGCCGGGCAGTGCTTTCAGCCGGCAGTCTTGACCACATTTTTTGCCTCTTGGTGCTTCATCTTTTTCTCGGGTTTCCCGAGCCTCTCGGGGCAAATTTTGCAGCGAAGGACACAGTCTGGGGTTGCGTGAGCCCATGCAGAACGTAATCCTACGCAAGCGAATTTGCGTATTTTGAAGCAGACTGCAACGTTGTGTGGTAAAGATTTGACAGGGCACACAATGTACAGGTGTGATCTTTGTGATTTTGATCTTTGTCGTGCTTGCACGCGTGAAGCTCAAGAGACTGCATGTACTGTTTTGTCATGATTTTGTGCATCAGTCACTCTTGATGCTGTTGCGCAACACACGTGCTCGACTGGAGTGACTGGAGTCGATTGGAGTCCTACGCAGCAGCGACAAGCAGTAAAAGTGAGATCAGTCTCCGAGGCTTCAAGTTTTCAAGTTCGTGCCACGGGTTGGGAGACATGGACCACACCAAACCCATAGTTTTTGCAGTTTGCGGCAGTGTTAGCTTTGAAGCTAGATTCGTCAGGAAGAGGAGCATCGCTGGGCACCTGCAATGCAGAATTTTCCAAAGGGGCAGCTTTGTTTCGGCGTGAGAAGTACGCAGTACGCACATTTGTTTTGGTGTGGTTGGAGCATGTTTCGAAACCATTTTGCATGTTGTCGAGACCTTTTCACATGTTGTCGAAACCTTTCCGCAAGCCACAGCCTACCGGGAGCCAATTCTGATGTTTAGAAAGCTGAAGTTCATGGCTCAACGGCTGCCGAACAAAAGCAGCGAGGAAAAGTTGCGGTGGGTGCCCGCCCTCTGCGGGTGGTGTGTCCCTTCACTTTTCCTGATGTGAAAAAACGAATGTGCAATCCAGATTTTGCCCAGTCTCTGCAAGGCTTTGTGTTTCGATCGTGAGACTTGCAAAGACGATTCATGTGGGTAGAAGTCCAGCGTAGTCTTCGAAGTGTTCGAGACGCCGTTTCCTGCGCCAGGCCGTTTCCTGCGAGAGGTCGTTTCTGTGCAATGGCTGTTTCCGGCGTTGGCTCGTCTCTGACTAGATGTCACCTTGCAAAACTGGGGGGATCTTATCCTCCTGCAAGAGTTTTCTGGTCAGAGGCAGTTTCCTACCAGAGGCCATATCTCTCAGGAGGTCGTTTCCTACGAGAAGCTGTTCACCCCTGGTGCTTGTGTACGGCGCGGAGGCGCGAGCCACGGACGCAGGCTTCTATTTGCGCCATCTCATCCACCGTTGCAGCGGACGGGTCGGCATGGTCTAGTGGCAGAACTGTTTGCGCTTGGCTGCATCGCGCCGAAGTGCACAGCTCTGCGTGTGTGTCGTCCGGGGTCTTAGCATCCAGAGCCCTTCCACTCGAGCATGCAATCGCCCGCGTCTGCCGGGAAGGCAGGGCACGAGTTTGTTTTGATGTTCCCGCAGCGTGAGGCCAGCCTCCTGCTGCGTGTCCGCGGTCACAGACGGAAAAATAAAGGACCTCATGCGGCCCGTGTTTTCACGGCGTTCCCCATGTCCTCGCCAGTCGTCATGCCATCGGCGCATTTTCGCGTGCTGCTCCACCTCCGGCTGCCACTCCCTTGCGCTCCGGACCGCTGGGGCCCGCTCGGTGACCATCGGTGACCACCGCTCTGCCTGTGTTGGTCTGTGCCACGTCCGGTTTCCTTGCCTCCCAAGTCCCAGGCCCCTCCGCGAGAGCATGCTGTTGCTTGCGAGGCGGGTGCAGACAGAACGTTCGAGTTGCTGACATGAACACGAATGTTCCTGTCAGCGTCTCACGCCGCATCGAGGTGGTCGCCCAATGGCTTGCCCATGTGGCATAGTGCCCAGCCCACGATCGATGCCACGATCGCCGTCCAGTCTGGCTCACCACGGCCGGGCGCGGACACCCGCTTTGCAGCCGCCATGCAGGACGCAGCTCGACACAAACGGCGTCAAACGCACCCTGAACTCCACAGCGCGAGAAGTGCCCGGTTCGTCGTAATCGGGATCGAAGTCGGAGGGCACTTCAGCAACGAAGCAGCCTCCTTCTGCGCGTCTTGACGCAGCACCGTGCAGACCGCGGCAATACCGCGCGCTGGCTGGTTGCATGTGGGTGCAAAGATGCAACGGAATGTTCGCTCAGGCTTCGATGCGTGCATGCGGCGTTGCCCTGCTGCTTGTGTCGTGGGTGAGGCGTCCGAACTGCACGAAATCCTTGCGGACGTTCGGGGCAGCGACATGCATGCTTGCCAACGCCAACTTGCGCCCCCGTAGGTTGCATTGGTACGTCGACGAGGACTTGTGGACGCAGACGAAAATGAGTGCCGAGAAATGTCAAGACATGGATTCCACGGCAGTCTCGTGCCTGGGCGCAACCGTTTTCCTTGCAACTTGCAGCCGGACAACATGTAGACTCTGCGGGCTTACCCTGCGAATTCAGGTTGCGTGTGATTTGTTCCGCTGCCCGCGTGCAAATGATGCTTGCTTTCATGAAGCAATCGTTTGCCGCAAGGAAGCATGAATTGCTGGTTACAACAAACCAGTGAGTTTTCGATCGTTGCTGTTTTATTAGTCGTACCTGCAAAACCACACGCCCCGTTTACACTTTCTGTTTGGTTGGATTTCTGTCGGAGGTTCAATGGTGCATAGTGGATGTGGCATGATGTAGCCATATGTAGCCCACAATGCTTCAGCAGTTCTCACCATATCAATGCTCGCAGTACTTTAATATTTTTGCAAGCACCGCAATGTATGCTAACGTCCGTGGACTCGACCATCGGGACCCTACCATGTCATTGTGCCTCACCCATCCCATCCTAGCCAGGTTGAGCTGATCACATGCGCACGTTTTCTTGTCACTCACTGGCCACATGTTGTAATGGCAGAAGATGTAGCCAGCAACGAGCCGGAGGAGGAGTTGCGCGAACAAGGTGGGAAACCCGAGACTTGAAGCCATTGTGATTTTGTTTGCTGCCCGCGTTGTGTATGATGAAAGGCCGAGATGAAAAGCAGCCTTCAGCAGCATTTGCAGCCGACGCTGACGCTCCGGCAGAGGTTTTGTTTTTTTGTAACTTGTGGTCGTCGATGTCGTCGAGCCTTGAAAGGAAACCGCACTTAAAGGACGGCAACAGCTGCTGGAACGGACGAGCTGCCACGGTTGTTGTGTCAATGTAGCTTGAACCATCGGCGCGGACATATTCAGCAAGGGGCAAGCCGAAAAAACAATAAGGCTTCGGAATGGTGCGTGTTTTTCATCTGGCAGGCTCCAAGCGACCCTGCCTGCTCCCGAGCAGAAAATCGTGCAACCATTGCGCTTCATGAAGCTCGCACGGGCTCACCAGTGGTTAGTTCACCTTGTTGTTCTTGGTGTCAGGGACAACCTCACAGACCTGAAGCAGTTGGAAGAGGTGCGCCTCACTGCATTGTGGTAGTGCAAGCGATTCATGTCAACACGGCACCCAGGCAGTTCGAACCGTCGAGAAGCTCCAGTCGGATCGGGCAGGGTGCGCGCCTAAGGACCTAAGCAGTAGGGTGGGGTGCAGGGTGGTGCTTCGAGTTATACGTGAAGCCGTTAATGCTGAGCACTCGGTGCCAAATGCTGTTTGGCGCTTGCACCGAGGCGGCAGCCAGCACTCATTCGTCAGTTAGCCTTTTACTTCTCGGACTGTGCTTTGCACACCGCACCACCACGAGCAGATGCCACGTCGTCTCGCGGTCGGTTCCCTGTAAGCAGGATGCCAATTTGCGCCGCGATTGGTTCTTGCGGAAAGAGATCGTCCATGCCTCGGCTTGGGAACATGAAGATCGCTCAGGGCTGAGATTCAATGTAAGAAGCCTGCAGAATGTCGCATGGTGCGCCCAGGGAGCTTCGGAAGAAGGATATGTGAAGATCCCCGCGCGGCTCCGGATAAATCCTGGAGGCTAGCTACACCTGTGCATATCGTGAGGTGATTCTCCCCTTCAAGCGACTTCATCTCATGGGTTGTTGCTTGGCGATACGACGTCCGGTGTGTTTTGCAACCACATGATACTAGACCTCAGCGGGATACACGGCTAACAGTGGTTTGCAGAAGTGCATGGCCCGGCATTCTTCTGTCTGACCTGTGTTAAGTTAGCGCTTTTGAGTGGCATTTGAAGGTGTAACAACGCGTTTGTCATCAACGTATGATGAGCGGTTCGTTTTGACTTGGAAAAGCCGGTATGGACGTGATTGTGGCATTAGAAGTAAGTAATTGTTGTAATCAAGTGTTGGTGAAATATGTGATCTAGGATCACCATGGCTGCCGATTCCCAGCTGATGACGGAATAGGGCCTGGGTTCAAAAGGATCAGCATGGATCAATCAGTGCTAGCAGCTCTTCCCGCTTTCGTTCTCTTCAGCAACGGGTGCATTACACGCAATGTCGCTGTGTAAGGTTCGACGGCCGCTGAAATTGTAGCGGCCATCGAGGCCCGAAAGGAAAACAAAGCGGCCTGCCGAGAATGTGATCGTGGACCCGAGGCCGCAGATCCGAAGTTCAATTTGGAGCTTTCCGTCGGGACCCAAGCTGCGCACATCCTCAGAGCAGGTACAGTATGTGTGTGTGTAATGCATGTCTGTCTGTTTGTTTGTCTGCCTGCCTGCGTTCCTGCCTGTATGTAAGTACCTCGTCTGACTTGTCGAGCACGAGTGACAAAAAAGTCAGTATGCATGCTTGTCTGTATGTATGTATCTATGTATGTATGTATGTATGTGTGATTGCATAGGTTTGTGTGTGTGTGTGTGTCTCTGTGTGCATGCATAGATTATCATGGATGCATGTATGTATGTACGCATGTGTTTATGTATGTATGTGTATGTATGTTTGTATGTGCAGTATGTAAAGTGGTGTATGTACAGTATATCATGCAGTAATTTGATGTAATTAAATGCAGCTCAATGTAAATGTTATCCAATGTAAAAAGAGGTATGTCATGTATGTATTGCATGTACTGCATTTTATAACACAATGCAATGTAGTTCGATGTAGAGTAATTTATGTGATGCATTGCAATGTACTAGTGTAACGTATGGTAAAGTAAGGTAATGCGTTGTAATGTGTGCATTCGTATACTGTGCTTATGTGCCAGAAGGCAGAAAGATGATTCCGCACGCCATGGTTTACTAAACGGTTGTTTGGAAAAGCTGGAGATTTTTCAGATCTGTTGAGCAAGAGCGTGGAAGCTTGCTCGTCCCGTAACTTGCTGCACTGCTTGTGTGTAACATCGCAGACCTTCCATCAGTTGCTACTTGTTGAGCATTGTTACCAAAAACTCCCCATGTGTTCAAATGTGCCGCTCTTTTTGTGCAGAATTAGCTTTGAATCCCGAGCAACTCAGCTGCACCACGCTTGTCGATTCCCATCATGTTCAGTACACTCACTACCTGTTGTTTTTCTAGTCGTTCCTTGTTTCCATCGAAACAAGCTGAACAGGAAGACGAATGGCGATTGAAGGCTTCAATGCTTTGCGATGTATCGGGTGATGCACGAGTGTGGAGTTTGTAAGGGGGCAACGCAGACGGGGTGGGGATCCTTGACCAGACCCTCAGGCCGGCCCTGTTAAAAGAGAGAGAGAGAGAGAGAGAGAGAGAGAGAAAGAAAGAGAGAAAGAGACAGAGAGAGGGAGAGAAAAATAGAAAGAGAGCGTGCGTGTCTGATATTGCTGGGACTTTGCATCCTGTCCACCTTCAACCTGCCATGTGAAGAATCAAGACGACCTACACAAAACAGTCCTCCTTGCAGTTGAGTTGTGTTGGCCTGTCGTATGTGAGATCGAGTTAGCTTCGTTGCGATCAGCAAGGGGACCACTTTTTGTCTGCGATCGTACAGCCGAGCCCCCCTGTGGAATAATCCCAGGGGGGACTAGTCCCACCATGCGGGTGTGCGGATCGCACTCGGTAGGGGCCTGAACGCTGCCCTTACTTCCCACCCGGAAGAGAGAGAGGGAGAGAGAGAGAGAGACTGTACTTGCACTGGCTATGATCAAGTGTAGTATCTGTTCTTATCAGTGTGACAACTGATATGTCTCCAACTACGCCCTTGCATCGGGGGGGGAGGCGCGGGGTTAACCTGAAGCTTGTCTTTGGGGGAGCTCCCGTCGCTTTCTCCCAGCGGTGCTTGAGTCACACGCCGAAGCCGCAGGCTTAAGTGGCCCTTTCTCCTCCCTAACCCGCGCGTGCCGCCATCTGTGGGAGAGGGACCGGAACTATTACAAGATCGTGACTATCAGGGTGACTGTGAGTTATATCCACGCCTACGTCCAACTTGCTGGAGGGTTAAGCGGCACATGACGAAAAGGGGGGAAACCAAGACCGAGACCACGGCTACGCAGGGGGAAACCCCAGCAGGAGGTGAGGAAGACGAGAACCTCACACTACCGGTACGACCACCACCGACCTTCGACAACCTGGGGCTCAGACTTCGTTTCCCGGAGGCCCCTGAGCCGCAACAGAAATGGAGCGACCGTGACGTCCGGTATGACCTCAACCAAGGCAGGTACTTTGTGAGGAAAGGGGGGAAAAACGACCGTTGAAAGAGCATGAATGGAAGGACTTCGAAAACTACCAGGACCACGTGAACAAGTGCCGCGCCACAACCAAAGAAGGAGAGCGCCTCCTGCGGCTCACGCTAGAGAACAGACCCCGTGCAGCCAGTGACCTCCGCAACTACATCGAGAACCAGCCGGACAAGATCCGACCGCTGCTTGACAAGGCCTTAGCGAACTGGCAGTGCGGAACCCAGGACGACACTGACACACGACAAGCTTTGGATGACATCTTGCTCGCCCCCACGGTGGACTCCGCCGTGAAGACGGAAGGAAATATACCTCCACAAAGCATGACCTCGAGCACAGCGAAGGGTGACAACCAAGCCGCCAAGGGAGCTTTTCGGGGAATCTCCCTGCACCAGGCTGGTGCCGCCCGTGCCGTACCGCAAGCTACACCAATGGCCCCAGCTTACATCGAGGACCAGGATGAGACTGCGAATCTGACCATGCTGGACTACCAAGAAACCCAAGTTGAGAACCCACCGTCTTCACAGGGTGAGCTCCAAGCCGAGTCGCCTGTGACCTCAGCCTCTCACTTCAGTCTTCACCCGCCCATCGACATCTTCGAGGATGGCGCCGAGCTGCAAGCCCTCGCTCCTGAGGGCAACACTGCGCCGGCTGCACCCGACTACACTGAGCACGGGGATGCCCCCGCTTGGGACAGGAACGATGGAGAGGTATCCGCGCCACAGGAGAACTTTGCTCCTGCCTCACCGACGGGGAGACCATCCTCGCTTACAGCACCGCAGAAGAGAAGGCTTCAACAGTTGTTGCAGCAACGTGATGAGCATGGCCACGCACCCTACAACTTGGACGACTTCGCCACGGACCAGGAGAAGTGGCAGGCCTATCGCGCTGCAAGCAAACAAAAGTACCGAGATTATCGGCGAGAGCAACGAAGCAAAGGGCAATGGCAGCCGGATGTGGGCACGAAGCGAGAACGTGGATGGAAACAAACCAGTAAGAGAAGACGATAAGCGCTGACATGATGCCGCCCTTTGGTAGATTTTGAGGCGAAGCCCCTGTACGTCAGGCTGCTGCTAGCAAAAAGGGATGTCCTCGTAATGAGTTTCTGTATGCGATTCTGTCATTCTCCACTGCTGGTCTAGCTTAAGTGGCCTGCCCCACCGCTGAGTGCTGACATGCAAGAAGTTTTGTCTCTGTCTGTGAACTAGTAGGGGTAAAACCCTTGGGACTGAGCTGGGATCCATGCTGAACTTTCTCTCCATTCATGCCGTTCCGAGTTTGGGGTCAAACCCTTGTACCATACTTTGTATGCTAATCCTGGCGGGCCGCTGGAGCCTCCAAATTCCTCGAGATCTGGCCTCCTATTTGAGGTCTTGTAATTCACTCAGCGCTGGTATTTTCTGAGATCGCATAGTGGCTGAGATAGAGTCCTGCAATCTTTCTTTGCAGAGGCACCTGGTTGTCTTTGTATGCCTTCAGCCCCTTTGGCACCCGCAACAGTCGGGGGCGCACGTGCGCGCGGTGAGGGGGGAAACCCCGTCACCACAACCCTGGCGAAAGAAAGAGAGAGAGAGAGAGAGAGGGAGAACGCTCCGTTCAACAAGACCCCAATGCCCCTCTTCCACAATCGTGTGAAGAAAGGGGGGGCCTCGGCCCGGGTCCAGTGGACCTGACCCCTGCAGCGAGCGAGCGAGAGAGAGAGAGAGAGAGAGAAAAAGAGAGAGAGAGAGAGAGTGCATGTCTGATATTGCTGGGACTTTGCATCCTGTCCACCCTCAACCTGCCATGTGAAGAATCAAGACGACCTACACGAAACAGTCCTCCTTGCAGTTGAGTTGTGTTGGCCTGTTGTATGTGAGATCGAGTTAGCTTCGTTGCGATCAGCAAGGGGACCACTTTTTGTCTGCGATCGTACAGCCGAGCCCTCCTGTGGAATAATCCCAGGGGGGACTAGTCCCACCATGCGCTGCGGGTGTGCGGATCGCACGGGGTGGGGGCCTGAACGCTGCCCCTACCTCCCACCCGGAAGAGAGAGAGGGAGAAAGAGAGAGAGAGAGAGAGAGTGCATGTCTGATATTGCTGGGATTTTGCGTCCTGTCCACCCTCAACCTGCCATGTGAAGAATCAAGACGACCTTTACAAAACAGTCCTCCTTGCAGTTGAGTTGTGTTGGCCTGTCGTATGTGAGATCGAGTTAGCTTCGTTGCGATCAGCAAGGGGACCACTTTTTGTCTGCGATCGTACAGCCGAGCCCTCCTGTGGAATAATCCCAGGGGGGACTAGTCCCACCATGAGCTGCGGGTGTGCGGATCGCACGGGGTAGGGGCCTGAACGCTGCCCCTACCTCCCACCCGGAAGAAAGAGAGGGAGCGAGAGAGAGAGAGAGAGCGTGTGTGTGTGTGTGTATGTGTGTGTGTGTGTGCGTGTGCGTGTGTGTGTGTATGTGTGTGTGTGTGAACCTCCCTAGCACATGGGAGCAGGAGGTTACTCCCACAATTCCGTTTTCAACCATCTATGCGGGGGGACACAGCACGTCACTTGGTTAGCTTCCAACGAAGCTACCAGTGACATGAGAAGAGAGGACTGATCATCTTGTTGTACCTGCGCAGCTGGGGCCCTGTGCCAGCAAGATTAAAAGGCCCGTGTGTCAAGATTAGGCAGGAGCTGCCGGTCCAGCCTTGCGACGCCAGCGACGGCGCCGAGCCGCTGGGCGAGCTCCTGGCGGCGCCGTAGTGCCGTAGTGGTGACCCAGCTGCGGACGGAAAAAGGACTGTGGGGGAAAAAAAAATTAGGCAACAACATACAACATTTTCTTCTCCTGACCTCGTTTTTGCTCGTGCTTTTGACCGAATCTATCAGTGTGTGTGTGTGCGTGTGTGTGTGTGTCTGTGAGCTCTGTATCCCTCTTGGATCCCCGAGGACGCACGGGATGCTGTGCGGCGCACTGGCGGGGCCGCTTTGCCACCTCCGTGTGGGTCCCCAGCACGTTTCTCCCAGTCGTAGCAATGAGATGACGATACTTGCCCAGATGCACGCAGCATATGCTTGTACGGAATCGCGTGTGTGGGAGCTAGTCAGCTAGCAGGGGACGAGGGATTTTCTTCCATTTCAGTCCTGTCCAGATAGTACATGAGTCATTCAATCGAAGATGCGAAATTGAGACTGTTCGTAGATGTTCACAGTTCCGAAATTGCCTGTCCCAGGTGTTCTGGCGGCCCCGGTAGCGACTTTGCAGTGTTCCTCAGATTTTTCCATCGAAAACAAAGCGTTGAGGTTCCGCAATCCTTGCCTTGGAAGGAGAAGCGAGCTGTGCAGCTGACGGGTTTCACGCCAGGTTTGCCAGCCCAGCGCCCGTTCATAGGGAGAGGCTAGGGCATGAATCCAGCCTACGAGGTGATGAGTCGGTGGGCATCGAGTCCATGACGGGGCTGTGCGCGAATTTCGGACCGGTCTTCTTCGTGAAGCTGTTGCGCGCTCAGCGCGGGAGGGGCCGGGGTGCGTCTAAGCCATGCCGCGACGCGCGGCTCGCCGAGGCATCGGGAGAGAACACCGGATGTGAATGGCGAAAGACTGAGCTCAGTTTGCAGCAAGTCCCACGGATTCACTCTCATGTCGTGCTTCCTCGATCCTAAGGCGAGAATCCGTTCAACGGAACTGTGCAGGTGGAGTTCGAAAGCGAGGAGGCCATTTTCGCTGTTCGGATAGTGCGACGCTGTGCGCTGCCTTGTGTTCATGTCTGCGGTTGCAGTCAGCGGTGTCAATAGTGGCTATGGAGTGCTGCTCTCAGCTGAAACTGCAAGTATCACAGTTCTGATGTTGTTCTACAGCTTTCTTTGCTGGCACTTTCCAGGCATCATCTCATGTGGAAGGACCAGAAGATCCAAGCGCTGGAACCTCACTTCTGGAACGCCTCGATGGGCTTCGTTGGTGCTTTTAGTTCGGAGCTGGTTGAGCTTCACCCCAAGAGTCCCCAAAACTCGCGGCTTCTGGTTTGAAAGAAGCCAGGACAAAGCAATGGTGTTTCAAAAAGTATAGGACTCTAATCTTGCTTGAACTGTTTCCGGTCAGCCATGGGTCTGGCTGTGCAGCTGCTTGGCGTGGACACCGCGACGCTTTTGCTGCAGCTCATCTGATCTTGTCGGGTGGGGACCGGAATATGGGCCAGATCGGGTGGGAGGGCGTTATGGCATTGGCACATGGGAGACTCCATAAATATCGTCCCTGGTGTCTTGTTTGTTACTCTCGGTTGCTACTTTTTGTCGTCGTTGCCTCTTTGTGATTATGTCAACTTCTTAATGCTGTCCCAAATGCCTCAGAAATGAACTTACTTTGATCAAGGCGCTGCTTGATAGGCCGGCCGATGAACTGCCCGTAGCATGTTGACAGGAAGTTGCCAAATGCCGGCAACAGAGGCCGTGATTAACTTACTGGACCTACTGGAGCATGTTCAGTTGTTTGTATTGTGCACTTGAGTATCTAGATGCGATGACGTGGTCGTGATCAGACATATGCACGCACCCCGCACTCATGCATATATGCATGCGGCAGACCATCTAGACAGACAGACGATGACAGACCAGATAGGCAGGCCGGCAGACAGAACGACAGGCGCAGGGGCAGATGTTTAAGACAGGCCGCCGCTGCCAGTCGTTTGCTGGTTGGCGCTGGCACGCAGCTGCACGGGAGATTGGCGTGCAATGCAGCGGCATGTCAAGGCCGTCTACAAGGATTCCTGGCCTGTGAACTTGCTGATTTCTTCTCTGCTAGTGCTGTGTTTTGGAAGTCAGTTGAACTGAGGATGCCTTTGCAACCCAGCGCAGTCTCGATCGGCTTATAGCTGAAGAGAGGTTTAGGGCGGCCGTGCTGCGGCTGAGCTGGCTGGCCGGTGTCGATGCAGAAGAGCTGCTGATGCCAGAATTAGCTGCTTTGCTTGAACATGACCATGACCGTGAGTTTTTTCGTATCCTTTGAGGCTTTTCGGGTTGGGCCTGTGTGGCACTATCGAGGCAAACTCTGTCTACATTTGGGCTCACCTGGGCAAAGCTGCAAATGCGCCCAAGCCGAGAAGAAGATCGGAGCACGTGCAGCAGCTGGCCCGAGAATTCGCAAACGGAGTGGCCACGCCTCTTTGGTCAAAGATACATCGTGCCGTGAGCTCCCTGGACCGGGAGAGAGCGATGTATTATCTTCCTAAGGACAGGGATCCAGGAAGCCATGCGCCTTGAGCTCAAAGCAGTCGAGGCTGCTATCCGCATTCGCCTGGCCCTGGGTGGAAGCCTCGAGGAGGTCACACTATTGAACATGGTGCCAGCAGATACGCCAGGTGACTTGCCTTGTTCCGTACGCCGTCTGTTTGCTGGGTACTGACTGACATTGCGACTCGCAAGATGCTTCCCAAATCGACCCTCCCGTCTGGAAGGCCCGAACCCGAAGCCAGCCCAAGACGAAGACAGGCAAGCTGGATGGTCGAGCATTGATTGCTTGTACACGGCCGCGTGGGCTGACAGAGGCCACTACCTTAATGTGGGCCACGCGCCAAGGCCGGTTGCACATCTCATCGGGGATGACTCCGCAGCCGTATGCTTCTGTCATCAGTGCTTTTGCGATCAGTTGTTTGGTTTACACCCAGAAGTCGTGCAGCCAAGTCAACATGGCCGGCTTGGGAGGAGTGCGATGGGTGCAAGCGATTCTCCGACTGGGTGCTAGTGCCTCCAAGGCCTGCCGAGATATCAGCAGAACCCTTGGTTCAATGGGCTTTGATGTGCAGGTCTTTCGAAAAGAGGCCCTGTCGGCTGAACAAGATTGTCGTTTGGGGTACCAGCAGCTGGCAAATTCCTGGTGGCATGCCCCTGAGAGCCCTGAAGCAATAGGTGACTCCAAGTGGCTGGTCCGCGCTTCTCTACGGTGCCACGGTGCAATTTCTTGGCAGAGACATCTTTTCTCGGGGGCTGTGCTTCGCCTTCTGCTAGAAAAGTATTGCAGACGAGTGACAGCTTCTAGCAATGTTTAAACATGCAGGTTACACGCATCGTCGACTGTCAGACGACAAGCTGGATGCAGTCCTGTGCAGGTGCAGCTTTCGAGTCCCGGAAGATGACAGCAGATGGGTCGTCAGATTCAGGCGATGCGAGCTACGGCGGTTACCGCAGCTCGTCTTCAGGAGATAAAGGATACGTGCAGAGGGTCATGGGTTGGTTCCTTCAAAGCTTCGATGTTGCTGTGACGAGAGACACTCGTTTGCTTCACCGAGCCACAAAGCAGCACTAAAACTCCATCTTCAGAGCCCGAACAGAGACGACACCTTGAGCTGCAGCTCAGCAATCTCAGCAGCATTGCTCCCGGCTGAAGCTGGCGCTAATGCCGTGTTCCAGTTCGTGCAAGAACTAGGTCACCGAACGCGCGGCGTTGTTGGCCCTCTGATCGACGCTGGGGCAGATCCGAATGCTCGCACCTTGCAGCTCAAGGCAGTCTGCCGGGCGGTTTTGATGGTGGGGTCAAGGACTGTGTCTTCGGGCAGCAGGTAAAGAACAGCGCTAAACGAGGTGCAGGAAGCAGAGAGCGGAGGAGGTATTTGGTAGTATTCAGTATTCGTGGTAGTGGTGAGCCCTTCACCCTCCCCATATGCAACGTCCCCGACATAATGCCCCTCCACCGCTCTGGCTCGTTGCTCTTCGTGTTTCGCTCGCCTCACAACTGCAGCCTTCGCCGAACTGGCACAGTGTTCGGCTCGAGCAGTTGAGGCGTACCAGAGCGCCTTCTCCCCATCACCATTGGCCTGCCAGTTCGTCTGCGCATCTGATATTGCCTGGGCAGAAAGTGCTGTCAATTCCGGCTGGGCCGTAGATCTGCTCAGCGGCCGACCTGCAGCTACAACGCCAGCACCTGCATAGGAAAAGAGCTTGCCATGGATGGTTGGATGGTGATGAGCGTCAGAACTCGTTTCAGTTCTGCTCATCCGGGACGGGACACTACTAAGGTGCAGGCTATGTGATGTACGCCGCAAGCGAGAGGCAAACGATCCACGTCGTGCGAGTCTCCGCTGCCATGGGCAGGCAGTGTGGATGCACTCAAGCCATGCAGGAGCAAGCCTCGGAGAACCAACAGCAAGAGTCGAAAGGCATGGAGAGCTTTCCAACGGTCTGGCGGACTTCATTTCAAGACCTCACGATCTGCAATGTCAGGCACGGAGGAGGCACGTGCTGCGAGGAAGCGCCGTTGCTTGGCTGCAAAACGAGCTTCGCAAACTCGCTTGGGTGGAGCTCCCGCAATGATTCTGGTTGCCACAAAGTGATCGCTGATAGTTCATGCGAGTCCGAAATCTCGCATGCTGCCATGCACCGGACGAAGTTGCACGGTTTTCAAAGGGCCGCGGGCAGAAGGTGGGCGGTTACATGATCTCGTAGCAGACCAAACTGGAAATGACATTTGTCAACGAGTCTCATAAACCATCTAAGAATCTAAGATCATGAACGGTGTCATGGTTCCAAGCATTGCCCGGCAAGCGCCTGCGAAAACCTGCTGCTACTGAAGCGGCAGTGGAGGGTGGACTATCGTTTTTTTCGCAGGCGAGGAGAAGCCCGGTGGCAGTTCAAGCAACAGATAGGAGATGTGAGTTAATTATCAGGAAAAAGACTCGGCATGGAGTCAGATGCATCTGTTGCATTTTTTGCCTAGGCCTAGGCCTCGTGTGTGGCCCCCTTGTCTTCAGGCAGGCACCCCTTTCACACAGAGCTTCCAAGTGTGTTCAAGCACTAGCCAGCAGCGCTCCACATCAGCCTCTCCAACAGGCAAGCTTAAATGAGATGTTACTGAGGCTTGGAGGAAGATGCAGAGGAAGCAGCCCGGTACGAGGAGACTCGCCTGCAGCGTTGCTGCTACTTGTGTCACTGTGCCGGCACAGATGTTTGAGCTGAGGAACGGGGTCTAGTCTTGCGCTTTGCAGCCAGCCCAGTCGAACTGTCCACCCGTCTGGAGAGGCATCTGCAATCTGCATCTGCTGAGGACGACGTTCCTGCGTCGGTGTCGTGGCGAGACTTAAAGGACATTCGCGCAAGAGCAAGCTCATGCGGATCTTCCGTTTTTGAAACGCAGGAAGGGCTCTCGCCGTACGGCAGGGTGAGATTCGCCGTTGCCCAAGAAAGACAAGTAGTCGAGCCGAGCAACCCGAGCCACAAGAGATCTCAGGTGCGGTTCTGCACCGAGGAGGACAAGCGCTTCGCGCTTGTAGCAAGCTCGGTTCGCTGACGACAGGCTGGCCCAGCCTAAGAGATGCCCAGCTGGTTGAGGTGCAGATGAAGGACGAGGAGGGAATCTTCGCCATCCTTGGCTGTGCCAAGGAGGATTCCCCCTCTTCTCGCGGTCTCCCTGCTTCCTTTGCCGTAGTTTTGGCAGCTTGGCGGTTGGGGTGTCACTTGTCTGCAGGACGAGGGCTTCCTTTGCGTGCAGTGCCGGGCCTGAATTGGATTCTGGTACTCGGACTTCCATCTGTTGGGTTTAAACCCGGCAGTGTTGTAGATGAGAATCCTAGAAGTCCAGATAAAACAGCTGCACGCCGCCCAAAGGCCTCGCAGCGCTGTCTCCGTTTGCGAGACAGTACGAAGTAAAGCACCCTGGAGTACGCAGAATTGTTCCACAGCTCCCAACTCCACACGCCAATGTGCAAGAAGAAGCGACTACAGTAGGACAGCCATGCATCCGTATTCTATGTACCACGAAGAACCGAAAGCTAGCCCGACGTGGCCGTGTAGAAATTCAACGCAACTGTCATGCCTTACTGCAGTTCCCCGGTTGACTGCGAAATGCTGCGATGGACCGTGGCTCCGCCTCGGAGGAGGCGAGTTGCCTTTAGCGCAAGGAGGTCACATGCTATCATTGCTCCTTGGAAGCACACATCCTGGTGTCATTTAGTTCTGACAGCGCTGCAGCGCCTTGCGTTGTGCTTCGGCGCAGAAGTCGAAGTATTGAGGTGGGCTTATGCTTATCGATCTCGGGTACTGTCAGCCTTTTCGTCTCTCCAAGCTGGGACTCTTCCAGTCGTGGAAGCAACACGGCCGGTTCTGCTTCACTGACGCGGGCCGGTTACAGGGGCGTCTCTAGAAAGGCTTTTGAAGGCTTGTTTGTTGCCAAGAAGCCAGAGAAGACCTCAGAAGCGCAGGCCCCGAAGGCAGAGGCAGGCTCTGGCGGCTCCAGGGGCGGCTCAGGCAAAACGGGTTCGCAAGCTCCGCCCACGTCGCAACAGCGGCAAGCTGCCAGCCGTGCCAGCCCACAGGATGAGGCAAACGGCATGTCCAGTTTTGCTGCTCTGATGCAGAAGAAGCCACCAGGAGTTCAGACCCCGCCATCTGCAGGGCTTCCCGCACAGACGCGACCCGCCCCACGACCCCCTGTCTCTGCACAGAAAGGCCCTAACGGCTCCGGCTTCACCTCGCAAAGCCCGCCTGTTCCGACACAGACGAGGCAAACCTCATCAGGCTTTCCGTCAGCAATGCCGCCCAGCTCGTCAGGGTTTCCTGCATCCCATGGCACGCCGTCGGGTTTTCCCAGACAGCCAACTGCAGAGGCCCAGGTGCCGACTGGATTTCCGTCCCCACCCAAGCCACCAGACAAGCCGCCTAGCTTCCAACCGCCACAACCCCAGCCCAACTCCGCTCCGCCAGTCACAAAGCATGCAGCCAAGAGCCCAGCGCCCCCGGCACCTCCCAAACACCCCAGACCGAGCCCGCCACCGTCGCAACCCAAGGAGGCCAAAGCGCCGACATCGTCACCTGGTGTTTCTGACACATCTGGTGCATCTTCTCAGCAGACGGCAGGTGCTCCTGTCAATGGAGCAACAAAGCCGGACGACTCCAGCTTCTACGCCATTCTTGGAGTGGCTGAAGGCGCAGCTCTGCCAGAGATAAGGGCTGCATACCGCCCCTTGGCTGAAACTACAGCATCTCTCCGTTTTGACACTTTATGTTTCAAACCTCGCAACGTCGTCAGAAAGCCTGAGAGGTCAGGAAGCTCGCAAATCGCATCCAGACCTCTTCCGAACGGCGTCGCCCGAGGAGAGGGAGGCCGTCGCAGAGCGCTTCTCGCAGGCCGGGCTGCCCCGATGCGTTTTTCTATTTGCGTTGACCCTCTACTGCCGGAGAGGTCAACAACGCCTTTGACATCCTGAGTGATCCCGCCAAGAAGCAAGCCTATGATTTGCGAGGCCGGGATTTGTGGTACGTCGGCAACCCCTGGCAGCATCGTGCAGTGAGAGTTCTGGGCATTTCTGGCCGGAGGTTTGGCTGGCCTCGCAGAGTTTGAGTTCGATGGTGAGCGAATAATCATGCCGCCACCATGGCGAGTCCGTCGCTAGCTCAGCGGCACGGCAAGCTCCCGAAAGACACGGGTAACGGGTGTGAAAGTGCTGCATCATGCTGCATCCGAGGTATAGGCCACACAGGGCATCATTTCTGGAAGAGGAAGGAGAGGTATAGATGGATGCGCATTGTACTAGCTGGGCTGCTGCACTCCGCACATGAAGGAGTACTTCGTTGGGTTGATGATGGAGACGATAGACATCCCCGTTTCGGTGATCGTGAAAGCTTATGACGAGGTGGGCGACATGAAGCATGTGACCTTGATATGGGCTCAATCCTAAACCCCCTGCGCTCGTGTCACATACCAAATGAACCCTAAGCCCTAATCGCCCATTCAACCCCCTGAACCCTAAACCCTAAACCCTGCACCCGGATCCTCGCCTGCTGTCTAGTTGTGAGTGCTGAAACCCTGCGCAATGGATTTGAATCTTGAGTAAGTTTCTGAGCAACATCTGTGAAGGGCTGCTCCGATTATGGTTTCCGATTATCCCCGCAGCGCTCCCGCACTGCTGGTATGATAAGGAAGGCTGTAATCCTAGCGCCGAATACTGCCTCTTGGATGATGACGAGTTTCAGATCGTGGATGCCAGATTCGTTGCAATCGCGGGGGAATTCAAGTCGGCATTTTGCTCCGCAATTCTGAACCTTGCAAAGTTGCATGGAAAGTTCTTTGGTCGTGATGAGGAATGGTCAATGACTGACAAGCGTTAGTGGGAGGTGAAAGCAGCATAGGATCACATGCCTTTGAGCGGTCCTTTATCTGCAGCAGGCTCGAAATTGTAGATAAACACCATGTGCGCCATAAGTCAACTTTGCTCTGAGTCGCGAGTCATCAAGTGCTCGTCACGCCGGAGTGCCTAATTGGCTATGAAACCTTAGGTGCTTTCGACTGTCCAACCAAGATTCCCTGCAATGCGGGCTTCGTCCTTGCTAGGTAGGAGGGAAAAAACCTCTGCACAGTTAACCATGATGTGAGCCTTCACTTGTGCTTTTCCCGCCCATGATGGGTCCTACTCTGAGTTGAGTCATCAGGCAACTCCACCGGAGTAGTGCAATCTGCTTTCAGCCATTCAACCAAGATACCCTGCAATGCGGGTTTCGTCCTTGCTAAGTAGGAGGGAAAAAACTCTGCACACTCTGCGACCCGTTAGCAGTCTGTCCACACTCCTAGGCAACGAAAGATCCTCCAGGAGTTGGCCAGGAGAGGGCCGGGAAGGATGCGAGGGTACGCAGTTCTGTCTATACTAGTCTATACACATACAGACACACGCACACACACACACACGCACACACACACATATATATATATATATATATATATAATATCTATATCTATATATATATATATATATACATATGTACACATGTGTGTGTCTGTGTGTCTGTTTGTACGTGTCTCTCTCTATATATACACAGACATTTTTCTAGATAGATATATATCTATATCTATATATACATACATGTGTTTATGTATGGACATACACATACGTACATACATACATATATATATATATATATATATATATATATATAAATTTACGTATGCACATAAATGTCTACACATACAAACACACATACACTGTGCGCGCGCACACATGCATATCCACATGCACATGTACATGTGTATGTATGTATGTATGTAGCTAGGTAGGTATGTATGTATGTGTGTCTGATTTTGATAGACACAAACACACATACACTCGAACATGGTCATGCAGGCAGACAGACAGACAGACAGGCAGGCAGGCAGGCAGGCAGCCAGACATACACACACTCACGCGTATGGACATGCATGCATACATGTACATGTAGATATGCAAACACATATAGACACATCTACACATACATATACATATACACATGCATACATACGAACGTCGGTACATACGTGCATACATACATAATACACGCATATATATATATATATATATGATCATACATATGTGTGTGTATATATGTGTACATGCGCATGCATTTCCGCGTAGATGTGCATGCACATGTATGCACATATGCGGTTACACAAACAAACATGTACATACCCGAACATGTGTCCAGATGCATGCATGCATCCGTGCATACCTGCCTACACGCCTGCATGCGTGCAGGCATGCGTGTGCACATACACACACACACACATGCATGCATATGTGCATGCCTGCGTGCATACATGCACACATGTACCACTTACTTGCATGTTTTCATGTACGCATGATCCTCATAGGCATGTATGCATGTATGCATGCAGGCATAGATGACTAGGCAGATGTACAAGAACGCCAAGGCAGAAAAATGTCAGTCTGTCTACCGGTCCGTCCGTCTGTCTGTCTGTCTGTCTGTCTGTCTGTCTGTTTGTCCGTCTACTTTTTGCCCATCTATATCTATCTAGCCTTCAACCTATCAATGCATCCATGAAGTTTATTTGCGAAGATCCTACGGGGTGGGTTTGGCTTTCGTGGGAGCTCGGCTTCTTCAGGCCATCCTCGTGGAGAGGTGTACAGAGGCCCGTGCGCTCGACATCACAGAGGAGCTGGAAGAGTGGCTGGGCCTCATCTGGCATTCGCTTGGGTTTTTTTCTCGACAAGTGAGGCTTAGCTTAGGACGTCAGGGGTACCCGGCAGTCGCAATAGGCCTTGATGCAAAAGGTTTCTTCGTCATGTGAACGTAAGCTCTTGTGTTTGGGGTCCATGCCTGTTCCCATAAGGATTTTTTACGGTGCTGATAAGGTACGGGATCATGTGCTTGGCAGAGGAGGTTCCGGATGAAGAGCTGCTGGACCCGGCCATGCATTGAGGCACACTGAGGCCCAGCCGCGCCTTGCATTACATGGGAGATTTTCACTTATTCGCGAGGTCTTGAAGTTTGGATGGTACCAGTAGGTAGGACCGGGTAGTGGAGAAGTTTGCGTTACAGAAGCATTCAGATCTCGGCGAGGGTTGGGTTTCGCGAAGTACTTCGGGCGTTCGTTTCTCCGGTCCTTGGCACATCCCAGGTTTGAAGAGCAAGCAGATGTCATCAGCATCCTTTTGCCGGTCGAGTGCCGGCCTGGTTTTAGAGACCGTTTCCTGATTTTCATGGGGGCAATGCCTCAAGCGGAAGCCGTGCTCAGTGCGAGCCGGCAAGATATCGGACAGCCGCCACGTTTCAGGGAAGCTTTCTGAGGAAGCCTCCCTATCATCGCAACAACAGACCTGCAGCGCAAAGGAGCCAGGAAAGATGAGAGCAGTCGGTGCGTCTCTAGGGCTGATGCGGTTGTGTCTCTAGCCCGGGGATGTTACTTAGTCCAGTGTTCGGATGTCATGTTGCTCACACCGTGACGGCATGCTCGAGCCCCAGTCGGTGTAAAGGTGCTGGCCGAGTGGTCATGCTCCCGAGGGCCGCAAGCGGAAGAGACGAAGGCTGGAGACGGAGAAGGCGGACGCCTACGGCGCAGGACTTCTGAGTTCTAAGAGGAGATGCGCCCCAGTGGCCAGGCTCAGGTCCCCGAAGCGTTGCCCCCCCGGGGGGCGACGGCCGAGGCCGAGGCTCCAATCCGACAGAAGCTGCGACATGCTGCGATGGTTTGTAGCCACCAAGGGCGCGCCGGGACCTCCGCTGCCGGAGGAGGATTGGCGGGCCCGGGGGCCATCCGGGGGCGAGTGTCGCTCTTGAGCTGACAGGAGAAGCCGTTGGCCGAATCCGTGGCTGCAAATCCGGAGGCAAAAGAGGAAGACGAGGAGCCTCGATAAGTGCTTGCTGCTTGCTTGTAGTGAACGAGAGCTCGCTCTCCCCTTCTCCATCTCACAGGACCTTCCTTTGGAGGAGCTGGCGAAGAGCGAAGGCAGTGGCGAGGCCGAGGCCAAGGACGAGGCCGAGTCGGTTGAGCCCGTCGCTGAGGTGCTTGGCTCAGGAGCTTGAGAGTCTCGAGCCGCGCCGACCTTCTGCCACATCTGCTGCAGGGGGCTGGTATGGAACTGGACGCGGCAGCAGAGGACGTATGCTTGCAATTTATGTTGGCTTTTTTGGGGGCCAGGGTCGGGCCTACTACGGTTACTACGGGTTGCAGGCCTGATACCTCTGCTTGGCATGGTGGGCCCTTGTCAGTAGTTCGCCTTGCGGTTTCTAATCCGTTGCGGCCCACAGCTCACTGCGGCTCAATCCTCTGCTTCCGCGAGACCGAGCTCCAGGCGGGTATCCTAGCTGGTGGTAAAGATCTGACATGTGCGCATCGCCAGTTCGCTTGCAGACATGCTCGACCTGATCACCCTTGTCTCGGCAGTTGGCCTGCAGAAGGAACCGCGAGAGCTGTACCGGGCCCGGACTCCGAAACCTGATCTGCGAGTGCCGCAGGAGCTGACAAACAGAAAGCACGGCGAGCCGATCATCCGTGAGGCGCGCGCGGCTTGGTCGATTGCACATCGGCTTCATTGGGGCCAATTGGATCAAGCAAGATAGACTTGACGTTCGAGAAAGACCTCAGCAGTTCCAAGCAGAGCTGGAGATCGGGGCAGGATAACACCGACTTCGTGGCCTCTGCTGCGGAGTCGCTGTCCGCGGCCTTTGACCGCTTCGAGGGCGCTCTCGCACAGGCATCATGACTCAGGTTTAAGTTTCAGCTTATTGCCCAAGCCAGAAGTCACAGCAAGACTTTGGAGTTTCAGATGCTCGGCCGAGAGATGCTACCATGTTTTGTAAGCTGGCAGGGCGTTGCTCTTGTCCTTCCTGCGGATAAGCCTGCAATGCCACCAAAGAAGGCACAGTTGTCCGTGATCTTGGCGGGTGGTGCAGTTTTCTGTTGCGCTTTGCTTCGTTTTGTCACTTGGTGATCTTAATCCTGCACAGGCTTGAAGCGTGAGCCAGGAGCGGCTTGAAGCGTGAGCCAGGAGCCATCAGGGGGGGCTGAGAAGCCGTGGCAGTTGGGCGCTGGAAATCTGGAAGCTAGACTGCCACTGTGTCCCAGAGCGGTCACTGCGGCGAATTCAATGTGCATGTGTTTCGGTCGTGATCGTTCTCTGCGTCTCGACAGTTCAAGCTGCAAGGCGGCCTACGCACAGGAGTCCGGCTCGAAACCTTGCAGAAGCAAGGGTTGATTCCATCGCTTGCAGGACCATTGCTTTGGCATGGCCCGTGATCCCAGCAGCAGCGAAAAGAAGAATTCGTCTCTAGACCCAGGGTGCCCATAGCAGAACAAGATCAAACCCGAAGGGGCACGCGATAACATGTCATACCCGTGTTTAACGTGGAAAAGCACATCAGGCCAACAAGGTGCTGTCGCATTGAGGTACGCGCCGGAAGCAATTGAAGTACTGAAGCGCGCAGCAGAGCGACAGCGACATAAGGCCATACGGCGCCGTAGACCACAGCACGTGCAGTATGTCAAGAACGAGAAGGCAAGTGTGAAGCTGTGGAGCCCAAGGAGGATGACGACAGCTCTGTGGAGCAGTCCGTCACTGTGCGTCGGGAACTACGACTTTTGAATTGACTCAGATCGTACGATATCTCGGCTTTGCTTGTGATACCGTGCTGTGCGCCAAGATCTGGCATCAGATGTGCATCCTCGTTTACTGCTCCTACGCGAGGCTTGCCTGTCACACGAGTCGGTGGGGAGGAAGAGGAGCGCCCACTGCAGATCTTTCCCCTGCTGGCCACCCGGCCACCGTTTGCAGTACGAAACCATCACATGGAAACATCTTTCTGCGATCGTACTTTGCAGGAAGAGTTCTTGAAGAAGGCCGGAAGCCCGACAAGCTGTTTGAAGCTGGTGCGTGTTGGTTTACAGAATAATGCTCTATGTTGACTCTACGTTGTACCATCGCGGCATACCATCCCGCCCTCAACAGCCTCCTGGCTTCCGGGCATCCGATCCTGGAGCTTTCCGGAGTTTCGGAGGCCAGGCAGGCGCTCGAAGACACCTTTGCGTCGTAAGGTTATCTAAACCAACTCCAATATCCCTTACTTAAGGAATATTCCTTAAACTATGGTAGGATCCCTAATATGATTTAAGGTATATTGCTAAGAGCGGTTATGTGCAGGCAGCCATTTCCCAGATGGAGTCGGCTCGCACTCAGGCAGTTCCGACGCGGGTTGTTTCAGTGCCAAAGTAGTTGGTGTTTCTGTTCCGGTTCCCTTTGTTCTGCCAAAGTCGCTGGATGGGAACTCAAGCATCTTCGAGACTTAGTTGTTGTAGTACAGAAGCATCCGTGAATCCTAAACAGCGGCGAGGAGAAGGGCAAGGGCAAGGGCCACGGCAAGGGCTACGGCAAATCACACAAAGGTGGCAAGGCAGGGGAGAGCTTGCTGCGACTAAACTGCATGCTTGGTTCCCGCGTTTGAAGGACGGAAAGGGCAAGAGCAAGGCCCTGACACTGTTGCTTGCTGGAAGTTCCAAAGAGCTTTGGGCTTAGTGGTGTCGCCGGTGCGGTGCCAGTGGGCTGCTGGCAGGATGGCAAGGGCAAATCTGGCAAAGGTGGCAAAGCAGGAAAAGGTGCCATCAGCAAGTTCTTGTTTCTCCCGTGCTCGATTTTCGTACGTTGCCAGGCAAAGGGTCACGGAAAGGTGGCAAACACTGAGCCGACTCTGCAGTCTGGTTCCGGTTCTGCGCCGGCAAAATCGATCGCCTCGTCGCCCACGCACATGTTTCTGAGTCAAAGCTGAGCACGAGCGGCAGCTCTCCACAGTACCGTAAGGGATCGGCCCTCCCAGCGTTGGCCTCAAGGCTCCCCCGTATTTTCCAGTGTGACATGGAGCAAAGACAGTTCGCCTAGCTGTTGTTAGCACTGAGTTTTCCCAATCTACCAGAAGCGAGCGATGAGTAAAGCACTTCGCAGTTGTAGTCGTTTGGAGCACAACTCCCGCCATTCAGTGTAGGTTCCTCGGCACAGCCATGGAGTCACCAGGCCCGCTTCACATGGAGGTTAACTCCATGTTGGTACGAAGGTTTCATAGGTCACACTTAACTGTTGCTTCCCAGTCTAACCTCAAGGAATGCTTGGGTAAAGGCCTGCTGTATGTGGTCTTGATGCTGAATTTTCGCGTTTTGGGCCGTGTGACTTCCGCCTTTTAGTGATAGCACGTGGATGTTGGGGGGCAGGTTTTGTGCCATAGAAATAGAGAAGCGGATGCTCCGTTCCGAGGTGCTGGAGATGTGGACTTCAGAGCGGTACTAATTCCCGTGATCTCCCGTGCGGATGCACACGAGCTCGCGAAGCTGCAGACCGCCTGCAGGATGTGGCGGGAGGTGGGCCTGCAAGATGTGTCTTTAGGCCCTGAGGCACAGGCAAAGCTTCGCCTGCAAGGCAGATGTGCTGGTGCAAGGCCGCTGGATGCAGCTTCTGCTTAGAGACTTCCTCCAGGAGTTGCGGATGGGCTTTGCTGAGGGGCAAGAAGCAAATCCCCCTACATGTACTCGGCCCAATTTCAGAATGCAGATCCCTCCCCTCCGGATATCGCCAGTTAATTACCTTCGCGCATGAAATGCTAGCTCGTCTTAGGTCCAATGGACGAGAGCGTGCCCATTGATCAACATGCGTGCTCAAGCGAACGCAACTTCCGAACCTACACGTCCTGGCTTACAAAACATCTGATAGGCCTGACTGCCAAGAGGCATCATTGTGAATTACACCGCCTCTCAGGGATCCCTTGCCTTGGGTTGTCTATGTGGTTGTGTGCTCTGTGTCTTTCGTCATGAGTTTTACAGAAGTCGGGCGGGGGGGGTGTATTTCATTATGATGTTGCCACTTGTTGAGTTGAAGGGGTCCACTGGGAAGCCGGCGATCTTGCGGGCCTTTTGGCAAACTTGGGGTAATCCAAGTGACTCCGGGAGGCCCGGGCTCCCACTGAAACATGCTGCTAGTTGCGATGCCCTGGCGATGGTGCAACTGGCCGCTGGGTGGCCGTGTTGGTGTGGTGGTTGCGGTTGGCCTTGGCGGCCATAGTGGTGGTGATGGCCGCCGGTGCTGATGCTTGCTGTCGTCATGAAAGGCTCGCAAGCGCAGCACAAGTCAAGTCAAGACACGCAGCCATAAGCCCCACAACCAGATTGGGAGCATCTAAATCACAACGTCTACGGCAGTCTACGGTAAACAGCTCTACAGCAGTAATTGGATGATGACAGCGAGGTGGGAAACAGGAGCAGGAGCAACGAGATTGCACAAGAAATGAAACTGGCGATTGTCGCAAGCTCGTGGAGCCGCGGCCAGGACTGGGGTGGCGCCTCGCGCTACCGGGCCCTGGCACAGCCTCAGTGCCAGCGCTGCAAGCGCCTTTTCTGGGCCCAGCGGCGGTGCCCCGGCTGTCAGTTGTCCTCGAACCGAAGGTAAAGCACATGAAGGCTTTGATCATGAGCAGATCCAATAATTTTTGCTGTTTTGTGTTCTGGAGTGGTATGCCATGATTCGGGATGCTGATTGGGAAGGATTTATGACTTGTGACAGTTATGTTAGGCTTAGCAGCGGAAAGCCCAATGCTGAGGGCCTGTTCTTGCCTCTCCAAATTATGTCTTTTCACTTGTTGAGATGTGTTCAAGCCCAGTCGAGCAAGCATTCGTGCTAATTCCTGTTGCCGACAGTGAAGGCAGAGGTGGAAGTGACCGGGAGGGCGGAGGAGGAGGAGGAGGAGGAGGAGGAGGAGGAGGAGGAGGAAAAGCCTGTTTAATTTTTGAGCTTCAAGGGGCTGCCTGGCAAGTTGATCTTCCATGCAGCTCGAAGTCCATGGCCGTTTGGATTGGCAGGGGTGCCTTCCGCCGTTGTCCCTGCGTGGCGTGGCGGGACGCGAGGCACTGCAAGGGCTGCGAAGGAGGTATGTTTACGGCTTAAAAGGGTACCGGACCGTGGTGGGAAGGGGTCTCTTGCAGGCCGTCGCTGACGATCGTGTCTTTGAACTTGGAGCGATGTGCAGACGGCAGTTTTTGCGAGCTCGGCCCTCGGACAAGAATTTCTCGAAGCGCATAAAGAAGCGTTCCTTTTCTGTAGTCTGAGGTGGTCCGGCTTCTCGGCCGCCAGAGCAGCCACTACGGCGCTCTTCCAGGTGCAGTTCCGATCTGTGCCCGAGCTCTCCGACGCGGCTTTGGAGACGGCGGACATCGTCTTCCTGCACACGACCAGTGCAAAGAGGGCCCTGAACGCTGCGGAGCAGGCCAGTGTGCCACTGGCAGAAACAAGTCGACTCGGATGACATGACATGACTACCAATCGCGAACTACCTAGCTAGTCAACTACGCTCATGTTGGCAGGCGACGCTCTCCAGATTCTGCTCGCGTGGTGGCACGGCTGTGCTGAACTGCTTCAGTGCTTGGACCGTCAACGGTGGAGCCCGGGACACAACAGCAAGAAGCAAAGTTAAAGGCCGTGTGAGGAATCGACGAATTTCAGTCAATTGGTTCTTGAGTGATCAGCGAATGCCCAGGATGGGGGAAGGAGTTGGTGAAGTTTCTTGGCATTTTCCCAGAGCCCTCGGCGAAATTTGGCGCGGGCTATGCCACCAAGCTATCGACCGCCAAAGGACACTTGCAACATGCGACTCCCTTGCAGAAACCTTTCAGTGGTCCCGGCTCCAGGACTGGAAGACCTGTGCCTGGCGGGACCCTGGGGTGCACCGCACGCCTACCAGTCCTGGAGCTCTATCTTGAGAGCCATGCGGAGCGAAGCGGTCCTTTCCAACGACGAAGCACGGTGCTTCATCAACCTGGGCGATCTTTGGCCTAAGGTCTATTCAAGCTGTGCCCTTTCCCTTTCCCGTCCGAGTCGTGTTCTCCCCTGCCCTTGCCCCTGTGCCCAGGAGACCAACTTCAACGCCTGGTTGCCCCTGGAGTCCGGGGATGCCATTCCGGTGTGCACCACTGGCCTCCAGGAAAGCCCCCTGAGCCGAAAGACGCCCCTCTGGTTTCCGAAGGTGAACGGCGCGGGCCAGGCAGGGCATTTCCCCAGTTCTGTACAGCAGCTCTTGAGAATAGTACTGATTTTGATGGAAGAACTTCCGTTGGAAGATCGGGCTAACATCGTTGTGGCAAAACTTGGTAACCTGTCATGATCTGGCTTTCGACCAGCATCTCTCAGAGCCTCCTGTGCTGCTTTGGGAGGCTTTCCTGTGCTCGAACCTCCACTGGCTGGCAGATCCTCAAGCTTGGCATGGAGGGTTGATCCGCTCGGAGGGCAACGTCATTCTCTGGCTCAACATCTGTGCAGCTCGACAGCGTATCATGCGAAGCCTGGAGAAACTTCTTACATTCCTTGATTCCAGGGGTTGCTGAGTCCGTCAACGCGTTTAGCGGGGCTTCTTTAGGCCTTGCCCGTTTGAACAGGCATCTGCGTGCCGAGCTCTCTGATCTCGAAGAAGCTCTGCACGGCTCCTTGCTTCGTTCCTTCAAATTTCTTTGGAGCCATTGTTTCCACAGGAGAGAACTCGCAAAAAGCAACAGCACATGATCCTGCGCCGACATTCTGGAAAGGCGCAGCCACCTTCGTTCCCACGTCTCTTGTACAGGACCCCAGCTGTAGCTAGCAGTGAACTTTTGCTCAGTTGGCAAGCCGTGAACTACTGTGATTGTTTGGCATGCACAAGGCATGTCACCATGGCCTCCGAAGGACCGCAGATTGCGGCTGCTTGACCATGAGTCTGCGCGTCAGAGACCCGAAGAGCTGAGCGAATCACCTGTTCCAAAACTGGGGAGATGTAACACGGCCACAGCAGACGGTCCGGGCATGGCTCCGACCGTCAGTTTTTCGCAACTTGTCAGGCTCCGAGTGTTGCGCCAGTAGTGATGTTTGTCTTTGTCAAACTCTAGCGAGACAGTGGGCACGTGTGGGTAGTAAAGTGAAGATGCCGCCGCTCCCAAACAAGATGCGAGAAAGCCTTGAAGTTACATGGGCGACCGGTGTGAAGAAGCTGGAAGCCCAGAATTTTAGGTCGCATGCCCAGGCACCTACGCCTGGAGGGCGAACGGTGGGACAAGCCCTCTGTTCCTGTAGGTGAGATCTTGGCTTCTGCTGAGAACGTCCTGGGCGTTGGGAACAGCCTGTGTGCGAAAGCAGGTAATCGCAAATGCATTAGCTCACTAAGGTTCGTTGCTCTTGCTTTTTGTTCTTGGTGGTGTAGTTTGATCAAGATGTCCCTGATAGGAGTAGCAGAGGGTAGCACAACCGAGTTCCAGGCAGCCGAGTCACATAGTCTCATAGCCGTATAGCCCTGTTCCCGTGCATGGCGTCGAGTTTTAGACGAGTGCAGACTCCCTCTCCCTGATCGGGGATGTGCACGCTGCAAGAGCTCTTTCGTCCTTGCTTCACAGCCCTTTCTAGGAGGTCGCTGGAGATTCGTTGTCCATCACTCGTTCTCCTCCACTTAGATCGCTTGTTCGGCGAAGAAGCTCTGCCTGAATGGCCCTTTGTTCGGCGCAAGGTCGCCGACTGCCAGGTTTGAATGCAGGGGCCGCTCAGGAGCTCTCAGATCGACTTTTGGGGTTCCGAGTTTCGGTTCGGCCTTTACTCGAAACATCTCGAAACCCCACATCTCGTTTCACTCCTGATGATTTAGACTTTTTGAATGCCCATGCCCCAGACGTCTCCCTGTTGAAAGAAGGATGTGCAGCCTGCCACCTGGCAGATCTTTTGCAAGACAACGGTTTGCCAGTCCACCACCCTGGAGAATTTTGGCACTCTGCGTGTTGTCCAGCCAAGCTTTTGCAGACTTCTGGCAAAGTAGTTAGCTACAGTGTGACCGACACCCGTGCTTCCTTCAAAGCCAAAGCACTCCCATGCCACCTCCTGAAGCAACTCGGTGAGATGCTTTGTTTTGTTTGGCCGTGGCCACGGCAATGGAGCGCCAATGTGGCAGATCTCCCTGGCAGGCCTACTGGGATTCGGATGTGTAGGCTGTACGGCTGCTGGCTTTGGCTTCCCCTGCTCATCCTGCTTTGCATACTACCGACGCTTCTCCGAGCCGGTACTTCGACACCGCTGCAGTTCCGTCCATGTCGCTTGCAAGTCAGGCGCTCTGCACACTGCCGCGGCAGTCGAGCTCTCGCCAGCTGCCTGGTGTGCCAGGGGCTCGGGGGAGACAGAGGAAGCTTTGCCCCTTGGACCGCAGGTTATGAAGGCTGGGGCCATGTGTAGTCCATTAACCCGTTCATTGTGTTGCAAGTAGGTTAAGGAAAACTGAGGCTGAGTCGGTGCTGCCGTCCCGGCAGCGAAAACTGTGCCCTGGCTGCAGCTGGGAGCGTGGATCGGGCTCTTTACGATGTTCATCGCTTGTAATGTCATGGAGTCAAGTAGGCGGCGCAAATGTACCCTCGAGAAGCAAGCAGATCGGATCAAGCTTCGCAACACGGTGGCTTGTGGGCATGAGGTTTTGACATTGCCGATGCCATTGGTGGAAAATGCTGCCGGCAGGATACTGATGGTGGCTTCTATGGTTTTCTTATTCCGCTACGATCATTCTCTTTGAATCTTTTCGTGCATCTGGAAGCGGCGACTGCAGCATGTCACGCTGTGAATGGGCAGCGTCTTGGCTGAGGAACGGAGTCCCACACGAGCTTGACAGCTGCAGTGTCTCCACATGCCTCTTCTCGCTGAAGACCTTCCACACCCTTAGCGACGACCCTGTGGAAGCCACGTCCGATTCTCGGCAGCGTGGGAGTTGCATCAACTAGTCCACTTGCTAAATGTGCGAAGCTGTCTTAGGAGCTGCTGCAGATGGGCCTCCTCAGCCCAGAGTGGCGTCCGGATTTGCAATTCCTAGGCTCATTTGGGGTCAACCGTCGCTATGTTGCTGGCAGTCGTCTTTTCCGTGTAGACCTGATATTAACTTCCCCACGAGAGCAAGCATGCTGCCGAGCTTATTCAGCAGGTCCGGCAGCTAACGGCATCCTCGTTGTTGGTCGTATAGACTCCTGTGAGATGTTAGAAAAATATTTGACTTGCAGTCTTGCAACCCTTGCGGAGAGGCCCGACGAGCCCCATTCTCGTGGATACGGTTCGCGTGAATGGCCCAAAGGACGCCCCACCCATCTTCTATCACCGCTTCTTCCATGACCATGCAGAGGCACAGGAATTGTCGAGTTAGCATTGACTCTTTGAAGCCACATTCTAGGCAGCATGCACTCCCAAACACCCAGCGGGCATGCGAGACCCCGAGGTGGTGCCACAAGCTCTCTGGGAGTATTCACACTACATCAGCCACAGGCCTCAGACGGTTTGCGAGTCACCTGAGCCATCGGAACCATGGGACTGTGAGTTGTCAGTTGTCACTGTACGAGGAACCCTGAGAGCCGTGTAAGGCACAAGCCAGAAGCCAGAAAAGCCCTTCAGTAGTGAATAAGCGTCTGTCCCGAAGCGGGCACCTCGGAGTGATTCCACAGGTTTCCGACCCTTTCGAGCCCTAAATCCGATGGTATCTACTCCTGAGGGGTTAAACAGTCAAACTAGAAGCGAGAGAGTTGGAATAACACTTGTAGTATCCCCATGCACTTAAAGTAAACATGGGGAATCCCAGCACCAATCATCATAAATCCGTTTTGGAGTTCAATATAGCCTCTCCGGATCAGGTTGTTCAAGTTGTGTCCGTAAGCTGCAGCCACAAACACTTGCGCAGTAGCCCGCTTCGACTGCCGTGTTACCCTGCTTATTGTGATGCTTTCTCGCTTCCGCTGCGAGCAACTGCAAACTTCTCGCCGATTCGGCTGTGAGGGACGTACCAGCGGGCGGAGACCCGCAATGCGAAGCTGTGGACATCACAGCTTTGTGTCTCCCACTTCCGCCGGACAACCAACTCCAATGTGACAAGATCTCATCCGGCCGCGGTCGCGGCAGGATTCCACCCATCATACCGAGATTTGTGCTTGTTCCGGTCGAAGAAAGGAAACATGATGTGAAGTGCATTGAAGGTTCAGCGAGCGCTTCCCGAGAATCCTCGGCTGGCCTATCGGCTTCGCAGACGTAGTTGATTCCTATCGGCAGACTAACTAAGTATTTCTGAGCTGCAGCGCGCGAAGACCTGGTGATGGTCAAGTTCTTTTGGCCATGTGGAAATGGAGGCAGAGAGCAGGCATCTGATCGAAAGACAAGTTGAGAACGTGATGGTGGAAAACCTAACTAGTGTCTTTTGTTGAGTGATGTTGAGTGTAATGGCGGGCTGCAGAGTGCCTGCGGCGCTCGGGAGCTGCAGTTCCGTGCGGTGATCACGCTCATCTTCACCAACATCGGCAGCTGAACCAAGATTTGGTTCCAAAGCTGCTAGCCTAGTCCACGCGCCAGCGGAGGATACCGAGACAAATTTGGAGTGCATGCACGAGTTAGCAAGTACAGCGTGCACTCTGGAAGTTGTTTCGCAAGAAGCTCCTCGAGCACTTGCTGGGCATATTCAGCTTATTTCCAGAACCGCGAACTATCGATGAGTGGTCATACAAGGTACCCCGGTCCATCCACGGCCGGGGTAGGTGAAGAAGGAGCAGAACACTCCGCAGTCCATGTTGAAAGCGGTGAATCACAAAGCGCCCCAGAGAAAGAGAAAGTGGGCGTCGCCAACACCGATTTGCGTTTGCCCTGGCGCTGCAACTCGGAGCCGTTTCGCCAAATGGGAATCGGCCCAAGAGGAGCCGGAGCCGGTTATTGAACGAAGCGAGGACAACGTGGTGCTAGAGAACCAGCAGTATCTCAGTAGACAAGTGGCGGGCTTCGTCGACGAAGGGCGAGGCAAACCAAGTCTGGGAAGGGGCCTACATGAATGAATGCCGGCCTGCTTCACGAGTGATCTTCATGACTTTCTGGCTCTGCTGTTCTGCAAGTTGACAGTCCGCAAAAGGTGATGTGGTTTGTCTAAAGCCCCGTACTGGGTGCACCGATTGTCGCCCTTCCAAATGACAAGTCTTGTAGTTTCACCAGCCAGGAGCTGTGAGCCTAAGTGTGCCTAGATGTGCGCTTGGATGCTGCGAATTGGGAAAACCTGCCGAACCTTTCGGCTACATTTTTAGAGTGCAGCAGTTGAAACTTGAATCTTGTGAATAACGCACTCTCGCCTCTCTGACATGCTCTGCCAGTTCTTCCTTCGCCGCTTCCCTCACTGCTCGCCGCAGTGGAGGAGCTCCTTGTGAACAGCGCGAAGCGGCTTTGGAGGCCTTTGCTGGGCGTTTGCCGGTGATCGGAAGGGCAGCAGATGCCAAGTCAAGTCCCAAGCATGGGTCTTAAACAAGAAAGCCTCTCATATTTTCAAGAGCCTGTGTGCCAGGTAGCCATGGCCGATACCACCGCCCTGCCATGGCTGGCTCAGAGGCACGCTGTCGGTCGAAGGGCCAACGCAACGGTGTTTCGTCTCGGCAAGGTGGGTGCTGACGGGAAACGCGCGTCTGGCCACTTCGTAGAAACTTCAACTATTTGTGGAGCCCGTTTAATCATGGCTGAACTCTATTATGTTGTGCTATGCTTTGCTGAGGACACCTTCGTCAACATCGGAGCCCGGGATGGTGTGCATGAAGATCCCTTGTATCCACTCATCTCGAACCCTGCAGATGTGCGCTTCGCTCTTGCCGTGGAGATGGATCTCGAGCTTCTAGTCTGCATGTAGCAGCGGCAGCGATGCTTGCGAAGTGTTGTCTCGTGACCAGAAGCTGTGAGGTTCTGCCAACAGCACGCACGCAACCTGCCACATGTGGAGTTGCTCTGCATGAGAGCCAACAAAGCAACGGTCCCCGACGTCGTAGCAAGACTGCCGGAGTGGCTGCGTGGGCAGAAGAGGTGACTAGCTCGAAGCTTGAATTCAGCCGGTGGGGGTGGTGAACATTGATGAACCACAGCCGGGTACGGCAGGCCTGCTGCGAGTCTGTCATCCTTGCCTCGGTTGGACGTCCTCAAGGTGGACCTGGATGGTGCGGACTGCGATCTCGCAGCACTGTCAATGCCTGAGAGCGACGGCGACGAGCAGTGATGATGTGTCATAAGACTGTGGGGAAGAGAGTTTCTTCTCCTGCGACCGCTCAGATCAGTCGAGGTTTCTGTGGAAGGTCCTGGCCAAGTTCGTTGTCATGGAGGTCTGCGACGCTGTGCCGCCACCGCTGCGCTTCAACCTCCATGACGACGAGCGACTCGTGTGGCCTCCAAGAGCTCCCTGGGGCTGCTCCCTCAGCTACCAGGCAGGGAGGGCGCACCAGAGATGGGACATCGGGTATCATCGGGTAATGTTTCCACAATGCGGATGGCAATGTCAGGTCCTGTTGTTGTCCGTCACTTTCCCCTGCGACTTCCCACGCCTGGATGCAGGTCCAGCTGATGAAGCAGTTTGACCTGGAGCTGGTCTGGTATGGCGCTGGGAATGCCATCTTCGCTCATCGTCTTGCTGCACATCTGCTAGGACTGCTGGGTGGCCCCATGACACTCAAGCCAATAAACATAATGGAATATTGTTTTTGTAATGTCATATCATATCATATCATATCATGTCTAGGAGTATGTTAAAATAACATCGTCTAACATAGTACATTAGTAGTTGTGGCCCGGCTGTCGCAATAAAAGACTAGTTGAGTACTGTGAATACCTTGCTCGCACTGCCGCAGTGTTTTGCCCTTGCATTCGACATTTCTGCACTGTGGATTCAAAATTGCCTCGTAGGGTGTGGAAGTAGCTGAAACTTCAACCCGCCAACCTGATAGGCAGTCCTCCGACGTGCGTACTGGCTTTTGTTTGGTTTAGTGGAGTACTGTTTGGAGTAACAGAAGGAGGATTGTCGAGTCAGTCAGCCGAAGTCAACGCGTCACCTGCAGCGCGGAATCCGAGCGAGTCCGACAAGTGGGAGCCAAAATAATATAGCCCAGACTATAGGATAGTATAGTGAAGTATAGTCAATATGAAATATTCTATTGTTCGTTTTCGTATTCGTATTAGTACTGGTACTGGTACTCGTATTCGTATTAGTATTGTATTATTAGTATTAGTAGAGTATCGTATGGTATGGTATAGTATAGTATAGTACAGTATAGAAAAATGTAGTATAATGTGATATATATATATATATATATATATACACATGCACACTCACATGTATATATATATATATATATATATATATATATTTATACATATATCACCATATTTGTAAGTGCCGGTCCGTGACGGCCTGTGTCGCTGCAGGACTGCCAAGCCCTTTGGACGAGGTGGACTGCTACGCGAAGTCCGTGCTGATGACAATGTGGCCCAGTGGCCGCAGGCTGCGCCGGTGGTTTTACGAGGAGACACTCTGTTCAGTTCCTGATGTCTGTGCCAGCAAGTCTATCAGACCAACAGGACAGCCTCAACGACACCTTTGTGGAAGTCCGGGCAGCCTTGACGAAACGTCTTGGAGATTTGCCGTTCACCTTGGAGATGTGACGGTACATGGAAGCCGCGAGGCAACTTTGGAACCTTTTCCTCCCCGGACAGAGCCTGTGAGAATGCTTTTGGATTCGCGAAGTCGCCGATGGTTGTGAGGGAAAGGGCAACAGCATTGGTCTCGTGTCCAACACCAAGAACGTCCCGGCCAACACTGCTCAACTCCAGCCCAGCACCTCCAGACGAAGTTGTTCTGCGCTTCCATCGTCTTGAACCGGAGGCATCATCTCCTGAGGGATAAGGCAAATTGTAGCGCGGACAGCATGCCCGAAGCTCGTGCGGTTCGATGCTTAAATGCTTTTCTGGGGTCATTCGTCTTTCGCTCCCTCAAACCCTGTGCCTCTTCTCAGCGCTCTACATATCTGTAGTTGCCCAAGCTAAATCAGTCGTCACAGTCAGATGCGGTCTAGTCTTGATGCGTCCGTTGGCTTAGCAGCTGATTATGTAGGTGTACACAATGGCAGGCGTCCGAAGCATGTGAAACGAAGGCGCCAGTAAGCTGCTTTTAGGCCGCAGAGATCAGGATCACAAGCGCTACCAAGGCGATGTCCCAATTCGGTGCCTTACCAACTAGCCGCTAGCAGCACGAACACTAGATGCAGCCTTGCCCGCTCAAACACTCACCTCGTAGTGCATCGCAGTGACGCCCACTTGCAGTGTTGTCCTGTCCCCAGTTCCCTTCCTTGTCTGAGCTGTGCCGAGCGCATGGGCGGCTGTTCTCAGACTTGAGTCCGCCGGACAGTCCGCCGCTTGGATCCGGTTGAGCACGTCTGGGGCGCACAGTAAGGGGTTCTGTTGAGCCGCTGAGGTGATTGGCGATGGGAAAAGGTGATGGCAAGTGGGGCAAGAAAGGCGACGGGCTTGTCGGGCCGGGTGGCCCTGGAGTGGGCCCCGGCGCAGCTGCCTGGAAGGGGCTTGCGAAATGGGGTGGCAAGGGCGACAAAAGCGAGAAGGGTAATTGGATTTCTCAGCCCGAGGATGGGCCGGAGTTGAAAAGGCCACGGATGGATGCCATGGGTCCTGAATTCTCCCTGAAAGGCAGGGATGGAGGGAAGGGCCTGGGCAAAGGCTTGGCTCCAGGCCTAACCAAGGGCCACATGGTGCCACCAGGCCTCATGCCCATGGGCCCACCAGCCGGGCGCTCGGAGATTTCAAGGAGAAGGCGAGAAAAAAGAGATTCAGAGATCACCTGCCTGTGTTGCGCCGAGGACGCCAAGGGTGGCAAAGGCAGGTTGTGCTGCCTCGCAAGCCCAGGGAAAAAATCGCCGCCGGTTTCCTGCTTCAGGCCTAGCTGGTCCTGGTGGGTCCTGGCCTCGCGAAGTTCTGCAAGCAAAACTGCATAAGCAGACTGGCCCCCTGCAGGTTCGTGCTACCACAGGCGCCCCCGTTGCCCTGATCTCAGGCCTCAGTGGCCTCAGCCTCAGGACCGGGCAGGGCGAGCTGCACTCAGGCAGACGGGCTTGCTCCCGCCTGGGCACACAGCACCTGCCATGGCCTTGAATATGGCCAAGGCATGAGGGCAGACATGTTGTAAGCAGCCCAGAGCTGGGTGGGCGATCCACATTCGACAAATCTTGAGCTGTTGGATTTGATCTGTCTTTTGCTAGTACTTGTAGTAGGTATGTGAGTTGCAACTTCAGGCATTGGGCCTAGGTGGGTGGACTTCATAGGCATGTTTTTCAATCGTGGAAGGCTGTTTGGATGTACAAAGCACAGCTGCTCCTGTCGAGCGTCGTCCCACCTCATCTGCCACCGCAGTCGGCGGCTGTGGGCGCCGGGCCACCGGGGAAGCTTGCGCGGCTCTGAGGGGCTGGGGAAAACCTTTGGGGGCATGGGCAAATCATGCTGGGGAGGAGCTGAATGCTTGAATGTTTCATCGGACAAACCACTTAGCAGAGCATGTGGCTCAGTTTCGTGTATTTCAGGTTCTCCTAGCCCCTGCCACGAAGCACATCACGCCACCGGCCAAGACAATACAGCTTGTTTGCTGTTGCGGCCCTTCGGAAGGTGCGTGGACCAGACGTGTTGCAGCGGAAGAGGGTCGTTGTAGAGGTCTGGATGCAGTTTGTTTTGGGGGTTCCGGTCGAGTGTCTGTGGAGTTCCCTTCGAATGGTAGGCAGTGCAACAACCTCTTATGTTGATCTTCTTGTGGCTGCGTCGCTTCATAAGGCCGGTCTCCAGCAAAACGGCATCCACCAACAACAAGAAGATTGCCATGGAGCTACTTGCATGCAGTGGATACAGTATGACAAGGTCCTTCGTCTTGTTCTGCTGGGTAGCGGTGGTTCCGCTGACCTGCCAAGCTCAGGTTTGTGCACGCTTCCAAGGACGTCCAAGCGCAAATGCTTAAGGACCCCACCGTGGCCAGAGCCACACCCCCAGCAACCACCGTGCTCGCCAAAAGATGGGTGATAAGACTCTGGCACCGGGTGACCGATGCACTGTCCAGATTTTCAGTACAGTTGTGTTGAGCTTGGAGAGGGTAGACGCCCTGCTGACTCCTGGTGTGGATGGGCTGACACCTAGCAGACCTAGCATGGCACTCATTCGGTTTGGGGGAGAAGAAGATGGCTTTGTTAATTAACGCCTAAGTACGCAGAACCTTCTCGCGGTGAAGCAAGGCTGACCAGAGCCTCGGTAGACGCTGGCCATGGAGCAAGCAATCCATGGAGTGCGCGAGCAGTACAGCCTGCTGGCCAGCATGGTCCGCAGACAGGAGCTCTTTGTGCCCATGCTGGGCATCTGGGTGGCCTCGTTTGGTGGGGCGCTCCATGCACCTGTCACCACCTACTTTCAAGTTGAAGTCGGGGCCTCCACCGTCGCCAGTCCTCTTTTCCCATCAGACTGTGTCATGATTGGTGTACGACACTAGCATCAGACTTTGAAGGTTTATTTCGAATTGTCTACTATGTTCCTCTGAGGCACAAATAGGAAATTTCGGCATCATCCGCACTGCTGGTGTTCTGCTCGTGTCTCCACTGTATGGCTGGCTGCTGGACAGACGATCGGCCTATCTGCCAGCCGTGCTATCGGCCTTCTGCTGCACCTTTGGGTGCCTGATGCATGGCTTTGCATTTGATGTTGCGGGTCTGTATTTCGCCAGTGTCATCTTAGCGTTGGGCGCCGTCAACTTCTGGAATGTTGTTGGGGCATATGTCGCACTGGCCACGCCGCGGGAACAGCGACATGTCGTCGTCACGGGCTTCCAAGCGACCTCGATGTCTTGCTAGAATGATGTCCGTTTGGTGGTGGAGTGCAGACGTACTTTCATGTAGTTGAGGCAAAGAACCAAGGTTAGGACAGAGCCTTTGAGGTGCAAGTGGCAACCCTGAGACTCATCGGCACATCGCTCTACCCCGCGGTGGACTCACTCCTCAAAGCTGTGGGAGTTGAGCAGAAGCTGCTGCGGTACAGGAGTTGGGCTACCAGGTGAAAAGATTGCAGTCGAGTCGCATCAGATAGCTTTAGCGCTGGGGTTCGGTGTAGTATCAGATGAGGATCCACATGAGCGAGTGCAGCATATTCTGCGTGTTCGCCTTCGTGTATCTGGTGGTTCGGTTTCAGCCCGCGGCATGGGTCGAGGACGGGGATCTATGTGCTTCTGCAGAGCGTATCTCGCTTCTGCTCAGCGGCGAAAGCCTACTGCGATGAGAGCGTCAATTTAGGATTTTAAGAACCACTGGGAGCCTGCAACTGCTTGCCAATGCAGGATGAGGACAGAACAGGCGAATCCAAGAAAGCAGAGCAGCCTGTGAAGTATTCGCAGATCATGCTTCTTCTGGTCACAAGCGTCATCCAGACCTTCGGTGAGACCGTCGACTGCTGTGATTTGTGATTGGGATCATTTTCATAGTAAATGTAAAGCTGTCGGTTCCGTTAGCCGACTTCATTACTTCGCTGAACCCGGATAGCCTTCTACAGTCCTGGTTGGCAAAGCAGGTCATTACCGTGCTTTGGCCACTTCACATACGCAAGCTGGGGTTGGGTTCTCATGACTATGCCTGGCTGCAACTGCTGTCGCAGTTGTTGATTATTGTGAGCACCCTCGGCTACCCCCCACTGACGCGGCTATTGGGCCATCGGGCTACTGCCAGCTCTTTGCCGATGATTGCCAGCGCCACCTCTGCACTGGCTTTTCTGCAACCAGATGCTTCCCTGTACGGCCAGCTAGTGCACATCTCGAACGTCCTGACTTTTCTGGCAGTCTGCGGAACTATGAAGGTGTGCTACCAGCACCTGACGACACTCGCTGTACCAGCTTCCCAGCAGGGGCGTGTGTTCTCCTTGCTGAATGTCTTGGGGTCTGTTGGAAGCATTGCTGGAAACCTTGTTGCAACACGCTTCTCCGAGCACGAGACGTCCTTCACTTCCAAAGGTGCCACTCCCTTTCTGGTTACCTCCTCCCTGACTCTCGAATGGATTTAGATCCCTTTCGGCTTCAAGATTGAAGATTGACGAAGGAATTCAAATTAAGTTAAGTGGGCCTGTTTGGCGAGGCTCCGGAGTTTCGGTAGGAGGTCGCTCTAAGCCCATCCAGTGAAGCAGAGGTTCTGCACCGTTGGTTGCGCCATCGTCGGTGTATTGTGCGTCCCGATCGAGGACAGCATCAGCAAGAAAGCGGCGGTGCATGCCGCTGATGGACACCAACACCACTGACGGGCAGTTGTGCGGCCTCGCTTTTCTGCTGTTGAGGAGCAGGGAGAGCCAGGTTGTTAGTGCATTTTTTCGGAGCTTCAGGACGCCTGTGCTAAGCATGCAGCGAGAGCAGGCATTGCAGCTTCTCCTCCGTAAGAGGGTAGGTTGAGGCCCAACGAGACATTGTGGGGAATGGGTTCTAAGCTGAGGATTGCCTGTTGCATGCTCTCCGTTCTGCCTTCCCGGAGCTATCCAAGGCTCTAGCCAAAGACCTAGCAGAGCCTCCCTTCTTGCCGTGCGGTGTGGAACAAATAGGGCCAAAGCCGAGAGACTGTTCCGATGCGGCACCACTGCGCGACCTGCTACCCCACATTCCCCGATCCGACTGAGCAACTTTAAATCAACACCCAAAGCGTCTATATATCCGTTAGTTGTATTATGATACAATACCCGTATCTACATCTACAATCTAAACCTAGACCTACACGGGTTACCAGCTGCTAGTGTCCGACCAGTCAAAGTACTTCGAACCGAGACCTCGTCCCGCAAGTCCGAGTTGCGAGGGCATAAATCTTCATTTTACTTCACATCGGCTGGATCTATATCTATATTTCTATCTATACCTATGTCTATAGCTAGTCTATCTGTCTATCTACCTATCTATTAACCTATGTACATATATACTTATATATACATATTAAAGTACAGTAGAGTATTTTTGCATGATTGCTTGAGGCCATTCTCCAAACTCTCGCCGAGTCGCCGGGCACGGCGCCGGGCATGGCAGTGCTCGGAAGTGGCCGCGGGCTTGTGAACTAATAAACCCTAGCATCCCAGGTTCTATTGTAGCATAATAAACTATATACTCTAGGATATACGACAGCCTAATACAAGACATGCAAACCGAGAGAGAATGGGATTAAGAGAGACAGAGCCAAGAAGAACGTAAGACTCTCACGTCAGGAAGTTGTGAAATCGGACAGAGAAATCCAGTGCGTCGTCGGATCCATGTATGCTGCGCGTAGTTGCCAGCTGAAAGCAGAATTAGATGCATCCGATTGGTGACTCAATGAATGCCCGGAGCAGAGCTAGAGCCTTTTTTTGAGCTTTCTTGGTCATTCGCCTGTGGCACTGTGCATAGCACTGGAGTACAGAATAGATTGAACGATGGCATGGTCCCAGGGCCGTTGCCTCCGCCACCGCCTGCCTCCATGATGCCGCCGGGACAGGCAAGCGGGTGGCAAGTTGGAAAGGGTCTTCGCAGCTTTGGTTGCCAAGTGCTCGTCGAGTGAGACAAGCGCCAGCTGCTCGTTCCCAACTTGGTGCTGTCCGTCGCAGGCCATGATGTCACCATTAGCGCAAGTGGCTAGCTCAGAGAAGAAGCCATCTGCCTGCCCGTGCCCGCAATGAGCGAGACGAGCCCGAGGCATCTGCTCCGGCCTGGACTGGCGTAATCACGCTAGCAGGGAGCTCAGAGGCTTGGGGAGGCCTGAGCGCGCCCCTCTCGGAGGGGTCAGAGCCAGAGAAAGCAATGGCTGACACTGATCGGGTGGCTCTGGTTGGAGGCCCGGAACATGGCAAAGAAGACTCCGTTCAGGGCAGCGCTGATCCAGGGCAAGGTGGCAGATGTGGAGGTGGGTGTAGCGCCTGCCACTTGTCGTGCTTTCTGACTCTAGGACAGCTTGTGCCTCAGCGATGCTGGCTTCACTTGTACGCTGCAATGCCCAATCATGCTCAATCCATTCTGAATTTGCGGGTCAAGCTTTCGGGCGGCCGATCACAGATCACATGTCCGAGTCCCGAACAGTCCATGTTCGAGCGAGCCCAATCTTCGAGTGGGCAGATCTTTGGCTCCAAGCAGTCTCCAAGCAGAATGAGAAGTTGGTCAGCATCCGTTGCAACAACCCTCACCAATATTGTGGGAACTATAGCGGTAGCAAGAATAGTGGCACTATTACTGCTGCTACTGCTGCTACTGGAGGAGGAGGACGACGACTATTACGACGACTACTGCCATAACTGATGTCGAAAATAGTCGTAAAGATCCTCATGTGTACAAAAAAACGGAGATAATAGTAACAGCAATAAGACTGAGAAGACCAATAGTGATGCTAACGGTAAGGGTCATCGCAAAGGTGGCCCAGGCACGAGTCGTAAGAACAGCCGCCTCAACTCCTGTTCTGTACATAGAAGCCATGGGCTCAGTCTTCGGGACAGGCGCGGTGTTGGTCGTGTGCTTACCCGGCGAGCGAGTCGAGGGATCAAGTCGACGCCTCGTTGCTTCCACCTCTGTATCGACCTGCGTCCTTCGAGATGTGACGCTGTGTTATTTGTTCCGACTGAAGCCTCGAGCAAGAAAATTGCCAAAGGCTCATACGAGTCTGCGAAAGTCTGTCTCGTATGAGCAGCTGCCAGCAAGCTAAATGCAACATGATGAGGGGGGAAAGGGTCACACCTGAAGTAAGGCTCCTGGTCAACTTTCAAGGGTAGGCTACGCAGCCAGACATCTGCTTTTCACTTGCCTGTCGTTTCCGTCTCTCTGTCCTCGAGCAGGTGCAGCAGCCGCAGAGACAACCGAATCGGCAGAAATGCCGCCCTCCTCGGCACCAGGCCTCGCGACCTCTGGAGGCGGAGCTCCCGACTTTTCTGGCGCACCGCGCTGGTTGCGCCGAGTGCGGTGTGCCGTGCCGCTTCCAGCCCCCACCCAGCAGGCGCAGGGCCTTTATTGCGTTGTGAGCCTCGACAATCGAACTGTGAGAGTGTAAATGCTCGACTCGAAGACGTTTGAAGGCCGCACCGATTCACAGCAGCCCCGGGCGAGTTCTTCGGCCGAGCAGCGGCCTGGTCTTCGCCCGCTGCGTCTTCTCCGCGCCCAGCGCTCCAGACGGCCCCTGCATCGCCGCTGGGACACCGCACCCGCGCACGTGCGTCCCGTGTCTCTCTCCTCTCTCCGTCTCTCTCCGTCTCTCTCTGTCTCTCTCTGTCTCTCAGACTCTGTCTTTTCGTGAGGTGAAGCTGAAGCTCTCCTCTTTTTTTGGAAGCTTTAGAGCATGCTTTTCTTGTGGCTTTCTGAGGTGGTGGAGCGTGCCTTGGTCGACACGGGCTCTTCCGACTGCGAGCTGAGGGAAGGCTTGCTGAGGCGACTTCCCGAACTGCCCATCGTGGAGAGAGGGGTCCTCGGCCCAGAGGACCAGGCACTTGGGGTCCCGAAAGTTGGGACGGGGAATCCGTGGTCGGTTCAGACTCAGGTCATGTACGAGACCTCAACTGGTGGAGAGGCCTATGATGCTTACGAGGCTCGGACCAATTCAAGGAAACTCTCTTGACCATCGCTCAATGAAGGTGGTAGTGACCATTGATGGCCATCGATGTGCCGCGGTGCTGACTGTCGTGCCGGAGGACCTGTTGATTTAAGGGATCTGAAATGCTCTCCGTGACCTTGGACCTCCGGATCCTAAAGCGGACAGAGCAGGGAGTGGGCCACGGAAAGAGAGGGCCCGCAGTTCAGGAGCGATTCCAGGCAGGTGCTGAGGAGCCCTGCTCAGATGAGGACGGTGGAGGGGTTCCCAAAGGTCCCGGGACTGGGAAGTGGGAGCGCCTGAGCTCTGCAGGCCCTGCTTGGGCACATGGCCATCGCAGCCCTCGGCTTGATGGTCGACTGCCCTACGCGAAGCCTGGTGCCTAAGGCAGTCTGAAACGTGTCAGGGTGGTTGTGTGGGTTGGTGCCGTGTGGCCGATGTGGTCATATGTGGTCAGTTTGGTCACCCGGGTGTGTTGTCCTGTCTCACACGCCTTGCCAAAACCAATGACACGCAGACATTGGATATTGCGCACATGGTCCCATGGTGTTCGATCTGTGAGCACACATGTTACTCTTGCTCGCCTGCGGCGAACTGTTTCCAGAATCGGCCTTGAGTCAGCCAGTCCTAGTGTGCAGGCACGCGAACCAGGAGACGAGCGGCCCAACCAAGGTGCACTCAGCTGCAGAATGCAAGCGGTTTTCTCAACCCAAGCAACGAAGGAACACCGACGTACCTGGAAATGGGCCAGCTGCATGTTGCCAGCTCACGGCCGTGGGCTGCTCTCCCACCCTCAGCCCCTTTCGTGGGACCACTGAGCCAGATGTGGTCGTCTTACCGGCATGGACAGGCTGCGCTACAGCCCCGGTGGCTACCAGGTACCGGCTGCGCGATGCCGCTCATGTTGGAGGGTCTGCCAAAGGTTGCAGATGCCCAACCCTGTGACGTGGATCCGCACGGGATTCATGCCTGCAGTGGAAGGCTTTCTTGTGATTGAATGGCTGGTCAAAGTTCCTACAGTACCAAATTTGTGGTGTGTGGTCACGGAGTCTTGGCGCTGAGCCGGTCCTGCGAACTCGAGGTCGCCAATCATTCCTGTGACGTACGTCCACTGCATGTTCATGTCACCTTTCACGCCGGAAAAGGGTGGCTCCTTTGTGAACATGGCCTTGGTGGACACGGGCTCTTCAGACTGCGAGCTGAGAGAAAGCTATCTGAAGAAACTGGGACCACTTCCGACCGTCGCCGCAGGGGTCGTCTACGAGACGGTGGCTGGGAGGCATATCTTCGACTCCTACGAAGTGCTGGTCGCCGTCGGTGACCGCGTTGCTGCTGTGGCCGTGACGGGCATCCCAGAGGCCGGGTCCCGGGGGAGCAGCTTCCGCTTCCACTGTGGACGTCTGTGCTACTGTTGTTTCCCTTGTCAGAGAAGTCCCTGGCTTCATCTGTTTCAAGATCTTGCGGGTTTCCATGCTGGACCCGTTGTCTTGACTGGGCCAGGAGCGTTTTCAGCCGGGCACGGAGGATCCAGCCTCGGATGAGGCAAGTTAGCAATGAGCTAGTCCAAAACATGAACAGTGCCTGAATTCTGTAGCTGTTAGTTCTATGCAGCTGCCGCTTGTGGTAGTACAAGGGTTGGGGCGCAAGCAACGTGGTTTTAGCCGTAGAGTCCCGTGCAGACCAAGCACACAAAAGCAATCACGACCACGCGGCAACTCATCGTCATTCCAGCAAATGTAACGGTGCTGATGCTGATTCTCGTTACTGGTGACAACTGTTTTAATAACTTTATAACGGTTCCTTTTGATTCCAGTAAGTATGACTCGAGTAGCTAAAGATTTGACTTTGAGTAGTCGGTATTGTGACTTGAAAATGAGTACTTACTTCGAGGATGCAACACAAATCAACAACTTTGCACTCTGAACTCAGAAGAAGCAGCACATAAAGTATGTGGAACATGACTTTGCTGCCGGAGCACGGTGCAAGGACGCACCTTCCAGTTTCCAATTGTCCCGGAGGCAGTCCTTGGGCTGGCTGCGCTCTCTGCCTTGGGGCTACTCGTGGAGCCTTGGCCAACTCGGGAGACTCGGGAGTTTACGGTTTTGCATTCGGGCTTTGCTAGAGAGTGCCTCGATGTCGGCTTCTAAAGGCAGGTCAAGTTCTGAATATGAGGCGCTTTCTGTCTTGAGCCACGCCCCTCTTCTTTCACTTTAGTTGCAGATTGGCAGTCGTATACTCACTGATAGAACTCTTGGCATCACCATGTTTGAAGAACTTAGTCATGACAGGGCCCGCCAACTCGAATCTTCCAATGAACGATCCAAGGACTGTGGCCAGCGCCACGTGCAGAAGAAAGGCTGAAGGAAAAATGCGAAATGCCATCCGCTTGTTGCCGCTAAACGTTTGTAGTAGTTCAGCTTGTGCCGTCGCCTCCTGCATTCAACGCTCTGGCTATCACTTCAGCTGCTGCAGGTTGTGTTGCGATCAGCAGCAGCTAATTCCAGTGTTGCTGTCGGGGCCCAAGCGCTCATTCTCGGGCAAACTCCGAAGATGCTGTGATCGTAGTTGGTAGCCTGGGAGCATTGAGGACATCACTCACCGCGTCCCCTTCGACGAAGTAGCGAAGAAGGCATCCGTTCTTGGGCGGGTTCACACGTGCCCAGTGCGTGCCTCAACCTCAGCCTAGACAGCACGGCCTGACCATGGGATCTGCACAAAGGAAGAAGGACCCCCGAAAGACCTTGATCCAGCACCCATCCTTCGTGGCACAAGCCTTCCCCCAGCCAGGAAATCGTTGGGGTTTGTGGGCTCGTAAGCTGCACGGGATCTATATAAGAATCTTGGACTTGATTCGGCGACTTGTTCATTGACGAGAGCCCGCTGTGGGGGGGGCCCTTCAAAACCGCAGCCTTGAAGGTTGCAAGCGGTTCTATCCTTTCTCTCGTACCGCCCGCGACCGAGCTGGGGCCAAGAAGCTGGAGCCGAGAGAGGGAGAGACACAGAGAGCGAGAGAGAGAGTATTGTGCTTTGGCAAGCAGCCCCGCACGTGCCGATGCATGTAAGCTCTACTGTATCGCCTCAAATTGCAAGCTCCAGCGAATGCCACCGGGGGCACGGGGACGACGCGCGTTGGGGGTGCTTCGGCTTAGCGTACAGGGAGGGGCTTGCAACTCAGAGGCCGGGAGCAAACCATGAAGTTCGGTGCCACGGTCATTGAAACCCCAAAGCCGGCCACTCCATAAAAACATGGTGTGGTTGGGCGGGCCGAGTGCCTGAGGGTCACGACATGACCCCTAAGCCCAGCAGAAAGAAAAGAGAGAGAGAAAAGAAAGCCTGCAATAAGCGTGCGGGCTTATAGCCCTTTGGGCTTAACTCGCCCCTTATGCCTGAGAGAAGAAGAGAGAGACTCATGCCCCGGCGAAGGAAGGAAGAAGGAAGAGTGAGTGAAGCCACTTCATAATCTGAGTCCCTGTTTAACGTGTCGTCTAGTGACTGGTGCTTACCCTGGCATGGGTTTCCCAGCACAGTTCCCATGTCAAGATGTACATGGCCGAGCTGTGACTTCCGAGCCGAAGGCAGCAGATGTTCGGAGTCTTCACGGTGGTTGAAGTAGACCTTCTTTGTGCTTGTGCAGCCCAGTCCCGCTGCTGTGACGCCCCAGCAAGCGCAATAAGCGGCGACACACCGTCGCACCGCTTCTCCCAGCCCTGGCAAACGAGAGCGAGAGAGAGAGAGAGAGAGAGAGAGAGAGCGAGAGAGAGCAAGAGTGAGAATGTGGCTTGCAAGAAGTATTCCAGCCAGCTAAGGAATAGCATCATGGAGCAGGCCAGTTCTCTCTTGCTGAGACTGTTGATGATCGGATGCACCATTTCAATCCTCGTAATACTTTTTCCAGGCAAGCTTCGATGAGTACAACAAGTGCCCTCGTTCAATCTTGCGTGCTGTGTGTCTGGTCGCGTAGAGCGCGGAAGAGTGAGAGATCGGCCCTTGCCTCCAAAAATCGTGGCCGCGTGTTGCGTGACCCTTTGTGTGGTGAGGTACTTCCGTGCGAAGAGTAGGGCAGGAGTGGCCAGACTCGATGGTTCATTGGCCTTGTATGTCATGCCCTGCGGCGAGGACGCTTCCTGATGTTTGTTGCTGGCTGGTAGCCTTAAGAGGGAGTGCAGACGGAAAACCGCTCGAACTCAATATGTTCCGCTACTGAAGTGCATTCCCCAATTCTGACCTGTGGGATTGTAAAGGGAACCATGTGAGCAGCTGCTGCAGGACATTCTGGCTCTCAAGGACTCTCTCTATGCACTGGGACCTCACATTCCCAGAGCTGGATGTCTCATAGGCGCCACGGGAAAACCAGAGTTGGGTCTGGGCCGAGCCCGATCCTTTGGGCAGCCAACTCCTGTGTAAACAGCACGAAAGTAGGTTGACGTAGCTGTTTTGCGAGGAGTTGCACCCCTGCTGAGCAGGCTTAATCGCCCCCGGCACTGCTGCTGTCAATGCGGCACCAGCCACGGCTGCCCCAGTGGGCACAGCCACAGCCAGTAAACCGCCGAAGCAGGACGATCAATCAGCAACTGGGGAGGGGATTGACCTAGAGTCAGAAAGTCGTTGCCTGTGAAGGCAAGTTTCTACTGTGATGAACCGCGTCATGCCCAGGTTTTCGGCTCCAGAGTAGGTATCAAGTCCGCCGGTGATCACAGCGTCTGGAATGCAGCCGTTGCCGTTGCACGAATCCTCGCAAGCCTGATTCTCAGGGATGCATCTTTCATGTTGGACCCTTGTGGCGATTAAAGACACAGCATGCCAGCGTCGCAAAAAGCATCCTTGCCAAGCTTTGGATGTTTCACTCTCGACGTGCATGTCCCGCCTATGTTGGTCGAGGGACGACTCCAAGGCAAGGCTTGAAGGGTCTGTGAGGCAGCGCCTAAGCCCGAAATTGGAGCCTCGGAGGTTTACCTTGCCATCGGGAAGGGGTGCTATGGCTTCTCTGTCGACACGGCGCTGGTGTCCGGGCTGGTTACATCTGCTTACGGTCTACGGTTGCAAGGATCCCGGTAGGCCTTGTCACGACTTTTCACGTGTACAGGCATGTATGATACAGGACTAGCAGACTCGATAGATCTCGGTCGCTTCCACCTGTATGTGTGCTTATCCCAAAAAACGGTTTCGGGTGGTGCGCCATGCCCTCAGCTGCCGGAGCCTCTCCTACACAACCTGCTTGGAAATGCGGTTGATTGACCTTCGAGGTCTGAGGCACGCCCATGCCAACATTCGCGCTCAGGTCAGTCACCTTTGGAGCTACGAGGGTTTTGCTGAGGACGGCTGAGAGACTAAGTGCCAAGATTGGGATCTTCACCTGGATGGACTTTCCCTGCAAGGACACTCGTGTGGTGGTAGAAGGTTCCCATGGCTTCTTGGCAGTGTCTTCGGGACGAAGCATTCATATTCTGGACGCCAACTCGCCGGCCAAGCCACGTGTTTCCTGGCCAGACGCCCACCAGGAGCGGAGCCATGATGTTACCCTTGGCAAGATGACACGCACTGAGAGGTGGAGTTTGTGGAGTTTGGTGATGTTTGGTGTGCTTTGAAGAAAGGACACGATCTACTCTATGCATTTCAGCTACGAGACGGGTCTCATCTTCAGCTCTGGCAAGGCCCAGGGGCTAGTCAGTTTTGCAGCCTGGAGTAGAGCCCTCTGTTTGGGATGGTGTCGAGAGGTGAGGGTAGTTGAATGTGCGATTGCGTCCAAACACCGGCCGCTTGCACTGTTCGCCACATCGGAAAGGACTGCTGCATCAAGTCTTGGGAGATCGATGGTGAAGAACTCTCCCTGCATGGCTCCTGCCCGGATGCGCACAGGGACTTTGTCGTGGCCCTGCAGTTTCACTCCAGCAGCAGGCAAAGCGCAAAGGGCAAGACCAAACCTGGCTTTCCAGTCTTGGGGCTCATTCATACCGATAGAGTCGGGCGGACATCAGTCTTCTGCATATTAAATATGCGCTTCCTCTTTTCTGTGTCAGGCTTCTCATCTCTGCAGGGCTAGATGGTCTCGTTCGCGCATGGCGCATCGCAAGCACGGGTGCGTTCGCACTGCTTGCTACATCTGCCGATGCCCATCCGGAGGGTATAACGGCTCTGTGCAGCTTGGCAGTTTTGAGTACAATTTCTCTATGGCATGTCTGACTGTATTTGTTCTGACCTTCGTGCAACGAATTCTGGCCTTTGTGCAACGTGCTATGAAGTGGCACTCCCTGCCTGGGTGCTCACTGCCTCCTTCCGTGCACAGGACCTAGTAGGAGCGGTAGGATTTGTCTTCCGCCTGAACTTTGGATTTGAAGGTACAAACATGGCCCAGAACGTGATGGTTAGCTCTGGCAGGGATGGGAACCTTCGGCTGTGGAGCTATAGACCTGGTCGGCTTCGTCTTATCGATAGCGAGGCTTCAGACTGTCAGAGGGCGGCGGGGTAAAGGGTCATCCGGTCCGGAGATATATAAGCTGAGGAAGCTTTTTATAGCTAATGTTAACATATGCTAAATAAGTATGTATATATACATATATATATATATATATATACAAAACGGGGGACCCTGGGCGTGCACTTTTCAAGGAGTTTTAGCGCTAGCTTCAGCATCATTTACGCAATACTTAATGAGAGAGGTACGCTCCCTGCAATAACGGAGTTTTGCTGCAGATGACACCTCAAAAGAACCACAAAAGACCTAAACACCAAACAAAAAAACACAAGAACCAAAAAAAACAAAAGAACCAAAAAAATCAAAAGAACCAAAAAAACCAAAAGAACCAAAAAAACCAAAATAACCAAAAAAACCAATTGCCAGAGACTCCTGGACTGAAATTTCCATGGCCGGAGAGTGTCGGATTTTTGGTTCTTTTGGTTTTTTTGGTTCTTTTGGTTTTTTTGGTTCTTTTGGTTTTTTTGGTTCTTTTGGTTCTTTTGGTTCTTTTGTTTTTTTGATTTTTTTGGTTCTTTGGGTTTTTTGGTGTTCTTTTGGAGGTGGCTGCCAACCCAAAAAAACATCAAAATACGCGCGCGCGCGCCCAGGGTCAGTGGCACACATTGGGGGGGCAATGCACTCTCACGGCAAGGCTCGTAGACAATGCACATGTGTACGTGTGAGTACTGCAGTTGGTCTAGTTTAAAGCTGTTACATTGTCACTCTTGTAATTAGGCTTATCGGCGTCTGCGGGATACAGCGACCAATTATTTGTTGAGCTCCATTTGTTTTACAGTAACTACCATTTTTACTGTTAATACGGTGACCATTAAATGTCTCTGAAATATGCAGGTCGATATTGTTTCGCCGATATTTTTGTGTTTTTTGCAGGAAAAACCCCAGATGAAGTGTATAGTACTGGTTATCATATTGTCGTAAATTACTACAGTTACTTAATCTTATTTCAATCTCACATAGGCTGTTCACAGCATGCTAGAAAACTTGGATGTGCATAGATACATGTGCGTGTGAAATGTGTATGTATGCATATATATATATATATGTATATAGGTACACATACGTCAGTGTGTATGAGTACCCATTTTTGAGATGTATATATGTGTAAACTGTGCGGATGTATACATAGAATACAAGTACTGTCGTATGCTAAACGTTCTTTTACTTCGTAAGTAAAGTTGAAGGCATAATCAGCTAATCAGGCTTTCTTCATTTGTTTGCACAGTTACTGATTTGTTTATCACCACGTTACTGTATAGGCGACCTATTTACCAGTTTCAAGTACTGCAATTGGATACCACTAGAAGTTTCATCTTTAATTTCATACTCGTTGTTACAACACTGGTTAGGTATTGTCTGTCTTAAGAGTCTTGAACATGTCTTATCTTGTTGTGTCTAAGTCTCTACATGAAGTCGATCACTTGGAACACCGGTGCACATCTATGCAACACACTGGCCAACAAACCTAAGCTTAAAAAGCGCATTATGTTTGTAGGATCATTCACATTTACATTTTCTGCTATAGGATTTGTACATTGATTTACACGTTCAGCCTGTCCACATGTAACATGCCTTCTATATTTCGATTACTCTTCTGAACATGACCATAGCTAAAGTATGACAAGTACATGTATGTGCCACCTTACAATAGACTTGTTGCTGGTAACCTATAGAACATCGGCTTAGTGTGGATTGAAAAGTATCGTGTATCTAGTGCTATTACTGTCTGTATTTGGGTTGAATGTTCGGTTATCATCTTAAACACGTACCGACAAGAGCAATGCAAAGGGCATGGTTAGTATTAATAACACGAAGATGAGCAAACAAATTAGTATTTACAGATCAAGAAGTCTGTACTACATCCACAAGCATGCTCCGCGCACACATATGTGTATACATCTATGTATGTGCATTGAAAGGTCAGAATTGTCAACCAATGTAAGGCACTGTATATACAAAGTATACATGTATGCAAATATATATATATATATATATATATATACATATAAATATAAATACATATATATATATATATATATATATATATGCATATATATATATATACATATGCCGAGCTCTCTACCATGCACAATTTCACACATACATGTGTGTGTGTGGATATATATATATATATATATATATGGTCACGCGCTCCGCAGCCCCCCCCCCCTCCCCCCCCAAAGCTCAATGGTCCGGATATAGGGTGGGGCCCCCCCCCTCCCCTGTGGTGTGGGGTGTGGGGTTCCTCTTCCCCCTGTGGGTGGTTGTGGGGTTTTGGGGTTTGGGGTTTAGCTTAAGCTTTTGAGTTTTGGGTTTACGGCTACAAGGTATAAGGCTTCGAGTCGACAAGGGCTTAGGGAGGATTTGCGGTGTATGCTTTGCTTTAGGCTTAGAGCCTGCAGTTAGGTGGGGTTTAGGGTTGGGTGTAGCGTTTTAAGTACAAGTTAAGGTTGCTCAAAATCGGGGCGCGGGCTGCATCATAGGGTTTACGGCTTGCTTGCGAAGGGCTTGCGCGTGAGCCCTGGCCGCCAGCACCGCCCCACCATCCAGCGGCAGCTCCAACGGCCCCAACCCCTTTCCGCACACGCCAGGGCCCCCCCCCCCCCACCCCTGTCAGACCATACCATTGGGGGGGGGGGGGGGGGGGAACACCAGACGCCTGAGCATATATATATATATATATCCGTCTCTGTATGTAGGTATATATATATATATATACATATAGACATATGCATATATATATATATACATTTATTTATTTAGTTATTTATTTATTTATCCGTACACATATACTCTTCATATATATATATATATGTAACTTATGTTCATATGCAAATACACATATATGTGATTGCAACCTATGACATATTTGGAAGTAATACAATAGAACAGAATACTAGTATCCATGCTTATGTGTCCTCAGCCCGATAAAACTAGCGAAGCAAATCATATGATGCAAACAGTATGTACTGAGGTCCAAACTTGTTATAATGCAAAACACAAATAACAGTATTGGTACGAGATATTTCCGTTAGCTCGAGTCGAAAAGATCAGCAACTAGGGCCGTGTCCCTGGTCGCTTGACCTTTAGACTGGACATATGACCAGCAAACCAACTAGCCATAACATGAATGCGGGCACAAGTGGGTCTCTGATGGATTCTATAAAGCAATATATGCGCTTGTACCATCACAATTCTAGCATAAAGCAAGCCAGCCACAAATACAGAATCAAACAACTTCAAAAAAGCGCACGCCCACAGTCCCCCGGACTCCATATATATGTATATATGTGTAAATATGTAACTACTAAATAGTCACAGTTACAGCGTTTTCCCCGAGTCGGCAGATCTTTAAATGTTTGCCGGGAAAGCCTTTCCTTGGCCGCAGGTGGACGTGCATGCAGGCTGGGCAAGATGCCTGGAATTCGATGAAGCGTCTGGCCTTGTGGTTACCGCTGGGGATGATGGAGCTCCTCGGATGCAAGGCTTACTCGAGTGCAGCATTCGCCTTTTCGGGATTCTCTGAAACGTTGCCTCGGTCAAGGCCATCAAAGCGTTCGGCTTCAAGGACGTTTTGCCTCGAAACTGCGGGATCTTTGTTAACGCGGCCGACGTTTCGTAACTTGTATTAGTTGTACTTCGGCACGACACATGCTGCACATTGCGGGCTTCTGCACCCTGCCTTTTCACTCGATGGCTGCTGCTCTCTCCCACTGCTGTTCCCAGCCGCAGAAAATCCTAAGTCGCTTGTCGCATGTGCGAAAAAGACTGGCACCAACATGCATCACTCCTCAGTCTGAGCTTTGTAGCCTAGCGTTGCACCGGTGAACTTTGAGCGCTTCCTCAAGCCGTGTTGTTGGAAGAGCCTGCTTGACTTCATGGGACTTTAGTTTAAAAAAATAATGCCGCCCCTGAAGCGCCTGATCAAGTCAACAAGCTGTTTGATGCAATGTCCTGGTGTCTAGAGCCTCTGCTGGAAAAAGTTCAACCTCTTTCCATCTCTTTCCGACGCCGGCCCATTTCTTGTCCTGCAATGAAATGCAGAAACCCTTTCTCACAGTCAGGGGCATGTGGAAGCTGTATGCGTCCTGTTCAGCTGCACTGAAGCTCTGCTGCGCTCTTTGCCGCGAGGATGGCAAGTTCAGCTGCTGCATCAGTGTCGCCAATGCGCATGATGCTGGTATCCTTGGACTGCAATTCTGTGCCAAGACGATGTGCCTTGCCAGGAAGTTGAGGTTTCGAATCGGCAGGAGCGAACGTCCCTGATACCTCAGGTGCTTGCTGAGTGCTGATGAGAATGGCGCTATCAAGATGTGGGAGCTGTCTGCTGGAGCCGGCGAGCTTGTGCTCAAGGCCTCCAGAGGGTAACACTGGCTTCTAACCTTCTTTGACGAGTGCTTGCATGTAGGGTCAGCAGAGGTCATTGCTTGAGTTGTGTACGAAGAACATGTGAAGAGTCTGTCGCGCAGGCCAGCATCGACAAGGCTCACGATGGAGGTGCAGTGTCGCACATGCAGTTTTGCTCGCAGCGTCGCCAGGCTCACATGGTTGTCTTAGTACAGGAAGTCGACATAGCTGAAGGATGGAAAGGAGGATGCCGAGACGTTGCTTAGCAGCTCAGGTAAGTTGCTCCTGAGTGCTGGTTCAGACAATTGCCTGCGGGCATGGCTCTGGCATCCGGATGGTCTACAAGCTGTGGCCTCCGCAGTAGCGGAAGGCCAGAAGGAGGGGATGATCGAGATGACGGACTTAGATGGACTTAAGCATGCCGCTACCGCTACGAGTACAAGTACTAGTTACTAGCAGTACAAAGTTCTTTGCAGATGTACAAGTACCAGTGCTAGGCGTACTTGTATGTGTACATACAACTGACTTGTGCTGCCGCTGCTGCTACTACTACTACTACTACTACTACTACGACTCCTACTGCAATACTGTTATTACTCCTTTTCGAATACTACTTCTGCTACTTCTACTTCTACTTTTACTTCTACTTCTACCTCTACCTACTTCTACCTCTACCTCTACTTCTGCTTCTACATCTACATCTACTTCTATTGCTACTGCTACTGCTGCTGCTCCCTCTACTACTACTACTACAACAACAACTACTACTACCACCACTACTACTGCTACTACTCCTTCTGTGCTACTGCTACAACTGCTGCTACTTACTGCTACTTTTGAAATGCTGGTGCTGCTGCTACGACGGCGGCTTCTACGACTGCTTTTACTAGGCCTTACGTCTTGCCTCTGCTTCTACTTTTGCTTCATCTGCTTTTACTACCCTTGCTGTTGCTTCTTGCAAGAGGGCGACGACCACCACCGTAACCCCCAGTGTGGACGTCGTTGGAAGTAAGCATGTTTTCGGATCGCCGTGAGACCACGTGCCAACGTGCTCGTGATGTGTTTGCACACTCTGCCGTAACTCGCCTGAGACCCCGTCTGACTTGTCGAGCACGAGTGACAAAAAAAAACCAGCAAACCCCATTCGGGTAGGCAGTTTCAGTAGCACTGGGCCGGGAGACCGTGGCATGCCCTTAGGCTGCAGATGTGGCGGCTTGCCAGTATTTGTGTCTGTGAACGAGGCCTGTTACGGTCTCCAGTCAGCTCCTAATCATGAGCTGCGCGATGGAATGACTCCCCCCAGCACTCAGACCAATTAGAGTGCTTGTAGTTTGTAGATGCAACCACTGCAACTTGATCATAACCAGCTGATAGGAGCAACCACAGGAGAAATCTCGCGGAGGGAGGACCACCTGTGGCAACAGGTGGCTGCCATGGTACACTTGTATAACACAGTACTAAACCCTAAATCTCGCTTGATTCGTCGAGTGCCAGTGACAGCAGTAACACAGCAGAAAACAGCATGCCGGGTACAGGAGCAAACGGACACAGGTACAGCGATAAATGTATAAAGGCCTCCCAGCGTGTACGGCAACGCTGACGCACACTTGGGCCGACATATTTTCTCATATTCTTCCTGAGTTTGCCATGTCGCTCAAGCCGACACGACGCACGCCTGTTTGACAGGTGGAGGCATCCTGGCACTTCAGCTTGATGCTTCGGCTGGAATCGGTGCACTGCTACAATTCAGGTGAAAGCCAGGTTTGTGGAGGCCAGTGGGGCCTGTGCCTTCCATGTAGCTGGCGAATTGCGCCGCCAAGGCTATTCCGCAGACGTCGATGGCGGAATCAGCGCATGGAAGATTGAGATCGGAGCTGGAAGTCTGAAGCGAATTACAAAGAAGGCCTGCTCGCCCCCCTTGAGACTTCCCGAAAGCACTCCTCGTTAAAGCTGCGCTGCACAGACGGTATTGCAAATCCAAGGGCCTTAGGGTTGGGTTGTTGGCACAAGCGGAGCTTCTGGCCTTTGGGTGTATGAGTGCCAGGCCAATGCTCACAGTGGCCGGATTCTGGCTTTCAACTTCGACGCTGCTTCAAAGTTGCTGCTCACGGCAGGCAACGGTTGATTGTTGTCGGGGCTGCAAGCGATTCTAACGAATTTTGAGCCCCGCACTTGGTGTATACATGAGCTTAGCCAGTAGCCAGGACAGCAAAGTCTCGATGCTTCTTACACCGGTTGTAACTTCTGTGCAGGGGCAAGTCTCCCTTTCTGCAAGGTGTGGACAAGGCCGTCTGTATGTGGCAGTTGGATGCAAGCGAAAGGATCGTCAGGGTTTGCCGATCAAGCCAGGCGCGATGCCCGTCATTTGGTTAGGAGGGTTCCGGTGCCTTTGCATGTAGATATTTGGCTGTATATACATACATACATGTAAGTATGCATGTATGCACTTACCACACACACACACGCATATATCTGGATATATATATATACATATATATATATATGTATACATACATACATATGTGTATATACATATATATGTCTGTGTGCGCGTGTTTGATGTATTCAACTACATCTAACACAGCTCTGTGAGCGAGCACGGAGGTACTCCAAACTGGCATCCTAGCCCTGGCTCCTCGGCAGAAGGCTTAGGATATGTAGTTATAGGAAGGTAGATTACTCTATATCATCACGTATTACTACATTCATATGGATAATTGTATATCATCACACATGCGCTTACTATGATATGTGGTATCCAGTTGGCTGCTTGGGGTTTCCATGAAGCCCCGGAAGAGAACTATTGGGGATGCGACCTTCTACATCGGATTGCATGGTATCTGAGGCGTATGATGCCGTGACAGGACGGTGGCAGCTTGCAGCTTGAGAGGATTCCCGTGGATCATCTTTGCAATCCAGCCGCAGCGTGTCAGGAATTGTTATTGCGGCGGGAATGTCCAGCGAGATCAATGCTTGGCGCCACAGCGCCCTGCCTGAAATTGTCACAGCACGATGCTCAGCTGCGTGAGAACTTTCAGGTGGGGACTCCCTGAAGCCGCTGCCTTTGGACAGGGAGCCCGATCAGGGCGAGGGCCTCCTAGTCTTGCGTTTCGATGCGGCCTCCAAGGCACTCCGACTTTACTCCCGGTCGCTTTGTCGTGTTTTGAGCTCAAGCCTCCAGAGCCTCCCAGGGCACAGTCTCTCGAGGTGGTGCTGGGCGGAGGCATGGACGGTTCAGTCCGCGCCTGGCATTTGGATCTCGCCGCCCTGGAGCGGGTGGGTCAGCCGGTCCGGGCACACCAGGGTTGGGTCCGCGCACTCCACTACGACGCGGACAACGAGGTGCTGGTCAGCTGTGGCGATGACGGCCATGTGAAGGTGGTGGGGAGAAAATGACACTGTCTAAATACATGGGCAGCAGAGGCTGTTCTTATGCAGTGAGCGCATTGCCACTGCAGGCTTGGAGGCGTCAGGGGCTGGCTTTGGCTGAAACGGGCACGGCACTGCACGCCCATCCGGATGGCGTGCGAGGCGTCTTGGTCAACGGCCGGCCCGGAGCCAAGCAAAGAGGTCAGTCTGAGTCTGCTGAAGTGAAAGAATGCGACGCGACTCGTAAGGGTGGACATAGCTTTTTATGTGTTTCGGATGGCTCTGGCTTTGAATCAGTGTCCTCCAGGCGGCAGCTAGTGTTGAGCTGCGGCGACAACGGCATGGTCAAGGCAAGGGGTACTCTTTGCAGAACTGCCGTCGGAAATCGCAAAGCTTTCCCCAGGCATTTCAGCAAGAGGAGTGGGGGCTCGAAGCCTGCCCCGATGGTTTACACGAGCATGGTTCGCCTGTCTTCAATCTCCAATACTTCGTGAAGCCGCGGCTGCTCATGAGTTGTGGCACCCGATCTGATATGTTTTCCTGTTTCCTTGGGAAGGTGTCCTGGAGCAGATCAAAGCATGAACTAGTAGCGCCACTTGAGGTATGGATGGAGGCATAAGGGCGTGGCAGACAGATCCGGCCACCGGGCGCTTGCGACTGCTAGCGCAGGAGACAGACAACAAGCCACTTGGCTTAGACCAGCACCACCCTGCAACGGCCGTAGCAGTCTTCTGATAGACATTTGCCAACCAGCTCAAGTTTAAAGATCGTAGCAACGGCCAGTATGAGAGTCATAGTAAGAAAATCATACTTCAAGATTAGCGGTGATGATGGTTTTGCTGTACTTGTAGCAAAATTCTCTTCAACACGGTCCTGTGCAGGCAGCCGACGCTGGCGATGAAGTTCGAGCCAAAGAACGGACGATTCACAGCAATGGTCCTAAGTCGCCTAAGTCTTAAACCCAACGTCCCTAACATGTCTGAGCAAGGAAGCTGTGTTAATATGAGCGACTGTGACTGCAGGGTTTGGGGTTTGACGCGCAAGGTCTTCACGGCAGTCAGTTCGTCTAACTTTGTGCCCTTGCAGGGCAGCTTGCGAAGGTTTCATTTGCTTGTCCCTACCAGGAACGCTTTTCACGTCTGGCCTCGATGGTTCCATTCATGCTTGGAGGCGCTGGCGTGCTGAGAGCTTTTCTCAGAGGCTTGGGAGTTGGGAGTGGCGTGGGCAGCGGCAGGCTGGACAAAAGCCGTATCTCGCCCATCACAACCGTGGCAGAGGCTCACGAAGGCTCTTCGACATCAGTGGGTTTCCTTTGAGAAGAGCCTGTTTGAGTTTGCTTCCTTGAGGCTCCATTCGCACGATGTACCTGGACCGGCGTGCCGGTCTGCTGCACACAGCCGGGGAAGACGGGGCCCTGCGGGCCTGGCAGCTCAAGGCTGCCCCAAGAAAAGCTCCCTCTTCTTTACTGCTTTTAGGAAAATTATGTTTTACGATTTCTATTCTGGTTCCAAGGGCGGCTAAGGCGGCTAGGTCCTCTTTTGAGAGTCAAGCAAGGACAGGTTGATTTGGGTTCTTTCGTGCGTTTGATATGAATTTGCGATTTCGATTGTTGGTTCTGGGTTTAGGGATCGATTTTGCACAGGCTCAGTTCTGCCACCACGAATGCGAGTTGTGCAGTCGGCCCCCTATGCACGTTTCGTATCTGTGCATCGATATGCGGAACCCAGATGTAGCTCTACGTGGGTAACTAGATCGGGTCCGGACAACAAGCGAGATCAAAGGTTTGCAAGCTTGTAAGACATGATGCGGTGTTTGATTGCTCTTCTCCGATGTGCAGAAGCGCAGGCCTCTGCGGACAAGGTGTAGACATAGTTTTTGTTTCCGTTTGTTGGTCCATAGCAGCTAGGACCCATATAATGAATGAAAGCCGCCGCTCATCTGGCGTACCGTAGCAAAACCTTGTATTTGTTGCATGTTCTAGGTCCTATGACATATGAGACCTTGTGTAGATATACATGCGTACATCCACAAGTGCCTACACTCATGCTTACATACATACACCCATGCATGAGTACACACACACACACATTCGCATGTACATGCGCAGATGTTGGGCATGTATGTTTGCATGTATGCAGTCGGCAGGCGTGATGCACATGCACATGCACATGCATGCACACACACACACATGTCTGTGTATGCATGCATGCATGCATGGATGTACACCTGCATGTGAGTAAGTAAGTATGTATACATATATATATGTAGGTATGTATGCATGTATGTATGTAGGTAAGTACGTAAGGCTCAGCAGCAGGGTGCCCGCCTGTGTTGGGTTTGGTGTTCTGGGTTCTTGGTTCTCTTTCGGGTGTGGGCCCTCGTTCTGCCTGCCTCGGGTTTGCCTCTTCCCCCCTGGGCTTTCTCTTCAGGGCTGACGAAATTCCTGCGCCGCCATGGACCTCTCGACCTTGAAGGTACGGGTTCTGCGCAAGAGCCCCGTGGATGGGGCCCTCTTAAGTACCAGCACGCGCAACAAGATGCCCAGAAGCAAGCAGAGCTCCCAAGGACATGTGTGGCGTATGCTTTTCTATTCTGGGCTGTTTTGGCACTACTGTCATACCTGCAGGATCCAAGGCCGTCCAGAGGTGGGCGCCTCATCCCACCACCAAGGTACTGAGCCTTCTCTGCTACACCAGTGCTCACTCTTAGGTTTGCCCATGGCTACACCTGGTCAGGCTTACCTCACAGGACCGGCATCCAGCCAAGCTGCTCCTTTTCAGGTTGCACTATGGGTACAGAACTTCTCAGGCCTGTGCAAGATGCGAGTGGCCAAGGGCCCACCGCGCCCTCTGGGCCCTTACAGGGAGTCAGGTCACCTGGCTTGTGACTGCACATATCAGCCAGACAGCCGGATAGATGCTGTCAGGCTCCATCTGACGCCGCTAGCCAAGCAGCTTTTTCGGATGCAGCAGAATCTGACCCCGACCTCGGACTACACGTATTCTGCCACTGGTAATCGTTGTGCGTTCCCAGACCCGCCCTGGACCCAGTATCTTTCACGATTTTGTCTGGATCTTGGGATTGGCCTCCTCCCAGGCCGCTATGGAACGATGCTTATACAGATGGACGCCGCCACATTCAACTTGAGACCATGGATTAGGTATAGGCATATGAGTCAGTTCCCACCTGTGACTGCCGGTGTTCGAAATGCAGGTTGTTCTTGCACCGCATCATGCAACTGCCCTGGGCCAATTGAATTCATGAGGGTTCAGACGATGCCTGTGGCAGCACTTTTCCTCTGCTTGCATCGAACCGTAGTTCGTGATCTACCTGCCCAGCCTCCTCCACCAGGCCGGTGCCTCATCCGCGCTCCCCTGCAGACTGTGCTCCTGCCTGGCCGACCAAGGTTCGAGGCCTCCTCGCCTTGGGTCTGGCCCTTGCACCTCAAGTGTCCTGCCTGGCTCGAGGTTCCCTCGCCGGTGGCCCAGCTTTGCATGCCAAGACCTGTTGTTGCTCCTTGTACACCCAGGCTCGAGGCTACCTCGCCGGGTGTGGCCTCCTCAGTCCCGAGAGCCGTCCAGTACTGCCGGTTCACCACCTCTCGGCCCTCCAGGACCAACGCCTCCAGCGGTGGGACGATATCAAGCCTCTCTCTGCCTGCGCCTTGTCTCGCTGAACTTCCTTCTGTGCTTGGTGGGGGACTGCCATCTCTTCCGGCTCCTGCCTCTGTGTGCTTGGAGGCCACTGGCTGCCAGCTGGTCGTGCAGCTCTCCCGCCTGCGACATGCCACCGAAGAAGGCGAAGAGGCGGAGGCACCATTCCCCTCCGTGCTCGAGCTCGGATAGCTCTGGCTCTGGTTCGGCGAGGGGCACCGCTGCGGCCGCGAGCACAAGCAACCCCTTGGGTAGCGGCAGTGGGCCTCCGGCTGCTCGAGCACGACGATCGCCTCCTCGAGGACCTCCGCAGGTGCTGTGCCGGCTGTGCCAGCGGGAAGGAGGCCGCCCACGGGCACTGGTGCAATCCGGCCAGGCGGACCCCCAGTCCCGTCCCCGGCTCCCATGGCTTCTACTACGGTGGTGTCTACAGACGCGACCCGGGCTATGCCGTCATCACCGGGACCTACTGCTCTACCCGCTTCTGGGCCTGTGCCAGGATTGGCCTCGACTTCCACTACGGATCATACATTCAGGGTCATACCTGCAGGAAGCGTCATCACTGTTCCGCTACCACCGGCTGGCCTTCAGTACATTGTCACAGTGCGAACATGCCAAACGCCGCTTGCATCACCGACCCTGAAGTCTGCCGGAAGCGGTCCATGATACACGTCAAGACGGCCATCGTGTTCTTCAGGGAGTGCAGGCTCCTGCCGACTCCTCTGGTCAGCCAATTTTGGGAAGCTGCCGCGCTGCCAACAGCGCAGACAACGAGCCCTGCGATCAGATCTCGCTTTGGCCTGCAAAATGCCTACGGATCTGCTCTCGCATGTGTGCCATGATGGCTGCTCAGTCCTGTCCACACCTTCATGTCATAGCCTCTGTCTGCTCGCCTACTCAGGTCGTGACCTTCCCTGGCTGCAAAGTATCTGTCTGGACACACTGCATACGCTCCGGCTGGATCTCGTTCTTTTGGCCATGCCCTAAGCTGTCAGCCGCACAGCTGGTCAGTTGCATCCCTTGCCTCACGTCGCGCAGTTCTGTTCTTGTGACCGACCGTGCCTCCACTGCCTTTGCCTCCCGATTCTGGCTCAGTTTCTCCCTGAGAGTGTGGTGCGACCCTGCGGGGCTCTCTGCCCATATGGCCCTGCGACGGCAAAAGCGCCAGGCTCGGCAGCATTCCAGGCCGCGGCCCGAGCAGCGCTCTCCCGGATCTGCCTCATGCGACCAGGTGGCTTCCACCATTAGATCGGCGATCTCAGCCGGCGAACCGGTGCCAAAGACCTGTCTCAATTTTCATCCTGACAGGGACGCTTTGGCTGAAGAAGAAGTTTCGTTTCTTCGGTATCTGCGCTGGCGCACCAAGCCACCTCCTATTACGGTCTTTTTGAAACATCTCATAAAGACGCTGCGAGCCGACCGCGGCTCGCCTCGCCCTGCGCTGCCGACAGATGAATCTACTCTCACTGGTACAGCTGCGCCCGCTGATCCACGCCCGAGGTTGATCCCTACATCCAAACGCCGCCCGGGAATACTCCTTCGCAACGAACACCCCAGGTCTCCTCCCGCTGATGTGGCAGCTTCGACGAGCAAGCGGTCTCCGCAACTGGTGTCGGACACCGAGGAGAGTACTTTGGAAATCCATGCAGGGGATATTCACCTGCAATGTGTTCGCAGAGCTCGGCGCAAGCTACGGCATCAGCCTGGAAGCTTCATCGATGTGGAGGCGCCAGAGACTGCTCCCACTGGCCCTGACTCGTCGCCACCGATGACGCTCACACCGATCCCGGTCGAGGCCACTGGAACGATGCATAAAGCCACCAGGCCCAGCACAGATGATACTTCAGGACCCTCGAAAGGTCCGGGCGCTCTCATCGAGGCCCTCTTGCACCCTCGCGATCCTCGCGATGATGGCCTACATGACCGCTCCCCTATGTCCATGGAAACTGTGACTGTGGAGTCCCCTGAGCCGGCTGCTCCGTCTCCAGCAAGCGCACATGACGCCGAGGCGTCACTGGTGCCACGGACTGATGTCGCGGCTGCTCTTAATGAGCCAGCAAATGCTGGTCCGACTGCTGGCCCAGCTCCTGAGCGACCCTCTGGCCCACTACCGGGCCACCGCACCAGGACCAAAGCCAAGCACAAGCAGCCTCATTCCAGGCCAAGATCGAGCAAGCGGACCCCTGGCAAAGCTGCATCGAGCTCTTCCCGATCAACGGCTCGGCGACTGGATGCATCGGTTCACGACCCGGACCACGTTCCAGACCCAGCACTTAGGCCAAAGGCTCGTAGCATGTGGTTTGTACAGCCGGATACTGATGCGAGCACAGAGCAAAGCCTGGACACCGAGCGAGTGGATGCATATAGCTGAGCTGCAAGGGCCATCGCTTCATGCTTCTTTGCCTCAAGCTGTCGTACACGCCTCTCTGTGCAATGCTCAGGTCACTGCCTCACCGACCGTCGGATGTTACACTGTCTGGTGCTCGGCCCGTTGCCTTCTCAACTTCGGTAGCACTTGGCAACTGCACTTGTCCACGCCCCCGTGGTGGGCACATTGCATATGCAGCTTCTTTACTCAGTGCCGCCTGCCTTGCTCCTGCGACTCCTCAACTCCCCGATGGCTTCCACAGGGCAGTCTGCTACAGCCACATCTGGACCCATGCCTGCCCCGGCTACGCCGGATGCCTCGCAACCGGCATCACCACCACCGAGAGTGGAACGACGGCCTCGACCTCAGCAGATCACATTGGCCACTTCCGCGGCTGCAATCCAGACTGATGCT